CACGGGCGGTACCGCAGCCCGGCGCCAGGGGGGAGGAGGCACGTCCCCGGCGCGCCGCCCAAGTCGCCGCCGCCGCCGCCGCAGGACGGGGAGAAGAAGGGGCAGAGGAAGCGGAAGGGGGGGAAGGACAAGGAGAAGGGGGGCGCGGGTGGTGGTAGTGCGGCGCCGAGCGGGGCGGCGACGCCCGTCGTGCCGCCCACGCCGCCGAACGAGGATGCGAAGCCGACGCCTGGCAAGCTCGAGCTGAAGGTGAACGGGAATGGAACGCTGCAGGTGCCCGGGGAGGCGGGGAACAGTGTGCCGCCGACGCCTGGCGGCGAGGCGGGGCTGGACCCGGTGGCGAAGAAAGTGCGGAATCTGAACAAGAAGGTCAGGGCTGCTTTTTCTGTTTTGGATCGGACGTCACGATCGCTGACGGGACGTTTGTATGCTACCAGCTCAAGGCGATCGACGAGCTGAAGGACAAGCAGAAGAAGGGCGAGCGGCTCGAGGCGACGCAGTTGAAGAAGATCGAGACCGAGGCGGAGATTCGGAAAGAGCTTTCGACGCTCACGAACAGCGCGGCGTGATCGTACCCGCGCCGCGCCGCACCATCCCACGTTGCTTCATCTTCATTTTTTTCCCCGTCGCTGCGCTTTCCGTTGTCGTCTCTTTCTTATTTTGTCGTCGCGTCGCCGTGTGCGTCGACTTGAGTAAAGAGAAAACAAAAAATGTGTTTTTATTCGAATGGAGAAGGGACCTTGTCACGCGAGGTTTTCAGCATCCATCCCCGCATGTCCCTCCCAATGACGCGAAAGAAAGATCTACAAGGTACATTTACGGCGCCGCGGCGCACTCTAGCAGCTTCTTCCCGCCGCCGCCGCCGCCTTCGGGGTAGTCCCCGAAGTCCCAGTCAAAGCAGTCGACGCAGTCCTCGTCCTCGTCCACGAGCGGCGGCACCTCCGACTCGTCGTCCCAGTCCTCGGCGAGCAGCTTCTCGACGATGACGCTAATCCCGTGCGTGCGGATGTCGACCGCCCAGCCGAGCCTGTTGCGTTTTTATCGTTTATGTCATGCCAATCAGCAAGGGGGAAGGCGGAGAGAGAGAGAGAAAAAAAAGAAAGAGAAAGAGGGTGGGGGGGATGAAAATTAATAATAAAACGAAAAGAATGTAACGTACTTGGTGATGGTGTCGTACCGGAGGAGCTTGCCCTGGTGGCAGCGCGACTCCATCGCGTACCCGGCGAGGGCGCAGGTGGAGGCCATGCCGGTGCAGGTCCCCTGCGCGAGCGGGTCGGCGGTGTGGTAGACGTGCGTGATGTGCTCTAGGTTCGGCTGGATGTTGACGTGCGGTCAGGGGGGGTCGGTTCTTTGTCGACTCGCGCGGGGATATATATATATATATATAGGGGGGGAACGGGGGGGTACGTACGGGGGAGGGGAGGTGCAGTCTGCGGGCGGCGAGGCGCTCGGGAGGTGTTTCGAAGCCGACGGTGGGCGCGCCGAAGGTGGCGCCGAGGAGGGCGGCGAGCGAGCCGCCGAGAGAGTGGCCTGTGCGTTTGTATATCATGTCAGATATCCCGCCTTTTCGCGGTCGGTCAGATCGAGAGCCTGACCTATCAGCCAAACGTTCGAGTTGGGGTACATGTACGTGATGTTGTTATACAGGTTCTGGCGAGAAAGAAAAAAAGAAAAAAGGACGTGAGCCGGCCGCGCGCTCCCCGAAAGAGGTGATCGTGAAGGATGATGATATGGAAATGGGCCGCTCACGGTGCCGATCTGGTAGAAGGAGCTGTCGTCGGTCAGGCTCTGCTCGAGGCAGTCCTGGTCACATTTACCGCCGCCGCGGTAGCAGCCGCAGACGGGGGACCAGGTGGGGCCGACGCGGGCGCAGCAGCAGGAGAAGAGGAGGTTGTCGTTCAGCTTGTCCTTCTTGACCGTCGGGCCGCCGCCGCCGACGAGCCAGCCGGCGGAGGTGCCCTTGATGGAGACGACGACGGTGCTGTTGTCCTCCGTCGCGAAGACGTGGCCGCGGAAGCCGTCTGCGTCGGGTTCCCAGCCGAAGGGGTAGCTCTATTTGGGGGTGTGGGGGGGAGGACGTAAGCAGAAAGCGGAGGGGGGATGAAATGAGATGACGCACGACGTTCCAGCCGTCGGGGAGGTCGTACCAGTCCTTGTCGCCCGGCTCGGAGTAAGCGTTGTTCGCCATCATCGCGAGTACCTGCAGCGTGCGCCTGCTGCCGATGTCGGGCGCGACGACCTCGACGGGGTCCCAGTCCACCGGGCTCGTCGTCAGGTTCGCGGACGCGTGATTCCGATCGTGGCCGTACTTGAGCAGGAGGTCGCGGCCGTGTCTGCGCGCGGCGGTGAACGCGGCGAAAGAGGACGGCCGGTGGGTGGTCGCGCGGCGCGTGCGTGCCTCGTAGACCGTGTAGGGCGAGTCAGAGTCCAAGTCCAAGTGTAGAGGCCCGGACTGATCTAACGTGAACGCGAGCGCGTCCGAAGGCGGCAGCCGGACGTCGCGGAAGATGGTCCGGGACGTGTTCAGGGAGACGGCGTGCTCGTGGCGCAGCTCGAAGCGGAGCGTCGGCGTCGGCGTCGGCGTTGGTGGTCGTGATGTCGGGTCGTTGAGGAAGAATAACGACAACAATATGCGCAGGCTGGCCGGCAGGAGGCTCAGCATCGTGCAGCCCGGTGAGGGACACAACCAAGTCGAGGCCGGGCGGTGCCTCCGCGCCGGAGATGACCGCCCAGGGCAGGATTCACTGCGCACCGGCACATCCTCGGCGCCCCCCGCGCTCCAGCGCATAGTGGTTCGACCCACTCATCTTTTTGTACTTATCTCTTGTTCTCTCTCTCCCCCACCACCACAGCGATGCCCAGGGTACCGTCCATATCGCCCGCGACGGGCCTACCGACGCCCCCCGACTTCGTGCACACCACCGCCGGCCAGTTCGTCGACACCACCGGACGCACCCTCCTCCTCCGCGGCATCAACCTCTCTGGCTCGGCGAAGGCCCCCGTGGACAAGCCGAGCTACGTGATCGAAGGGCTCTGGGACGACGCCGAGGCCGGCGGGAGCAGCTTTGTGGGCAGGCCGCTCAACCTCGATGACGGCTCGGCCGACGTGCACCTCGCGCGCCTGCGCGGCTGGGGGTTCAACATGCTGCGATACGTCGTGACCTGGGAAGCGATAGAGCACGAAGGACCGTGAGTGCCACGTCTCCGTGCCATCCCAAGCTGCATCGCACTGAACGAGCTCTCCAGAGGCAAGTACGATTACGAGTTCATGGACTACACCGTCCGCGTCCTTAGGAAATGCAAGGAATACGGCTTCCGTATATTCATGGACCCGCACCAGGACGTGGTAAGTGTCGCCTGCCTTAACCCCCCCCCTCCCCCGCCCATGTATCGCACACCCTCACCACGCGCTCCTCCCGCTACCTAGTGGTCTCGCTTCTCCGGCGGGTCCGGCGCCCCCTTCTGGACCCTCCACGCCTGCGGCTTCGAGCCGCGCAACTTCACCACTACCAGCGCCGCCTTCGTCCACGCCGAGTACCCTTCACCCTCCTCCCCGGACCCGGCCTCCTTCCCGGCCATGATCTGGTCGACCAACTACATCCACCTCGCCTCGCTCACCCTCTTCACCCTCTTCTTCGCCGGCCGCGACTACGCCCCAAAGTGCGTCCTCGACGGCGTCAACGTCCAGGACTACCTGCAGTCGCACTACGTCGCCGCGATGGGCGCGCTCGCGGACCGGATCCGCGCCGCCGGCGACCTCCTCGACGACTGCGTCCTCGGCTGGGACAGCCTGAACGAGCCCTCGGAAGGGCTCATCGGCTTCCCCGACCTCGACTCCACCTCCGCCAACTCGACCGCGCAGCTCAAGAAGGGCCCGACGCCCACCGCCGCGCAGTCGTTCCGGCTCGGCATGGGCGCCGCGCAGACGGTCGAGGACTGGGATTTCGGCCAGTTCGGGCCGAAAAAGGTGGGCGAGGTGACGATCGACCCGCGGGGCGTGCGCGCGTGGGCGGACCCGGGGATGGAGGACGAGCGCGGCGTGCACCCCAAGTGGGGCTGGACGCGCGATCCGGGCTGGAAGCTCGGCACCTGCCTCTGGGCGCAACACGGCGTCTGGGACCCGGACTCGGGCGCGGTGCTCGAGCCCGAGTACTTCAACCGCCGCCGCCCCGGTTCCTCCTCCTCCTCCTTCTCCTCCGAAAACGCGGCGGTCGACTTCAACGCGGACTACTGGGCGCCGCACTGGCGCGCGTTCGCGGCGCGGATCCGCGCCGCGCACCCGGAGGCGATCCACTTCGTGAACCCGCCCGTGTTCAGCGCGCCCCCTCCCCTGGACGAGGCCGACCTCCGCGGGCGCGCGGCCTACTCGGCGCACTACTACGACGGCCTCACGCTCGTCTCCCGCCACTGGAACTGGTTCAACGCGGACGCGCTCGGGATGATGCGCGGCAAGTACTCGAACGTCCTCCAGGCGATCCGCGTCGGCGAGGGCGCGATCCGCAAGTGCCTCGGCGAGCAGCTCGGCGTGCTCAAGCGGGACGCGGAGATACTGGGGCCGTACCCGACGCTGATCGGCGAGATCGGGATCCCGTACGACATGGACGGCAAGCGCGCGTACGGCCGCACGGACGGCGGGCGGTACAAGGGCGACTACGGGCGCCAGCAGCGCGCGCTGGACGCGAGCCTGAACGCGACGGACGGGGCGAACGCGCTGAGCTACACGATCTGGACGTACTGCCCGGACAACGGGCACGAGTGGGGCGACGGCTGGAACCTCGAGGACCTGAGCGTGTGGAGCCCGGACGACGCGAAGGGCGGGGAGGGACAGCGGCGGTACCGGATGAGCGCGGCGGAGCTCGGGATGGGGCCCTCGACGCTGTCGCTCGCCACGCTCAAGGGAGGAGGAGGAGGCCCGGGGGAGGAGGACGCGGAGGGGCGCTGGGACGGCCTGTACGCGCTGCTCACCGACGGCGCGCGCGCGCCCAAGGCGTTCTGCCGGCCGTACCCGGTCGCGACCGTCGGCATCCCGTCCCACATCGCGTTCGACATCGCCAAGGCCGAGCTCAGGCTCGCCGTCCGCGTGAGCGCCGACGACGCGCCGCGCGTCGCGTCCGAGGACGCCAGCCTGTCGACGACGTCGCTGGCGCTGGACAAGGACGACGATGACGCGCCGGCGACGGAGATCTACGTCCCGCTCGTGCACTACGCGAGCGACGCGGTTCTGGGCGAGCAGAGCCGGGCGGCGGACGCGGACGCGGACGCGGACGACGACGACGACGGGGCCGGCGCGGCGTCCCGGGCGGAACTGCTCCCGCCCGACGCGCGGCCGTCGCAGGCGGCGTCGTCGACGACGCTGGTCGTCAAGGCCGGCGAGCCGCTCGCGCTGGACGTGGAGGTGTCCGCGGGCCGGTGGGTGGTCGAGGGACAGACGCTCAGGTGGTGGTACCCCGTTCCTGCCGCGGGCGAGCCCGAGGTGGAGTATACGATCGTCGTCAGGCGGCGGGGCGGGGCGATCAAGACGGCGGAGGAGGTCGAGGCGGAGCGGAATGCGAGTTGTTGGGGGCTCGGGGAGTGGATGTGTCCGTTGGAGGGGTGCGTGGTGATGTGATGTGCGTGGAGCGAGGATGGGATTGGGATTTTATAGACGCTCTTGGGTGTGACGATTCTTATAGACGCACGCGCGTACTCCGCGCTGCTCGTGGACGGACCGACTGACTTGCTCGCGACAAAAACGACGTATACCCTCATCTTGTAATATTTCTGGTAATTAGTCTGTGATATACATAGCTGACTGTGACGAATAACAAATCTAGCCTATGGCGATGATGGAGGAGACGGAGTCCGATCCGCTTCCTCCGGGTTGGCATTGGCAGTATTAGTGCGAGGGGCTTCGAGCGTTCGCGGTGTGATGGGCGGCAGCTGTATCGGGTTGTCCGTGAACTCGGCCCATCCTCCGCGAAGACCGAATTCCACGACGCGCTCCAATATCCTCGTCAGCTCAGCGTTCCTATAAGAGGAAGAAATTCAAGCTCGTTTCAGCGCCGCCCGTCTTTGGCGATGAAAAAAAAAAACGCCAGACCGCGCCCAAATCGGCTCACCTCTGGTTAACCTCCTCGTACCGCTCCTCCGTGCTCTTCGCGTACTCGTCCAGCTTCTGGTTCAGCTCCTGGACCTTGCTCGCGAGGTCCTCGAGCGAGTCGTCCACCAGATCCCGACGGCGCGAATTCGACCGCGACGAGCGCCACGTTTCCGCTACGATCAGCAGCGCCGCGACGCCGAACAGGAAGCCCTCGGCCAACGCGTTCGCGCCGTTCTCGATGGCCCTGTAAACGCCCGCCCCCCCGTAAGACGCCCAGTGGACCCGGGTTCTGAGAGAGAGAGAGGCAGGTGGGTAAAACGCACTTGGTTTCCGAGAGCGGCCGAATGTTCTTCGCGGGCTCGCCGAGGAGGCTGGTGCGCAGCCTGACCTCCCCTCGGTGCATTCTCTGTGCGAGCGCAACGCATAGCCCTCGGAACTTTTCGTGTTGCTTGGCCTGAGTCTTTATGGTGTTGCTGATGGGCTTGGCTAAAGTCTCCAAGTGGATGAGGACCGGTGCAGCGCGCGGGACAGAGTATACTCACTCTGATGAGCAGTGTCCCTAGTTTAGCGCTAGCCATTTCTATGTCCGATGGAGATCAGAGGCGACAGTTATATCTGCAAACAGAGATGAGGGAGAGAGTGGACGTGACGGCTCGGTGTGCCCCAGCGACGCGGATGCCGAAGGCTAACGCGTTCTTCCGAAGGTGCCGGGATGAGGAATATTATATTGATAAAGATGAAATAGAGCAAAAAGGTCTGCGAAGGGCACGAGCCCGAGCGCGAACTGACGACACGTCCTGGTCTCGGAAGACTAATTCGGCGAGTCCTGCTGGTTGCGAAATTGCTTTCCTGGCCAGTCAAGGACAGATTATTCCATGCTTGCTCACAGCTTACGCCGCGTGAAGCGATGGTCACCAAATTTTCTCGAGGGGACGGTCTTGAACCAGCGCACTGCGGAACTGGACCGCTGATAAGAACCACCTCGCATTCCCGAGTTGGGGCCGTTACAGCCACTGAACCACGGGGGCATACATTACCGTGTATTTGCAGCCTTCATACCGTTTCGTAACGTGCGCAGTCAATCGCTGAGCGTTTGTTGGCGCAACCTCGCTTGAACTCACTCCCACGTACAGCTTCAGGACTGTTCCCGATTCCTGCACTGAGCGCTGTGCTTGCCGATAATCCGCCTTCCCCTCCTCTTGAAGTCTGTTGACACCACCCACGCAATGGATAGCCTTATTTTTGGAGATGCTCGCTGTCCTTAAGCTTTTCTTAGATGGCTTTCACGAACGCGACGACATGAAGGACACGTTTGGCATCATGCAAATGAGTCGATGACTCCGAGAATCACGCCTGCGCCCGTCGACAATCCACGCGCCAGTCTGCGCTCAATTGACCCTGTCTATTATGAGGGCCGCAGCCGGCGGCAGCGCCATGCCAGAGCAGCCTGCAGCGGAAATCTTGACGTTTCACCGGCTCCTCTGTTCTATATCACCTTGGACCTCGACGTCATCTGTAGCTACACACGACCGATGCCGCAAGCACGGCACGTCGCCCAGAAGACGAAGCGTCCTGCGCATGGGCTCACCAGCCGGTGCTTCCTACCTGCGGTACCGAGGCCTGGACGAGTCCCCATCTTGGGAACGGGGGCGCCACAAATTACGGCGCCTGAAACCTTCGCTCGAATGGTATGCATAACAGGACACCATCCGTGCCTCGATGCTGTCGCAAGCTCCTCTTCAACCCGACTGGCGCCCCCGGTCGACGACAAAGCCTACGACTCGGATACGCGATCTCCTCCATGGTTGACTGGCACAATCCAACAACGATCGCTTTACAGTACCGTAAATATCCCATCTCGAACTTCATTCCACTCGGTGTTGGCTTCATCTGACATCGACATCGACAGAGGGATTTATCAGGCTTTCCCATTTCCTCACCGGTGTAACATGGTGCGCAAAATACTGAATATAAGGTGGATGGAGAATAGCCGCCAATCTTGCAGCAGCTGCGAATTTGCGTTATCTCTTTCATATGACTGGAGTATCATCAGACGCAGACGACCTTGGAGATGGACGATGGTGGTAAGCACCCCGTACCTTCCCCTCCACCGAATACCAGACTGACGATGCGTGACAGCCCTACCTTATCATCCGATATAGTAATTTGCTGTTGTGTATGTTCATCATCATCGGGGCCGATATGGAAGGGTCCGCGCACATAAACTGCACGGCGAGTGGCGTTGTGTTATTAACCTTGACATGCCCAGCTCACGCGTCATCCACAGTGGTGGGAGATAATAACGCTTGTACGGAATATGACCGAGCCACGTCATCCGAACTTAGTACCGTCTTCCAGGGCCTTGGATATCTCGTCGTCGTATTTGCAACCGCGCTCCTGGGCATTCGTGCGTGAGTCTCAACGTCATGCTCGACTCTGGATGCCCCTGACAGCCGCGAGTCAGTATCGCTCTGTTAGGTGGAACGTGGAGAATAATCATCCTCGGGACGTCTATATGGATACTCGACACCGGCTTCAGTTTTTTCGGCACGTCGCGAACTTTTCCGTGTACCCTCAGGCTAGTATATATACTCACGATCACTGTACCGACAGGAGCAACCCGGGTACGCCTATCGCGCACAGCTTTTTCGCGTCCTCGCGTAACGTTCTCCCCTATATATGTAGGCCCCAGAGCGGATCGTCGAACAAAGCAGCGCTGGACTCTGCATGCCGATAAAGACCGAAAGAAACGCGTATTTTGCGCTCGTGAACACGGTCACCCACTTTATATTTCTGACCATGATGATGGTGGGGCTGCGAAAGACGAGGTATCCCGGTAAACTATGGAACCTGGCGTACAAGCAGGTATGCCGGGGCTCGACGGTCTGTGAAGGGGGCACTGACCCTGTTCATTAGGGCATCGTCTGGACGCTTGTTCCCGTGCTGCTGGAAATACCTAACGTTGTAAGTCGTGATCGGTCGAGGAGACTTCGTGATAGTGTCTGTACTGACGGGACAATCGTCCTGTCAGATATTCCTGGTCCTGGACTTGAACGGTAGGTATCTAGCATGGACACCGGTTCACGGCTTATAAAGCTCCGTTACAGATGTCATCAGTGTAGTGCGTCCTCGTGAAAATAGATACTGGCGTATCTTACTCTGGCATAGGTGTTTGAGACGGTATTCACGGTATTCCTGTGAGCGACAATGTCCGTTGGCTGATGGTGATTCAATTCTCACCAAGTTAACCCCAGGGCAATCGTCGTAACAAGGATCTACCGGGACATGTCGGAATTTTCTCCTGGTCCAAACGAGCGAGTGGTTTGATATTGATCTCCGCAAGGATCGCTCATCATGGCGTCGCAGGCTGACGACCAGCATGGTCCGACGAATGAATATCGGATGCTCAGACGATCAGATCACGCCTCACACAACCACGTCGCAACGACCGGAACATACGGCACTTACTTGCCTCCAGCTCCCGTTATACGTGAGTACAGATCCGTATTTCCGGTGAGTCAGATCGTAGGTAAAGTCTGAGACGACGCGTCTTGACGTATGATTGGTAAATCTAGTCGTCAAAGTATAACGGACATGCAAATTCGTGGAAGTACCGACCCTCATATCAGGGCGTAGGGCCTAGGTTCCTGGAAAGATGCGCACATTTTTGACACTATAAGAGCATGAACGAAGCGACTCATGGGCTGGATTCTACACGAAATTTGTTGCCTTAATCCGTTGCGAAGGATGTTGCCTTGATCCGTTCGTTATACTGACACGCTCAGTAAGTAGTACAACCGCTGTAAATACTAATTTTATACCATTGCGATTTGGTGGAGTTTTCCGTCAGAGACGACTGTAGGCTGAACGTTCGAATACTTGCGATGCACTTCAATCGGTAGCGCGCATGATGGCGAACAAATAACTCTCGAGCAAACTGAACTCTTCTCAACGAAGCCCACGTGGGGAGCACGCGAGCGAGGTCCGCGAGGGCCGGCGCCTCTCTCCTCCGCGACTTGGACAACGCTGGGGCAGTCTGCTACAACCTGCATATCCCGCCAACATCATCTCTTTGCCAAACATGAGCGCCTCTGACCCTCTGATTGCGCTGCAAGAAGCCATAAAGGCGAAAAAACCCATAACATACGCCTCAGACGGATCGCCCACACCCTCACTCGCGTCTGCATCCCACATCGTCCTCTCTACGTCCCTTGCGCTACCAAAGTCCACACCGACGCGGCTACGGCGGCCAGGGGCAACTTCTACGGACCCAACAGCAAGCCCTCAGGACTTCTTCTCGCTCGAGGCCGTCTATCTCGCATGGCTCTTACGAGAAGCGAGCAGCGCAGAGTACATGAAGCAGGCGCGGGAGAACGGCCTGCCGGTGGGCTTCGTGAGCGTTACGGAGAGGAAGGGGTTGGTGGACTGGCTCGAGGGGAGGACGGCCAGTCACGAGCGAGTCGTGCCGCTACAAGGTGCATTACGGTTCACAGTAACTCGTTCCGAAGCATTTCCCTGACCGTCGTACGTTCGTCGGAAGGCGAATCAACGACACCACCCGGGACCCCACCGAAACATGGCTTCTTCGCGAGTCTACCCTCGACGTCTGCGTTGGCGTCGTCTCAGCCGCAGGCATCACCGGCCAAGCGCCGATACGTCGCGGACGCGCAGGACGTTGAGATTGTGAAGAAGATCAGGGCAAACGAAATTGAACTGCGAGACCGGACGACGGTTCTTCGCGGCATCAAACCGAATGTAGGTCTTTCCTCCTTTGGTTCTCCGTTCCGAACCAGCGTCGAGCCTGAGCCACTCGTTCCCAGAACTTCTCCGCGCTCAAACTGCTATACTCCGAGAAGCTCAAGAAACTGAAGGACCCAAAGGGCGGAAGCGCATCCGCCGCTACGCCAGGTTCGTCTTTGTGTCCCCCTGTCGTCCTCGTCCATATGCCTGTCCTGAACGGCTGTTTGTTTCGCGTAGACCCCAAACATCTGGCACGAAAAGCCAAGAACATGAACCCCATCATCATCATCTCGTCCTCCCCCACCGCTCTCGTCACAATGTATAACGTGAAACGGTTCCTGGAAAACGCTGTGTTCGAGACCTCGCTAGATGCTCGCGCGCGCGCGACGGCGGAGGGCAACCCCAAGCCGGAGGATCTGATGCCCATATATCGCAGGCGGACAAACATCGACTCCTCTGGGTGAGTGCGGCGCCAACGCTGAAATGTTGCGCGCATACGCATCCCCGTGTGCTAACATCCTTTGCCGGATTGTAGCCGCGAGACCGAGAGTCAAGTCAAGTACTACGTCGTGGATGGCGTGGAGGCTCTGGCCAAATTCGGTCCCGACGCATGGGACCGTGTGGTATGCGTCATGACGACGGGCCAGGCATGGCAGTTCAGGAAGTACAAGTGGCCGGAGCCCAAGACGCTCTTCCACCACGGTGAACAACCCCCGCACCTTCTGCTCAATGCCAGTGTTAACGAAATCGATGCTTTCCACAGTCAAGGGCGTGTATTTTACGTGGACGAACGATCCGGCCAATCCTTCAGTAAAGGATTGGAACGTGACTGAACTCAAGGTACAAATTCCTCCACCGATAAAGCGTCACAACAGACTAATCAGCACATCTCTAGATCGACCGAAACAGACGACACGTTGACAAGGCGGTCGTAGCGCACTTTTGGAAGATCCTCGATGCATGGACGCAGGCGAACAAGCCATGGCTCATGAAGTAACATGCACACCTTTGCTGCTTGCCAACCAGTACATCTATCTTGCACATGCGTGTTTGCCGTCTTTGTGTGTACATCAAGCCCCGTTCCAACATTCTGACGCGTGGAGATCGAAGAGTTGACCGTCGACGTGCGAGGGCGGCACGAGATATGCATCACTAAGTGCTTCCTGTAAAAAATGCGGTGACCTTCCGCCGAACCACTGATTCCCCAAACTGCTCACTAAGCCTTCGAGTTACCTCTGGGTCGTCTGAGGCGAGCAAACGATCTTCGGTCGCTCCCCAGGTTCTCCGAGTTGTCCACCCTTCGCTACGGCGCGCCGAATGAGGATGTGTTTTCTCCATGCTCCTCGCTCGATTCGCCGTGTCGGTGGTGTTGGGGCTGGGGCCATCGCTTAACCTTAGTGGTAGCGGGGGAACGACGGACGCCCGTCGTTGCTCCCGCCGGAGGGCCTCTTTCCATCGGCCCTGTCGAGACAGTTCCAAGAAATCACCGGCGCGAGTTGCCTGTGGCGGGGTGTACCCCACCGACATATCATCAGCTGAAGGTTCACGGGACGCAAGGAAGCTGTTTTTCAAAGGAGAGTCCGAACGTCGGGAAACGCGACGGGCTGGCGGTCTACTCGCAGAGGAACTCCGGTGACTTCTCTGGAAGGACATGTTGACAAACGACCTCGGTTCTGATCCGTAGTGCTCGACGTCCTCAAAGGCCTTGTCGACGCTTTCCTCTGCGAATTCCTTGAGCCTCTGGATGACCTGCTCCGTCTTTCCGAGGTCGTTCGTTCGAGCGTGCACTCGCTTCACGACGTTGACGTGGAAGCCGTGCGTCTCCGCTATACGCGCCATGACCGTCTCGTACCCAACCCTTTGCATATATGTGAGGTCGTCGACGGAGGAACGAGACGCTGGCGACGATCGCCCGGATGCAAATGAACTGTGTGCCGAACTCAGAGGCGCGTGCAACCATCCCGAAGTACGGCGAGCTGGGGAAGACCGTACGCTTGATCGGCGGTATGTGACCTTCTCGCGAGCCAGGGCAGCGAGTAAATCGATGTATGGGATCTGTTCTGCTGCTGAGAAGCCCCCAAATGTCTGTCGCCGACGGTGTCGGGCTTGACGTCTACCAGAGACATCAAGATCAGGCGAACCTTGTGACTCGTCGAGGAAAGGATCGTCGCCGGCTTGTTCGCGTAAATGACGGGACAGACGTCGGCCTCGTGGCGGATCGGAAGCAGGATGCCCGTCAAACTGCAGGCGACCGGGTAGAGGCGCATGTGAGGGTGCCAGGCCGAGGGGCGGTTCTCTGGCGGCACCCAGATATCCTGATGAAACCGTCGATCTCCGCTTTGGGAACCCTCCCCTTTCCGAGGCTCGTTCTGCAGAGGAAACGGCAGCGGCCTCTAACCTGTGCGCCTCCGTGTATCGCTGCAAAGCACGTTCTGTATAGGACGGCGTCGGTGCGAGGCCTGGCTTTCCGAAGGGACCTGCATTATGAGTTGTGGAGAGAAGTGCCTCGTCCAGCTCTGATTCCTGTAGTGGTTCTTGATCGGTTTCCTCGTCCTCCTCTGGGTCTCCTAGTACATCGAGCACCTCATCAGCTGAACTGCCCCCGTCATCCATTATATCGTCCAGATCAACGCTCTCCGTCGAAGCCAAGGCCTCCTCCGCGTCTCGTTCACCGAAGACGGGTTTTTCAGATGAAGATATCTCGGCATGGGGGGTGGAAAGATTGCGGATATTTGAGACGGGCTGTGTGCCAATGATCTGTGCGCGCAGCCTTTCTTGCTCGGGTTCGCCCAGAATTCGCTCCTTGCCCTTCGCCGAGTGCGAGCTCGGCGGAGCTGCAACGTGTGATCGTCCGTCCACTCCCGTCGGGGTCGTTTCCCTTTCGCTAGAGGCCGCTTTGACCTTACGCTTCTTTCGCCTAGGTGGCCATTCCGAGACATGCCCTTCCGCGACCGTTTTCGAGTGCTCCGTCGCCCGTTCGTAGTCCTCGTCGTCCACGCCGCTTGCACGACGTTTTCCGGACGAGAAACGGGAGCGACGTCGTGCGTCCGTCAAGGCGTTGATGTACGGGCCTTCCTCGAAGTAGGGCGCCTCTCGGGGAGCCCGTTTTTGCGAGAAGGACGGGCGAGAAGGAGTTGTCAAGGATAGTTCAGGTTGACGAAGCTGGGTTGTGACGGTGGGGCTGCGACTGAAGTCGGTGAAGGCGTCGGTTTCGGCAGTTGGGGCGACAGAAAGCTCTCGCTGCGCGTGGGCTCCGGACCCATTCTCCGTATGGATGTTTTCGCCTGCGACTACGCGGGTTTCCCGATATTTATGCGCTTTGGTCGTGGGGATGACGTGAGTGCCGGACTTGACGGGATGAAGATCGGTATCGTCGAGCCCAGATGTTTCGGCTTCGACATCCACGGCAGCATCTCCATCAAGCCCGGACGGAGGTGGTGTCGGTTCTTGTGTCTGCACGAAGCTATCAAGATAGATTTTGAGTAAACAGTGACGTTGCGGTAGAAGACAACATACGAGTCGAGGAGGCTCGTATCGTCTGATTGAGATAGTGGACCTCGTGGCGTCGATTGCGCAAGCTGCGATGCGGAGAAGGTAACGTCCAGCAGCGTACGTTCAGTAGCGCTGGATCGCGGCTCCTGAGACCAGATATGGGCGCTGCGTTGCATTTTAGTCAGCCTTGGTCTGACATAAACGAGAACGAGAAACATAAACTAACGAGGTGGCCCGAACCTTGTCCCTGTCCCTCACCGGGGCATGTTGTGTGGGCGTTACCCCCTCTTCCTGATGCCTCTTAGGGATCTCACCAGCATCCTCGTCTTCATCATTCGAGGGACCGTCGAAAATTTCGCCCCCATAGTCATCTGAAGGAGGAACGTCGAACGACTGGGCCCTCATACTCCGCCGAGTATCCTCTGCCTGCGAGACAGGAACATTCCGAATTGCATAACTGAATTGAGAACCCTGAACGAGCGTTCTGGAAGAGTCTTGGCTTCTTTGTGGGGGTGCATCAATCCCATATCTGCTTCGTCCCAAGGGTGGCGACCGTCCTCGCGCAGTTCCTTCTTGAGTCCGATTTCTGGTTGGTTCTCCTGCGGAATTACCCTCGGCCTGTAAAATTCGGGTTCCTGTGCGAGGCGGACCTGCTGTTCGTGTCTCCTGTACACCAGAACGACGCGGCTTCTCCCGCTCTCTGTCCTCTTTCTGGGTGCTAACCTCATGCTTGCTGTAGGCTGAGGTACCTTCGGAGAGACGAACAATCCGGATATCAGGGTTCTCCGTCGGCAGGCCTCGCCGTTCTTGGTACTTCAGAATCCTGTGATTGAACCAGTCTTTGCGGTGGCAGTAGCGATCTCGCCATGAATGCCATGTATGTCTCCGAGCCCAAGGCCAAGTGCCGTCAACCTGATAAGGCGAAGGAGAGACAGATCATCACAGACAGCACGATGAAATAGTGCCCGTAACGTGACGAGCAAAAGTATAACGTACGTCTTGGACTAATCTTTGATATAACGCGTTTCCGGAGCGACCTGCTACACCGGGGTTGTATTTGGCAATGTACTTTACGAGTAGCTGGTCTTCATCCGAGGTAAACTTTACGCGACCAGGCCGACTAGCAGTTGTCATCAGGGGGAATGAAGACTCATGAAACACCAGATACGAACGGCGCGTTGCTCATGCCTTCTGCGCGTGTCGTCGCGGAAGGTGGGAAAGAAAACGCGCAGCACGTGCCACGCGCCTGGAAAATCTTCGACGTCATATTTGAGCGTAATACTACTAAGTTACTACCGGGCATAAACTGCTAAGGGGTGCTCCATATTCTTATAATCTAGTTGTTTATCTTGTCTAGAAATCATCTCCCTTGCACACAGACACTCGCTCTACTGACATATACCGCTGGGGCTTGGACAAGACTCAGGTTGAATGACGAAGCGTCCTCCGTCTGCTTCAGCGGGCAAGCGGCCCAAGAAGTTTGTGGAGGGTACAGTGAGTATATATCGAAGTCATATTGCGATCATTATTGAAATCTTTTACCGCAGAGCACGGCGCTTGAGCTTGCAGCTTCAATCGCAGCCCAACAGGAGAAGAAAACTCAGGATAAGACGGACGCGAACAAGCGCAGAGTATCCCATAACACGGAACATGTGCGTATCACTACTGTATCTCTCGAGTGTACTGTAGCGAACGTACCGCTTATGACGATATGCTTATAGTCGTCTCCTACTGTTACTACTCGAGATCGAAAGTCTCGAAGCTCAGGGTCGCAGAAACTGGTACGCATATGTGATGCCGGTGAATGATGCTCTTATGAGCTTGAGCTTGACGCTCGCTCACAGAAAGCCGTCAAGGAAGTTCTTCTCGCTCGACAGAAGGAGAAGACTAAGCTGCGGCGGAAGCGAACTAACAAATCCGATACTACGGCCGACCCGACCTCAAACGTCTTTCGGTCCACGGCAGATCGGGAGCCAGCCGCCACTGGCGCCTCCGCAACCGCAACCGCAGACCAGGCAGCAAAGGTCAAGCCAGGACGCAAAAGAGTTGCATTCGCATGAACACCATCCTGAACTACCATCGAGGAGGCCCTCAGGCATTCCTCTGCTCAAAGTCTCCACCTTGCAAGCAGGCCGCGATGCCAAGTAGCGCTGTCCTCCTGCGGCTTGGGATACGCTCCTTTGCCACGGGGATCGATAGACCATGCCAAGCCTTCGCTGCACTCTGAACCGTGCATCCGATATCTTGCGACAGTTGGAGCAATATGCAGGCACGGGATTCAAGGGACGCATGCGCTCTGTGGATGAAGTTTGGGCAGATAGTAGATCCCATCAGCATGGATCTTTCACGGACTGCTCGAGCTGGATTGTGCTTTGGGAGATTTCCAATGCAGGAAACGAACGGAGATAGGATGACAGTCCTGAGCTTCAGGTTCAGGGCTGAAATGTAACATGTTTAGCCATCGTGCCAGGGATGTATTACATTGTGCATTATACCTAAACAATATGTGTGTATGATCCTCAGGACCACCGTTCGGACACCGTAGCATATTTGTCACCCTACTAGCGCGCCCGTCCCTGAGGTTCGTCAGGATCCTCCTTGCACGCGATCGGTGATGGTGCGACAGTGTCCTCTTCCACCGCTATTGTCACCTGAGGAGTCGCGCTGTCGAGATCTGATTTCATCGCAAGTACTTTCCTCATTTTCACATTCACGACCTTCCGTGCGCTCGGACAGAGATTCTTCCCGGGTAACTCGCACAGATCGCAGCGAGGACCGATCGGTAGGCACACCGTCTATAACCATGCTATGAACATGAGACGTTTCGGGAGTGTGATCGACCTTACCTGACCGAACCCTACAAGCATATGATTGATCTCTGGGTGTAGCTCCTTGGGCAGCCATGACTGTAGATTGAGCCTGCTAAACACTTGAGCATTGTCTATCGGTATGATCTGTTCGTCATGATCGCTGACCTCGTCTCTTCGGGATTCTTAGTTGGCGGTTTGTGCCATCCAAGTCTATTCGTGATGCGATGCACATGAACGTCTACCCCTATACCGGAGTTCCTGTCCATGGTCTGTCAGCCCAGGTATCACGCAGGTGCTGTGGAAGATACCGACAGTTTCCACGCCACTTGCAGGGCGAGGAACGCCATTTTCGGCCCGACGCCTGGCAGTGAACACAACTCGTCAACGGTCTTGGGCACATCCCCATTGAACTCGTCCTTAAGCATTTGAGCAGCTTTCTTGATATATCTAAGGGATTCCGCCATGAGCCTAGCAAAATTCATCCGGGCATCGGAAACCGTACGTGGTCTTTCGCCTCCAGAAGCCGACCTTGTTGATCGCGTCGGATACGAGGTCCTCGGCAGCGCCTATGACTGCGTCAATCGTGATGCTCCCGCCAAGAGCCGCGCGCAGTTTCTTAACGGCGGCATCGGTGACTTCGTCCTTGGTTTGCGAGGAAAGCATCAACGATACGAGTGTCGAAAACCGTTGACTCTGACATCCGACCTCTGTAAGATGTCGAAGTAAAGGGGTCCTATGGACCGCACTACACCTTCGCGTCCTTCTCTTCGTCTTGTGCGCGTTCACATCCCATCGTATCTACTGGTGCTGTGATCTTTGCGCGCATTTGTCGTATGGTATTGTATGTTTCCTCCCAGTTGGCGGGAGCGGGATGAGGAACCTCTAGCGATTGAGGGACCGGCTTAGCCTTCTTCCGTGGAGAAGTCGAGGTAGGCTTGCGGTCCTGGTCCGCCACAGAAACGGCTACATCATCTAGTGAAGACCTCTTCCTTTTGACATTCGAAGCACGTCTCTTTCTAGAGGGTCCAGAAACAGCATCCTCCACGTCAAGCATAATCGACTCGACCTTCATCTCGCAAGGAGTCTTGTTCTCCTCCTTGACATCTTTGGATGAATTCCGCGTACGTTTCGACCTCCTGAGTTCGGCCACATCTTCTTCGTGTTTAACAGCAGCACCCTGAGTCGAGGGCTCAAACAAAGTGACGGCTGAGTGGAACGCGCTGCGTCGTGCACGTAAGCGTGTACTCGGAGACGGAATTTGTTTGGATGCGGACATAAGAACGCGTAGTATGATGTGGATGAGTCAAGTGTAGAGTGCACTGCGAGTCTGGCGCAGTGTCTTAGAGTAGTCACCGGAGCAAGTAAAATGTCGCAGAGATGTGGTGATCCTTCTCGACTCTTGCAAAGATTCTGATGATCGTGGTCCTGGGGCATGGTGACGAGGAGCGACACTGTCAGGCGCCCAAGCACAGCCGCCCCCTATATGCCCTACCTGCCGGTTAATTAACCGCGTAAGTATACTCACCGTAGCGGGACTGTAGTCCCTTCACGCCGACCTACGGTAATGCAATCTCGCTGCTCTCTGGTTCCATGTGAGGAGGTACGGACGCGGGTCCTCGTCTCCGGGTGCGACCAGCTCCGTGCCAGGATATGATTGGTCAAGCAGCACCTTGAGCCAGCAGAAATAAAAAATCCAGCTCTAAACAATGGAGAAACGAGAGACGAAGTAACAACGGTAATGCCATCGCTATCGCAAGGTGGCACCGTCAGGTGGACGTATCCCTGGCCCAGCAAGGTCATTATCTCCTTCTTGCTCCTCTTCCAACCTCTCCACTATCCCCTCTCCGCGTTCCTCGTCGTCCTGCACCTTCTTCCCCGGCGCGTGATCCAACTCCTTCTCGGGCACCTGCGGAACGCGTTAACATTAGCTGACCCGACTAAACGTCCGAGACGATGTTTCCAGACGCACCGCCAATCGGACGAGGAAGGCGAGCCCGGTCGCGACCGCGGCGAAGGTGAACACCGCTTTGATCGCGATCGCGTACGAATCGCGAGCTTTGCGTTGCAGCTCTGGAGGCAGATGGTGAACCAGCTGTGCAGAATGCCTGATGGACGTGATGATCTAGCGAACGAGGAGGGGATTGGTAAGCGGCCTTTCTCCTGCAAGCGTATTGACGTATCACTAACGCGATGTGCATCAGGTCCGTGAATACGACGGCGGAGCTCCTTGTCGAGCCTCGATTGGAATAATGCGGACGAAATTGCGACACCGCCCACTTGACCTAGAAGCGACGACGGGATCAGGGAGATTCAAGGACTGCCGAAGTCAACGTACCGATTCCTCGGAACAAGGTTCCGAATCCGGTGCCTACAGCGACAGCATTCTCTGCGGTAGGCAACAGTCAGGACAGAGCGAAGGTACACGCTGAAGTGACGAACCAGGCAAGTGAGCTAGCATGGCAACTAAACACGATTTCAACTTGAGTACTCGAAATCTCATGAGGATGTATGCGCACTCAGCATAGTCTGCAGTACCACTGCGTTTCCAAAGCCCATAGGGATCTATATATCTTTCAGCTCAGCGAGGTCCCACGATATCGGTGATAGCAGGACGCACGATGCTTAACCATTCTTGCACAAATCCCGAGTCTTCTCTTATTTGCGTGATGAGAAGGCAGGCGATGAAGGGAAAGATTCCGCAAATCGTGCTGAGAAGCTTGTACTTCCCCGTTCGGTGAAGCATCCAGCTGAAATTGCGTCAACTCAGGCTACGGGTTACCTAATCATCCTCGAAAAATACGACGCACCCAGCAAACAGAGAACCTGTTGACATGGATATGCTGTTCGGCGTCATATGCAGACCTTTAACGCCGTGATATCAGGCCAGTCGGTTTTTTCATGACGATCGCCCGAGACACGTACCGGCGTTTGACGCGCTCCTGAGAAGAACCGTCTGGAACCACATCGGGAAGAAGAACTGGATCGCAAAGTTGCAATTGGCCACGAGAAAGTTGCTGGCCGAGACCAGCATAGTGATCTTGTGTCGTAGCAGCCACGGCGCCATCACCGGCTCGACCGCCCACCGGAGTTCGATGTAGACAAAAAGGAGCGCCAGGACGAATCCGAGGACGAGGGGAACGATGACGCCTACGCTTGTCCACTGGAACAGGGAGAGTTGAGCGGACACAGCTCGCTTTTGATACAATGTGACATACCGAATACTCCAAATTGAAGCGATTTGAGAGGAATATCAACACTGAAAGGACCTGTGGAATACATGAGGCCAGTCTCTGAGCAGCGTTACGAGTTGCGTACGGCACCCATCAACACGAGACTACCGGCGTAATCGATGCGCTTGAGGATCTCTTTTGTGGTTTGCCCCTTTCCCTGCAATGCCTAAGCGTGAGCCTTCCAGTGCGGTACGTTGATGAAATTGAAACTCGCGGGCGTGACATATCGCAGGTTCCAAGATGTCAGCAAGATGGAGACGAGGAAAAGAGGCGCCTGGGTTAGGAAAGCCCAGCGCCACCCAAACCTGGGGAGAATTTGAACGTCAAAAGGCGTACAGGTGAATATCGCGATAGTTGATACCAGTCGGTCAGCAGCCCGCCGATGGGACCTCCGAGGCCCATTCCGAGCTATGGATCGTAATAAGTACCCGGGCCACGTCTTTTGGGGAGCAGCTTACCCCGTTGAAGATGTTCATGATCCCTTGGGACAGTCCACGTTCCTGCAGGACGTTGAACACAACAAGATAGACCAGAAATACTTCCTAGACACTAACTCGTAAGGAGTACATATCGCTCGTGATAATGCTAGAGCATGGAGTGAATACATGCACAATACATGAGAGGGTTCGACGCACCTTGCGGTCACAAACACGCCTCCTCCTCCAATCCCACATAGCTACGAGATTAAAAATGAGTTCTAGTATACTGGTCATTAAGAGTCACTGACGAATCGTGCGAGTATGAGTGTTTCCATATTCCGGGACAATCCGCAAGCCAGCGTCCCGAGCCCCGCAAAGATGACGGCGCACTGGTTTGCCCCTCTGCGCCCCAGGACGTTACATAGTCGCCCATATAGAGGCGTAAACGTGCAGGTGGCGAGGAGATAACTTCAAGCAGACGGAATTGAGATCATGAGACGGCACAGAGCAGTGTACTAGTATATCCGCACGCTGTGCCGAGCCAACTGGCCTGGTTGGACTTTTGGAACTCGGAGGAGATGGAAGGGATCACTGCGGCCAGTGTGAGTGTAGTGTTCCTCAATATCGCCCAGCGAACGCACATGTAGCCACAAGTGTCGCTGAGAGTATCGTCAGCCACGAATGTGATCAGGCAACGGATCTGACGTACTGTTCACTGCCTATACTAGCAACAAATGAATCGGCCACAGCGTTCAAAGAATCTAGACAACGATAGGACCACAAGTTCCACGTACTGAAAGAAAGGTAGCGACCCAAATGCCTGCGAGGATCCCATACCGGGTCGAACGGGTGATCTCCAGCGGCCCTACTCCTTTGGCCTTAGCTTTCAGACTCCTTGAATGTGAGGAGCCAGAGTCGGAAACATCTTCATCTCTGCGGATCGTCGAGGACGACGCGCTTGACAGTAACGGATCCCGTTCCGAGGGTGCAGACATCGTGAAGGGAGCTCTGAAGAGCTATGGGTGCTCACGCGCGCCGAAGTCGTCCCGCTTTTGTACGGCTGCAGCACGGAGAAAGAAGCGAGGGCTCAATTTCAAATTCAATTATGCAAAAACCCCAGAAATAGCTCCGAGATCCGGGTTATGGTCGCTGTGCGCTCTACACGGTTCATCGTCGACGTCTATCTTACAGCCCGACGCTTGAGTCAACGGAGTCGAGAAATAAGGAGAACGCAAAGCCACGATTAAAACTCGACGATCAGCAACCTCCATTTTCTCTTCCGCTGTTTCAGCTCTCGGCGTGCTCGTTTCCTCGACTGACGATCATCCTCCTCTAGATGAATATCACTCGTGCCTGGAGGGATGTAATCTAACTGCTGGTCACGGTCCGGGAGTGGTCCATCCCCTCGACCGCTGAACCGCGTCTCACCCAAGGCAAGGACGACATCCATCCGGCGCGGGTTGAAGAATCGCTGTTAACGCACGAATTTTTAGCGTCAGGATTTTTATCCGCGCGCGGGCAGGATTCAGAATCCGACGTACGGAGTTCCAGATGTCGATCAGTTCGCCGACGACGCCTCCCTTGCGTTTCTTCATGTACCGCTCCATCGCGAGCGAGACGAAGATGCCCGCGAGGCCGACGTGCAGCGCGAGCGGGACCAACCCCGCGACGACGCGTTGACTCGTCTTCAAGAGCGCGGCGATCGCGATATCCTCGAGGAACCTGGGTCGGGGGCGAAGTCAGCACAGAAACCTCCACATCTCGGTTACATTTTTTTTTTTGGCTTGACTCACCGGACCCAATCCGCCTCTTGGACGTTGTGCGTCGCGAACGGGTGCGGCTGGCCCGGCCAATCGGCGACGTGGATGGGTGCGGTGAGCGGGAAGCCGTCGGTGAGGAGGACGCTGCGGCACCGGACGGACATGTACCGGAACGGGGCGAAGGTCAAGGCCGGCGACGGCGCCGGTGGTGGACGCGAGAACGATGGCGGGAGCGGGTTGAGAGGGTCGCGCGGGGCGACGAACTCGTTCTTGATGCGCGCCAGCAAGGACGGTTTCTCCCGTGCCGGGGTTGACGGTGCAGGTTGAGGGATCGATGGCGCAGCTTCGTGATCCCAGTCTGAAGCAGGGTATGCGTATTGGGGTGGATGTTCCGCTCGACGATGGGTCGCACTGATAAGATGCAGTGGGTGCTCTTCATAGGACGGCAGATGCCCGCTGCCATGCATCGCGATGCCGGACATTTGTGGGTGTAATCGGACGTTGATTCCAGGGTTGATCGACATCGCCTGCAGCGGGTTTTACTTGGGCAGTTGAATCTGGTGGGAGGAGGTTATAAGGAGCACTCCGCAGCGACACAACCTTCGCGTTTTGTAGACGACTGGCTCCCCGGCGACTGGAAGACGAGTAGTGTGCGCCGTGACGTCCGCTCGCGGTTCGTGCGCAGGAGACTTGCGCACAAGACGAGCCTGCTTTCGAACGTGTTGGCCCTTGGCGTTCATCAACCTCCATCCCACATCGTAGCTTTCGAGACTTTCACTGCATCATGTGCGGCAACACTCGCGCCGGGGCGTCCTTGCCTATCGCTTTCGCTGCGTCGAGAGAAGAAAAGCACGGACGATAAAAAACGATGCATTGCAATCTCTCAGAAGAAAAAAAACAAAGTTGAGAACATGCAACGAACAACGGCGCAGGCACACAGATCACAGAGGGATCACCACAAGCCGCCACGGCTCCTTATGCTCCCTCTTGCGCTCCCTCCGCTCGGACCTATCCCCGCGCCTGCGCCCCCTCCTCTCCGCCTTCTCCGCCCTCCTCATCTCCCTCCGCTCGCGCTTCGCGGCGCGCCGATCGCCCGCTCCGTACATCATCCCCGGTCGTCCGCCGCCCAGACCGCCCATTCCCATCCCCATGTCGCCCGCTCCGAGCCTGCCGCCGTAGTTGAAACCGTCGCGTGGCCGGCCGGGTTGTTGTCGTTGCTGGTGGTGTTGATCATGTTGGCTATGATGGTGGTCGGAGAGCGAATCGGAGGAGCTGGAGGACGAGGACGAGGAGCGGGACGAGGCGCGACTGAGCGCCGGGTAGAACTGCGCATCCGGGAGCGCCGCCTCGGTCTGTCGGCCGCTATAGCGCGTCTGCCCTTGGGCGAGGACGACTTCCATACGCCGGGGATGGAAGAAGTGCTATGGGAAAAAAATACGTCAGTAAAGACGATGGTGATCATCGTGGTTTTGAGAGGCATTACCTGGTTCCAGACGTCGATGAGCTCGCCCACGACGCCCGCTTTGCGGCGCTTCATTCCCTTCTCGATCGCGCGCGATACGAAGAAGCCGGCGAAGCCGATGTGCATCGTCATCGGGAGCACGCCGGCGACGACGCGTTGGGTGCCTTTTAACCGACCGGCGATTTGGAGGTCTTCCAAAAATCTATAGGGGCAAACGATGTGACGGTCAGGACACCGCGTTACCGATACAAATAAGAGGTTAAACGAACCTGGTCCAGTCGGCTTCTTGGATGTCGTGCGTCGCGAAGGGGTGAGGCTGCCCTGGGGCCGCGTTGCTCAAGGCGGGCGCGATGAGCGGGAAGCCGGCGTCGAGGTGGGAGCCTTTCGAGGTGAGCGCCATGTAGGGGAAGGGGCCGTAGGGGAGGCGCGAGTCGGCGGTGCGCGCGAAGGACGGAGGGGGCGGGTTGAGCGGGTCGCGAGGCGCGACTTTGTCCTTCACGCCGGACCAGAAGCCGGACGAGGACCCTCCGCCTTGAGAGAGGGAGGCATCGTCGCGTTGGGTGGGGGCGGGTCCGGGACGCGCGCTGGAACCAGATGCGGCCGGCTGGCTTCTGTCGAGGGTGGAGGGAGATGGAGGGCGGAGAACGACCGGAGAGCGGGACGGCTTCTCGGTGGGGTATTGTTGGCGCGACGCAGCGGAGGGAGGGGGGAAGCTGTGGTCGTCGTAGGACGGGGGAGGAAGGTCCGTGTCGACTCCCGGTGGAGGACCGACGGGGGGCGCGAAGTGGGAGGACGGCGTCTGTCCCTCGAAAGGCGCGCTGGGTCCGGGGCTGCTTGACGGAGCGAAGGCTGGCTCTGGCATCGACAGCGGCTGCCTGAAGGGGTTGTTGGACGCGAGCTCGGGTGTCTTGGACATTGTTCGATACGTAGATGTATGTGTGATCTACGACACCCTGAACGCGCAGGGCCTTTATATCAGCGCGGCACGGCTGATTAGCGTGCAGACGCATATCGGGGGCGACGGCAAAACGGCAAATCGAAATGTGGCTAAGTGTGTGATGGGGGCGATGACGGGATGGAGAGGTAGGTTATATTTCCGGCGCGGTCCCAATAGCGGAACAACCACTGAACAACCGGTTGCCGCACCGCACGCCAGTACGTGCGGCTTGGCGCACACAGTGCATCCACGGTTCCCGTGAGCTGTATAACAGCCGACACACCGCTTCAGCTTTTGCCATAGACTCGCCTTCGATAGCAGGATAACCATGTTCACCGCCGCCGCCGTCTATTACGTGCAAGCTACACAGCTCTCCGTTCTCATCTGAACTTTTACCCGATGGAAACCCGCTCCATTCAATTTCAAGTCAGATGTGACTCTACGAATCTAGCTGGAGCTGGAATTCAGTGAATTCAAAACGGGTCGATGTAGATGGCTTATATCGTTCTCCTTGGGACACATTCAACGTCCAACTTGAACAAACATCCAACCTGACAGTTGATCTCAACATATGTGCATAGCGATTGTCTCTTGCCCAAACGAGACCTCCGCATTGGTGACGTTTCGGAGACTGTACTACATATGCACGATGCCGCTACGAGACGTCCCGCTCGCAAGAACTTGCCCGAAAGTAAAGCGCTTGTGTATGCAGAACATCTAGTCTTCGCTTCATACAGGCAGCTGTGCGACTGATGTCGACGGGAACTTGGTGCATGGCGTCAGTCTTTGCGTGCCCGCGCCCTAGTTACGATCTCGTAAGCTTTCCGCCGTGTTTTAGCAGCTATGTGCTCTCGTGGGGCAATTTGTTGAACTCATTCCAGCGGCTCAGCTATGTCCCCGAATTGCGGACGCTCTGTGGTATTTGGTAATAATCAGCATTGCAGATGGGGTCAGGGCATCCGTACCGAACTCACCCCGATGCATGGTTATGAGACGCCTCTGCCACTGCTAGCTCATATGTCGGCGGTGGGCCACCATACAAATCGTCGATTTCCGGCTCTCTGTCCACACGCAGTTCTTCAACTCGCGGGCTCGCTTCGCGCGTACGTCCTCGCCTTGCGGTGCGATGCGCCTCGCGGCGTGAAGATCGGGATGGTTCACTTCTTTCCCGTCGGGCCGCAGACGCACTCGTGCGCCCGTACTCACGGTCCGCGGACACGACAGAGGACGTCGACGACACCCTGCAATCCTGCCCTAACCGCGACGTCGCCGTCGCCGACGACGTGAGCGGGCGTTTTCGTGGACGCGATGCTCTGCGGGCGGTCTCGAGCGCCGAATGTTCGGCGTTTCTCCTTTCGCGACGGCGAGCACGACGCGCACCGTCCGTTACGGGCCGCGGGGCCGAGTGGTGGTTATCCGGCGGGCTCCAAGGGGTGACCGTGTTATCCGGAAGTGCTGCAGCTGGTTCATATGGTCAAAAATCGGTTCGGGCGGCTGTCGCCGAGGGTCTCACAAGATGCACCTGCTCTGCCCCTTCGCCGGCGCCGTATGACGCAAAAGCCGACTAGAAACCCGCAAACGACGAGCAGTCCGACAGCGATGCCAGCGACAATTGGTATTATTCTTGGCTTGTGAACATTGGCACCATCGCTCGAGTTGCTCGGCGAAGACGGCATGATGCTAGACGACGGAGCAGCAGATGTGACTTGTGGAGGAGAGGTGCTATTCAAGTCCGTGGCATCGACGAATCTAGAGGATCTCCGTTGATTAAGACGATTCGTATCAAAATCCCGTCGCGCTCACGTGTAGATAGCATAGTCGAACGCAATATACGATTCGTTGTTAGCTTCTATCAGAAGGCTGTGTGTTCCGGGGGTTAATCCTTCGCTGCTGTGCACATTCACGTTGTAGAGAAAAATGTTGCTGGGATCGGGCTCGTGGACATAGGTGCCTACGACCGTCTGATTGAGGGTGAACGTCATGTTGGCTGCGGTCGTGATATGTCCACCACGGACCGCAGGCGCTACGGTATTGGGCACTATACAAAATACATAGATGGCCTGGCAAGCGAGGTCAGCACATCAATCGGGGGTGGTTCTCAGTGAACTGACGGAACCGGTAAAAGTCAATGTCAAAGAACGCGCTTGAGCTTGCGGATTGCTGATTGGATCGTTGGTCGCATCGTGCCAGCTCTCATCGAACGCCAAGGAACGATCGGGCTGGACACCACATCCAGGACAGTTAGGTCCGTAACTCCAGCCGGTCTGGGCAGCTTACAGGTAAGCACAATGACGTTTCGCCTCGATGAGCGCTTCTGAAGACATACCGGCGAATACGACGGCATTTCCCCAGTCCTGGCATCCCCGTTGTGATCGTCAATCGTGTAGTTCAAGATGGAAGCGCGCGCTAGCCATAGCAGATGATGAAGAACGTGGATTCTCCAGAAGAAGCGTGCTAGAAGCATAGACAACGGGACGATGGGACTGTCGTGAGAGAGAGGAGCAGTAGCATTTGAGCAATGCGGTGGGATGCTCGATGACCTCGAACTCGAATACGGCGAGGCTATGCGTAGGTGGGTATGACACCTGTATTTCCGCAGCGCGGGTTGATCCCAACAGAAATCAGTGGCCAGCACAGCCAAGGATGAGTTGTTCCCCGTAGTGGAATATTCTGAATGAGAGTACCGAGAAGATAGCGTCGCCATCGAAGGAGCTTCGCCCCCGTTCGTGGTGTTTCAGCGCCAGCAGGAAACTCTATCTGAACGAGGACATGGTCTGAGTCAGGCATACTCCACTACTTGATACATTGCGCCTCAGTAGCGTCAGCGCTGAACGCTATGTTTGCCAGCGGGTGTGAGGGGGATACGAAGTTGATTGTCAGTCTCAGCGTTGTGAATGATGATTAAACGGTCGATGAAGCCAAGGACCGTAATATTATGTTGATAGTCGATGTTCTAATGTGTCGAGGTTATGGAGGCAAGGCTTGACAAGCTTGAAGCTTGAGCGGCGAAGATAAAAGTTGGCTATGTTTGACCCTCAGGCTCCGCTTGTACTACCACCGGGCGCCCGAGGCCCAGAGGGTAATTTCCACGCCACAGCCCGAGTCGACCTCAGTGGCACTGAGGTCGACGCCGCGACTTTGGATCGAAGTCAGGTCGCCGACTTTGCGACTATCCGTTCAACCACCGCGCCCAGTCGCGCGACTGGGCTAAGCGAGCCGTGAGCAAAGTCGGGGCATGCTGTAATAGGCATGCTGCCTTGATGCCGCATTCAACGTCCGAGTGTCGGAGTGCCATGACATTAGACTCCGCATCCGCTGCCCTTCGGCATATCACGTGTTTTGCGACTTCCTGTCTTAGTCGCGACTTGAACCGAATAGCCGCATGATCCGCGACTTGGGACTTGACATGCGGCTAGTCGGCGACTTGGACATCACCGGACCTCACGCTGGACTTGACGTCGTGAAAGTATAGAGACGGTCACTATACAGCTCCCTGGCGCAGGTAGCTGCACCCTCTAGAGGATCGTCCTGCAGAACAATTTACTAGCTCATAAATATCTCTGAATCGCGGAGGTTCTGCATCCGACATTCAGCTCGCAAACCCTGTCGACGTGTTCGAAGTGCCACACTCACCCCAAGACAAGAGTTCGAGACGCTTCTGCTACCGCTCGCTCGTAGGTCGGAGGCGGACCACCAATTACGTCGTTGAACTCTGCCTCTCTCTTGACACGCAATTCCTCTGCTCGCGGGCGCGCATCGCGGTGCTGTCCCCGCCTCGCGGTGCGATACCCATTACGGCGTGGAGTTTGTGACAGTTGGTATCTGCGCCGTTGACTGTCATACTCACCCAGTGCCCTATTCCTCCGGTCCTCGACCGAAGCAGGCGATGTTGACGACAGGTGGTGGTCCTGCCCTTGCCGTGTCGGCGCCGTTGTTGTCGTTGCTGACATAAACAGCCATTTGCGTGGACGCGATGTTCGGCCGGAGGTCTCGAAGGCCGCGTTTTCAGAGCTGTTTCTGCTACGAGCACGACGTTCGCTGTTCGTTGCGAGCTGTGGAGTTGCGACTGTTTCAGATGGTCAATATCGTTTAGGCAGTGTTGCCAACGTTCATACGGTATGCACCTTCTTTATTTCTTCGCCTCCGCCACATGATACACAAGCTACCAAACAGAAGACTAAAAACAGCGAGCAGTGCGACAGTGACGCCAACAAGGATTGGTAGCATATCTGATTTGTGCGTGGTACCGCTGAAGTTGTCCGGATCGGGCGGGGTGCTGCTGGACGACGTAGTACTCGAAACGACTGGTGAGGGAGAGGTGCTGCTCGAGTCCGTGCCATCGACAAATCTGAATTTCTCTATTAGTTGAACGATGTCCTATCGAAGCGTATGTCGCGCTCACGTATAGATCGCGTAGTCGAACGCGATATATGATCCGTAATTGACTTCTATTGAAAGACTGTGTGATCCGGGATCCAATGCTTCGCTGCTGTGCACATTCACATTGTAGAGGTATACATCGCTGGAATCTGGCTCGCGGACGTAGGTGCCTACGACCGTCTGATTGAGAGTGAACGTCATGTTGGCCGTAGTCACGGTCGGTTTAACAGTGTTGGGCACTATGCAAAAGACATAGATGGCCTAATATCATGGGAATGTGTTCAGCAGATTCATAAGGTCAGTACTTCAGCGACTTGCAACAGGGGAGGAACTGACGGAACCGGTGAAGTTCATTGTCACCGACCGCGGTGATGGATCGTTGGTCCGAGTCGCATCGTGCCAACTCCCATTGAATGCCATAGTACCATTCGGCTGAACGGTACATCCGGGACAATTAGGACCATAGTTCCAGCCACCCTGATCCGCTGCCGTGTCAGCATTACTATGCGCTGCCTCAAGAGTGTTCCTGGAGGCATGCTGACCAAATACCCCGGCAACTTCCCGGTTCTGGAATCTCCATATAAGTCGTCAATCGTATAATTCATGACAAGAGCATTTGTTAGCCACAGCAGATGACAATAAAGCAGGATGCTCCAGAAGATACGTGCTAATATCATGGACGGCGGACGGTTGCAGTGAGAGGAAGGAACAATTCTTTGGATGACTCCTCAAATACAAGAAGGAGATGGGTGAGTGGGTATTTCATCTCTCTTTCGGCAGCCAGGGCTGATCGCAACAAGGACCACTAGCCAGCATAGCCGAGGTAGAGTAAAGAATAACTTGTTTCCTGAGGTAGAATAGGGGTATCCTCAACGAGGAGCGCTTCGCACCCGTCCTTTGCGTTTCAGCGCCAGCAGAAGAGTCTATCTGATGGAGAACACGGCCTGGGTCAGATATACTTCAATGCATGATACATCTCGCCTCGGTGGCGTTAGCGCTGAGCGCTGCATATCTTCGAGACCCCGCCGCCTCCCCCGTCGACGAGCCTGGCGCTCCCACCCCACCATTGCTACGGCTACCAACTCAGCAACGCGAGTGTGGGTGATGCTTTGTCCCCGATTGTACTCCAACGAGTGCACAGCGCGGCAAAATACGGAGCTATGATCGACTCTCATGATTCGTACCGATACTTGAGCACGGGAGAGCAAGCCATCGATATGCGCCCGGAGTGGCTCACGCTCACAGGACTGTCCGCAAAACGCTCAATCGAAAGGAGTTACTGCCATGCAAGTTCTGCACCTCTCGTCCCTCTTCAGAGCGCGTCTTTGGTCAGAAACATGTATTCAGTAATGAATACAAAGCACAAGGAAACATCATGAACGATACTGTCAACGATATAATGGCGTTGTCTCCCCAGGCAGACTCTAGAGCGTGAAGACAGTCGTTCACGCAATGGGGCATCACTGGTGTGTGACTCAGATTCCCACGCTTCAGAGGAGTCAGGTTGAGCGAGTCTCATCCCCGTCGCCACCACGCTTCAGCAACACGTCCTCTTGCTGCAACGGTTCTCCGACACCATTCCCACTCTCTTCTCTTTCATCGTGCGGTTCCCCGTAACCCGAATTGACCACAATAAAGATGACTGACGCTGCGCCAGGACACAAGCGCCCCCTAGAAGACAGTCACAGCCCAGATGTTCACAAACGCCCTAGAGAGCGTTCGCGGGATCGGTCCGAGACGAGGGACTGGAAGGATATACACCTGAGCTCACCCAGGCATCGCGGTCCTCCAACACCGCGCAGCAGACGCGACTCCACGGACAGGAGGGGCGGATACGGTCGGCGGGACGATTTTGAGCGAAGGAGCAGCGATTATCGTCGGGATAGGGATAGACGCGGCGACCGCGACCGCGACCGTGAGCGAGATAGAGATCGTGAACGTGATAGGTCGCGGCACAGACGTCGAGACCGCCGCGATGACCAGACAGACGACGACCGTCGGCGACGCAGTCCCCGAGACCGACCCACCACGGCACCCACGAATGGTCGTCCGAGGACCCCCATGGACGAAGGAGAAAGAGAAGAGGGAGAGTAAGTGCGCATATATACGGTCTGAATGCCCTGAATTGACGGATCGTCCCCCAGAATATCACCTCGTCAAAGCCCGGAGCCTAACCACCACAAGACTTCTACCCCAGTGCCGTCAGACCCCGCACCATCAGCCTCCACCGCACCGAGCCAGCCAGTTGCCGAAACAGAACCGGAACCAGTGCTGCAGCTCGAACCGGAGGAAAAGTCGGTAGAACAAATCATGGCCGAGCGCCGTGCCCGCCGGCAAGCGATCCTCGCAAAGTATAATCGCGTCAACAGCAGCAACGGCGCTTCTGAAAGCATGCCCTCTACCCCGGGACCTAGCAGTGCGGTTGACCCGCATCCCCCCCTGTCCGCGTTGTCTAATCCCCCATCCCAGCCCCACAGCAGCATCGGCACGCCTGCGCCACCTTCATCCGTCGCGGAGGAAGCGAACGGTGCGTTCTATCTTCCTAGAAAATTCGGTCACTAATAGCGCGGTTGTTCTCTGTCCTTCAGGTGTTGCAAGGGACGGGCGTTCGGCCTCAGCCGAGCCGGAGCCGGGCATGTTCGATCTCGTCAAGGATGATGAGGAAGGCGGGGCGCAGGCAGAGGCGCAAGCGCAGAATGTGCAGAATGGCGCCGTCGAGATGTCGGCTGCTGATTATGATGCCAGCAAGGATCGCAGGGAGGACGAGGAGAAGCGGCTACGTGCCAATATCAAGGGCGAACCCGAAGACGTGGACATGGTTGAAGAAGAAGAGGAAGAAGAAGAGGAGGATGTCGACGACATGTTCGCGCTGGCCATGGGTGAGAAGAAGGTCAAAAAAGTTAAGAAAGTTGCGGTACGTCCCGCTTCCCCAAGCCTACAGAATCGTCGTTTGAACGTACGACGAAACAGAGACCTGCCGCACCGGCACTCGTAGCGAATGCCATCGACTCCGCAGCCGATGCGGAAGGGTATTACTCAATTATCCTTGGCGAGCAGCTCGACGGCGGTCGATATCAAGTATTCTCCGTCCTCGGAAAAGGAATGTTCGCCAATGTCGTCCGTGCGCGAGTTCTTCAGTCTGAAGACGGCCAGGCCAACAAGGAAGTCGCGATCAAGATTACGCGTAATCAGGAGTCGATGTGGGTTTCGGCAGCGTTCCAATCGAGTGTCTACTAACGCTTTGCGCAGGGTGAAAGCAGGGCTGAAGGAGGTGGCTATCCTGAACAAGCTCAAACAGGCCGATCCCGATGATAAAAAGCACATCGTCCGTCTTGAAAGGACGTTCGAGCATCGTGGACATCTTTGCTTGGTATTTGAGTCGATGAGGTTCGCCACTTTCGCATCTATGTTTTACCTTCGACTCATGGATCTACTAGCATGAACTTGCGAGATGTCGTCAAACGATTTGGCAAGGACGTTGGCTTGAACATTCGAGCAGTCAGAGCATACGCTCATCAGTTATTCCTTGCCTTGAGTTTGCTCAAGAAATGCAACATAATGCACGCGGATATCAAGCCTGACAACATCCTTGTGAGCTCCCTTCGTCCTATGGCCTAGGATGTGAGTTGACCCTCGATCGATTCTCAACCAGGTTAACGATGCTAAGACGCTGCTGAAACTTTGCGACCTTGGGTCTGCCTCTGACGTGTCCGAGAATGAGATAACTCCTTACCTTGTTAGCCGATTCTACCGGGCACCTGAAATCAGTAAGTTCCGCACCACAACTTATTACGCCTGATTGTCTCATCGTCTTCGGCAGTCATGGGCGCTCCCTATGATGCCGCCATTGATGTTTGGTCGGTCGGTTGCACACTTTATGAGCTGTACACTGGCAAGATCCTCTTTCCTGGACGATCAAATAACCAGATGCTCCTCCACATGATGGAGCTGAAGGGTCGATTCAACCAGAAGATGATAAAAAAGGCCAAGTTTGGCGATATGTATTTCGACACCATGGGCGCGTTCAACAGCGTTGATCAGGACCGCATTACAGGCGGGGTACGTCTTGCCCTCTGTTCTGTCGGCCCATCGCCCAAACGTTTTTTGCAGACCGTTGTGCGAACCGTACACATCACCAAGCCTTCCCGCGACTTGCGGGCGCGACTGATGCCACCTGCCTCAGCGAAACTAAAGGACGAGGAGAACAAACTGCTCACATCCTTCATCGACTTGCTGGACAAATGCTTGGCACTGGATCCTGCCAGACGGATAACACCCAGGGAAGCACTCGTGCACCCCTTCATCCGGGGATAGAAGGAGAGATGGATATCATCTTCGCGTTCGTCCATAGATACCAGGTGCCACTGAGCCCTGGTGCAATCTTTGTACGAACTACCCCATGATCACTGATAATCAGATGCATTATACCTGCTGACTAACAAGACTCCAAGAAAGGGCGACTCGTGCGAGGCTTCTGGTGCCGCGGCAAGCTATGATGACGAGCATGAGCATGAACGGCGCTATTTATTCCGTCTGCTCCCCGTTCTCCCATCGTAGTCGCGGTTCCGATAACGACTCTCACCAGAGTTTGAAGGATGACCACGACGAGGTCCTTGCCCCCTTTTGACGAACTCCCTCACTTCCATGAGTTCAGTGGTTGTGCTTGGGATGTTTGGCCGGCAGATGATCAGCTTGGCACTCTGAATCTACTCACTGATGACGTCGTGAGACGAGCGGCGCAAGAAGAGATCAAGTATACTCATTTTCTTGATACATCCTATCCGTGTTGACCACGTTACCTCCTGTTGTGCAGGACTGGCGTAACGGTCTCGTTGAACTGGTGCGTCACTCATGAAGTCCATGGGCTACCTAGCTGACGTACGCAGGCCTATCAACTTCCCTGAGAAAGTTAGTTCTTGCGTGCTCAATAGAGTTGCACACTTCTGTAACTCCGAATCATAGCCATTCTTCAAGCGCAAGAAACCGGAGATTAAGAACATTGCATTGGTCAATGGCGACCCAAGCAAGGCTATGCGAGACGACGAAATCCATATCGTATGTGTTCGCCTTGAAGACTCATTGCACAATGGTGGCTGATGTCCGATCTAGAACACCCAATCCGGTACGGTCGCGCTACCAAGATTGTATCCACGCAGGCACTGATTGTTCCTCCTTAGGAAGCCAATGGGATGGGTTGAAACATTTCGGGGTGCTGAAATACGCCGTGTACTATAAGAAGTGGGTCTGGATTACTTATCGTTGACAAGTGCGAATATGAACGGATGGACGCAGCACGCCAGCCTCCGACTTTCCGGTGGGGGAGGTCACGGTCAATGACCCTTCCAAAGTTACCGCACAGTTTCTGAGGTTCGGCATTCAGAGTAAGCACTGCTATCAAGTCTCCTCTCTTCATACGCTCAACACTGGGTACGATCGACAGATTGGGCTAATCATGGCATCTGTGGACGCGGTGTTTTGCTCGACATGGTCAACTACTACGAGGCAACAGGTCGCGACTTCGATCCCTGGGTGACGCAATCGGTCACCTTGGACGATATTGAAGGCTGCGCCAAGGCTCAAGGTGTATCTTTCAGGCCTGGTGATATACTCCTCCTTCGTGTTGGTTTCATCAAGAAGTACTATGCCAGTACTCAAGAGGAGAAAGACTCCCTCAGCGGCAGGCCCACTGAGAATTTGTACATACGATTTGCTAGGCGTCTTTCCGACACGATACTCATCCTACAACAGCGCAGGGATTGAACAGTCAGAAGATATGAAACGCTTCCTCTGGTGAGTTTCAACCTATCGCATTTGCGATAGCAGTCTTATCCGTTGTCCAGGAACAATCACTTCTCTGCTGTTGCATCGGATCAGCCCTCACTCGAAGTGAGCATGTTCGGAGACTTCATGCCTGATAATTGTGTTGATGCCCTTGCAGCGTTGGCCTCCGCCACAGGGTAGTGCATATCTCCACGAGGTTGGATCTTTCTCGTGCTTCGTTTATCCGCGCTTACAGCACGTAGACGCTCCTGGGTCTGTGGGGAATGCCAATTGGCAAGTGATATGTCATGCTTCGCAATAGTATACTCAAACTGAAAGTTTCACACAGGAGAGTTCTTCGATCTGGAGAAGTTGTCCACCATTTGCGCAGAAACTGGCAGATACACGTTCTTCTTCTCTTCCTGGCCGCTCAACGTGTAAGCGCGTTTGCACCTTGCATTTTCACTGATCACCTGAACGATATGACATACAGCCTCGGGGGAATCGCAAGCCCGCCAAATGCCGCGGTTAGTGTTCCTATTTGACTGCGAACGCATCGTGGCTCAGTCATGCTTTGAATAGGCCTACTTTTGAGGCAAGTCGGATCGCGGCATTCTGTGTATATGTATCATAAGTTCAACCTTTTGTACGCTAGTTCGCATGCGTCATCGCTGAAATTGGGTGGGAAATCCAACGACCGCCTCGATTGCATTACATAAAGTTTGAGGGACTCTATAAGTATATGGAACCGGCTGCGTCTCCAGTCCCACAGGACGTGCCCCCTGTCTTCAAACGACCATGGCGGCCCAACGGCTACAGAACATATCTCATCATCTTGGCGTGTCCGGTAACTCGACAGAGGGCCTTCCAACATTTGACGAGCTACCGCAATTCCATGAATACAAAGGCTGCGCGTGGGGCATTTGGGGCAACGAGGATCAGCTGGGGACGGTCAATCTCCTCTCTCCTGATGTCGTCCAGAGAGCTGCGCGCGAGGAAGTCCAGTAGGTGGCGGCAAATATTTTTCTTACTTGACTTCATGCATACGCGGTGATATTAGGTCTGGACAACGTGTCTCTTTGAACTGGTGAGAGGAGATGATAATATGGAAATATGCTTACAATAATTGGCTGTAGGCCGATAAATTATCTTGCACAGGTCAGCCGTATCCACCGAGTCGATGATACAAGGACGAAACGTCTCCATTAGCCTCTTTTTGGAAGGAAGCCAGCCTCTATCAAGGTTCTTGAATCCCGAAGAGGTCCTTGGCGCCAGATCCCGAACAGGGATGATGAGCTTAATCTTGTGAGTGGAATATTCAACGTGTTCAATGGATTGGACTGAATGCGGATTGCAGAACACCCAGTCAGGAACGCAATGGGATGGCCTGCTTCACGTCGGAGTCTTGAAGCACGGAGTTTTCTACAACAAGTGAGCATCCAAGGTCCTTCTGAGGTTGCGCGATGCGAACACTGTGACCATCCACCAGTTTCCAGGCATCCCTGTCCCCAGTCGGGGAAAGAACAATCCGTCCAGACAACATGAACGATGAAGCGCTCAAGCTGGGAATTCATAGTTCGTAGCGGCACTTGAAATTTCCCTGATGCCGCTGAAACACCTGGTCTCGCAGATTGGGCACAGCATGGCATTTGCGGTCGAGGCGTCCTGTTGGATTTAGTTGGATACTACACGGGCTCGGGAAAACCCCTACCGTATGACCCCTGGGCAAGCCACTCTATCACGGTTGCTGAGCTTGAAGCCTGTGCGAAAGCGCAAGGAACCGAGTTTCGAACCGGAGACATACTCATGATCCGCATGGGATTCATGGAGAAGTGGTACGCAGGCTCAGTGGAAGAGAGGAACACCTTGACAACATCTAAAGCTTTGTGAGTCTTATCATTCGCGGGGTGCAGCATATATTCTCGTGCTTACAGACAATTCTGAAGCACCGGATTGGAGAGGTCTGATGATATGCGTCGCTTCCTCTGGTGAGTGTTTGAGATCACCTATACGAGATACGTATCCCCTGAATCGCGTCTTCTGGAGGAACAACCACTTCGCTGCCGTTGCATCAGACCAACCGGCACTGGAAGACGTGGTGAGTATCTTCTGGAGCAATTCGACAGTCTTCGCTTTAGCGGTTACTGACTCAACAGCATATCAAGACCTTGGAACGACCCTCACTGCATGAGGTATCCACACCATCGTGAATGAGCGATTTCGAGTCTGACACAATGCATTGATCAGACGCTCTTGGGGCTTTGGGGCATGCCTATCGGTAAATCTGGATAGAGGTTCGAGTTGACATGACTTACTCGGTCCATGGTAGGGGAGCTATTTGACCTGGAGGCATTGTCAGCAACCTGCGCCAAGACGGGCCGTTACTCTTTCTTGTTCACCTCTTGGCCGATGAATGTGTACGTAGCTTTGGATCTCGCAATCCGTGCCGTCAATGACACTGTCTTTGCATAGGATCGGCGGCGTTGCCAGTCCTGCGAATGCTGCGGTAAGTCGGAAGAGCACCTTCAGAGCATCACTTGCACTCACGACGACTTAGGCCATGTTCTGACCGTTTACTCGACTGGCATCTGATGGCGCAAAAAATCAGTGGAACCAAGGAGTCTGAAATATACTTCGTGTTGACAACAATCGTCGGAGTATCCGCACCACCAGAGATGTTGCCTGAAGCATACTCAATAACTTGTAGCGTGAATGCATAAAGCGATTATGGATACCGAACACCGGAACTACATGACAATAAAACGTACATCGCTTCGGCGCATTTACAACTCCGAACTAGATGTCCATGCTTCCCGTCCGCATATGCACGTCCTGACTACCCCCGGCTGCTCCCTCGTCATGGGCATCTTCACCAAAGTCTTGCGGCATCCAGTCAATGTCCTTCGCCAGCAGCTCGCTCGCCATCCCGGCGCCCCCCTCGACGTCGAATTGGGAGTTGTATCCGCCACACCCAAAGCCGAGGAACACGCTCCCCGTCCTGCCCGCCTTAAGCCGAGGAGAATCCGTGCCGCCCTTTCCCGAGCTCTGGAACGTCGATTGCGGTTGTCCGTGTGCATACCGCTGGAAGGAACCATACGAAGGCATGATGCTCGACACATCGTTCGAGAGCGTGATGACCCGCGACGATGAGGGCGTTGGCGAATCCGGTGCGCGCTGTGGGGGTGCGAGCCGCGTGAACGAGTTGTCCGAACTTGTCCCGGCGGAGTCCATCAACGAGAACTGCGATTTGGTGGGCGAGGGAGAGCCTGGGTTGGGCGGCGGCGAGGACGAGGTAGGGACCAGGACCTTTCCCTGCGACCCGGCGTCCAGGTCCGAGAGGCCGATACTCGCCTGCGAGGATTCCACGGAGACGGGCTGCGACGTGGATGGCTCGCCCCTTGCACGCGGCTTGTTCTTCTTCTTCTTGCTGACAGACTTACGAGAGGAGGATGCCAGTATCTGCACGAGATCGAGTTTGGGAACGCCCTTGCCGGGCGAGACGTACGGCACCCGCTTCTGCTTCGGTGCCGGAGTGCAGGGAAGGAAACCTTGCTCCGGCAGATCAGAAGCGGGAGGCTCGGTTGGATGGCTGGGACTTGGGAAAGGCATTGTCTTTGCTTTCTTGACCGGTCTGCTTATCCGCTGCGGATCTTCTGAGGGCGGCGTGAGAGGTCGCTTCGGCTGCGGACGGCACGGTGTCATGTCCAGCACAGTCTTGCGTGGTGAGAGGCGAGTCGAGGACGGCAGTAAGTCCGGCAGGGAGCCGTGGTGCCCGATGGATTGGTCTTCTAGCGTCCTGGAGGGCTTGGAACCAGAGCGGTGGTTGGGTTGAGGAGTGGCGGGAGGTGAGGAAGGCATAGAAGGTCTAGGTGCTTTCTGAGTTGACACCATGGGGGGATCAAAATGTTCATACTGAACAGGCCAATCCGTGAGCGTTCCGTAGATTTACCTTCAGTCAAGAGGGCGCGCATACATACATCAGGTAGCTCCTCTAAATCTGCATCTGGAATAGCGTCTTGTTTGGCGGGCCCATCAGTAAGGTCGATGATAGTCGGATCTGGTACTCCCGGGGCCATCTGGGTCGAATGTGCAGGAGGTTGGAAGTGCGCAAACTGGTTTGGACCCCGTCAGACGGTATGCTGGTTACAACCTTCAACGGCTCACATCTGTAGGTTCTTCTACGAGTAGGTTGGCAGCATCAATGTCCGATTGCGTTTCGGCCGCATTCAATCCCGGTATGATGGTCGATTCGTCCGCGGGAGATATCACATCACGGCCCTCTTTCTGAGTAGATGCAGCAGGTGGATCGAAGGCAGCATACTGAAGAAAGAGTAAGGTGCGTCGTTGAATCGAAAGTGAAAACGCATACATCAGTCGGTCCTTCGATGACGGGGGATCCAACGACGTCTTCTGGACTTGACAACTGCGGCGGAGCCTGAGATGTAGACGGAAGCGGAACGAGTGAGGCAGCCGACGTCGTAGCGCTGACTTGCCGCCGAAGGTCGGATACAGAGCGTATCGGTTCCCTGGCCGTCTCTTCCACGATAACTTCGGCCTGCCATTGGGCGACCTTCTGATGCAGGTCGTTCGAACGAGAGGGCTTTTCCGGACTGGACGCACGTAACTTTGGCTGCTTAGGCTTCGACTTGACCCATTCCTCCCACTCCTGCTCCGTGTCAGGCAGGAACCACTCGAAATCCTTCTTCGGCTTCATCCGCGCACTGCGCGCTCTTGGTTTGTTCACGCCAATCTTCATCGCCCCGCGGAATCGAGTCTTGCAGACCGTGGTCTGTAAGTATTCACGGAGGAAGATCCACTTGGGCTCTGAAGGGTCACCCCGGGCCTGCTTGAACAGCTCCTGTGCCCCTGAGCGGATACGCGCCGCCCTCATCTGAAAACCAGGAGACGGTGGTCGAACTGGAGGAAGACGGAGGTCCAATTCCGAGATTTCTTGACGAGATCTCAATAATCGTTGTGCGAGGGTTTCGTCGCCCATTTTGATAGACTGCGGGCAGCCAAGCAGGCCAACAGGTCCGAGGGGCGCTTGTTGTTAACTCAAGAGGAGGAGTCCGAGATGACAAGTGCAAAGGCCAGGCGGGTATATGCGCACGTTAGCAAAGAGCTAAAGGCTATTGAGTGAAACCAAGCACGTCGAGCTCAACGGTGCTGGTCGCTGTCTGCTGCCAACATGTTGGAGGATAGTTGTGGCGTAACGTCACGCCGCGTGTGACAAACGCGTGACGCATCTGACTCGCCGTGGTTTACTTATCGTCTCGGGTGCACGGCAACGTGCATGATATGAACGCATGTCACTTTACCGACATCGACTTTCATGCATACTTAGCATCAGACATATGACTCTCAATAAGTAATCAGTTGGATTGGGCCAGTCCGTATCCTGAGAGCACCCGCGCGGAAACGTCCGTCTGACATCTGGTCTGCGGGAAACTGCAGCCGCCAGTCAAATTACCAAGCAGTGGACTCATCATGATTCGGGTGCCTTTGTTGGCCTCCTTGCAGACTTGAGGAGTGTATTGACGTGATAAACACATAACAGAAGCGTCCGGTGAGTTCAATGGAGAACCATACGCTGTACGGCGATGAAGCACCGCATTGTACTCCGCCCCTGCATGACGTATTTCATCGTGGATGGATGCGAAGAATGGGTGGACGTGCGCTGAAAGATCTTGTTGCGCACCCGTTCTGTCCTGTTGGTGCCGAAGAACAGGAGGGATATGCATGTGCTCCCGTGTGGACGCCCGAACATCTGCTTCACAGCTTCCCGGCGCGTTGTGACTGACACGATAGCAGCTATGAATAGCCGCGCATTCGTCATCGAGGACCTTCGTGAGCGCGCAAGGAATAAGAAAGGGCACGCGCACCACTTCCTGAGATCCAGCAGAGATACTGTTAGGGCCATATTGCTCACGGGAAGGGTGTTGTGTTAATAATACACTTACCCTACGACCCGGCAGTGGCGTCCATATCATGGTTCCTGATGTGAAGGGAGTAACGTGTTGCGATGAATCCAGCAGCGTTCACTGGGTAACCTGAGCCTAAAGTCCGAGAGTAATGCTCCTTGCGGCGTCCACTGTCGAAGAGGTGCATACTAGCACACCGGACTGGCGAAACGACGAGTAATCAGACAGTCCACGGTGACGTTGACCTCTCCATCCCACATTCATGTGCGATTCCACTCATACGAGGCCTCGCCCGGAAGGTTTATCTTAGGGACTGGCCGTCGTACATGAGGCTTGATGAGAGATATGGTCATTGCGGCGGCTGCCGCTGGGGAAGGTGATGGTCCAGAATTGAGTTGCGAGGCTGTGCTTTTACGTGTTTAGTGACCGTGGGAGCCGAGGTGTTTCACGCGTTCACCACCAACCTCGACGCCATCGACGACGCCGACCGGATACCCCCCCGCTCGCCGCGGGCCACGATGAGCAGACGCGAGTCTCGCGCCTCCCTCATAGGAGTCCGCCAGAATGACGCCCTCTCCGAGTTCGAGAACTGTACGTCCTATCTCTCGGCTATGACCGCTGGAGCCACGCCTCATCCTGTTGATATAGTCAAGAAGAAATTCCTCCTCGCGAACAAGCACATCACAAAGTATGAGATGGATTGATCTCTCGCGTAGAATGTGTTCTTATGGCTGCGCAGACTAAACTCGACATTGAGCACGAAGATCGAGGAGTTAAATGCGCAAATATCAACCCTCTACGTCGAGAACCTCCGCCTCCGCGCCTCCGAGATCGCACTCAAATCCCAGCTTAAACGCGAGCGAGCCAAATCGCAGAAGATAATGGCAGAAGCCGACTCCGCAGTTCGTACCATACCAGATCCATACCGCGTGTATCTCTCAATATCCACTGCTTTCTAGATCGCCAATTTCACCAAGCATTTCGGCTTCCTTCACGAATCATACAATGTCCCTCGCGGCGCCCCATCCTCTCCCCAGCGAGACCCGCCACCCCCTCGAGCACGCCGACCCGTCCCCGATCCCAACGCATCCCCTCCCGTTCCGCGCCTTGCCCGTGCCCCTACGATACCTGGTATTTACGAAGAAGACGAAGAAGGGTCCCATTCAGAAGAACCTCCCAGCCCTACCCCTGCACGTCGGAGGACGAAGCCTCGTACCTCGATATCTACTTCCAGCTCATCCTCACGCCTCCCCTTACCGACTCGCGTCAGCTCTCCTCCACCAGTTGACCTCGAAGAACAACTCGCCCGCAGAAGGAAGCCGACGCGGCGACAGAGTGGGCTGTTGGCGAAGGTCTCCTCGGACTCGTCCTCGCTTTCCGGCGTAGAGCGCCCGCCGAGCCCTGCATACGGCTCCCCCGCGCGCCTCGAGGCCGGACGTGCGGAAAGGGCGAACGAGGTGGTCGCGACGGGTGCTCTGGTTGACGCCGACGAGGATATCGACGAGGTCGTCGTCTTGCCTCGGCGGAAGGACAGGGACCGGGGTTCGGATCAAGACAGGGACAAGAAGGCGACGAAGTCTAGTCGCAGCGGCGAGAGCGGCAAGGAGCGCAAACGACACCGCGACGGGGACGAGGGCTACGACCGATCATCCGAGCAATCCAAGTCGAACCACAAGTTTCAGGACGTCACCAACTCGCCGCGGTCGCGGAGCCGCGACAGGGCCGCCCCCGGTGCTTTGGCAGCGGCGGCCAAGGAACTGGGCAGCGATAGGCAGCGTACACCGGATCAGGACGCTGACGCGCTCTTTGGTACTCGCACGTTCCTGACTACGCCTGTCACTACCCCGCCTGCTCCTGATGCCTACCCGACCTCGGAGAGCTCAAGCCCGCCTGAACCGTCCTCGCTTGACCCCAATATGGAGACAGACGATAACAGGGGACGACGAGCGAGGAAGAGTGTTAACTATGCGGAACCAAAGCTGAACACGTATGTGTATTATTGATCGGCCAGCGAATTCTGGCTGACGCTTGTCCCCTTGTAGTAAAATGCGCAAGCCGGCCGGCGCAGACCCAGCTCCAACCGTAACGAAGCGGAAGCGGATGTCGACTTCGTCGTCTGCGCCCAACTCCCGAGGATCCGATACCTCTGCACCCGCACAACCAGGGCAGTCCGAGATCCCCCTTGCCGATGGCGACGACACGGCACGTCGCGGCGAGGACTCGCCTGCGGTAGTGCGTCGTTCACGAAAGATGCGCCCCGGCGAGATGGATCGAGCAGATGAACAGGAGGACGAGAGCGAAGGTACCCAAGCAGACGCCGAGATTGGCTTTGGTACACGTCGGGATTGGTCCGAGGCCGTTCCCAATTCCACGAGCCTCGGTCGACGGCGAAGTGCGCAGATAGCGCAGGCGAGGATTGGGATCATCACTATGGAGGCTGCGGAGGAGCGCCGTCATAGCCTCGCCATATAGGCGACAATGTCTTCTGCCTATCGAGGAGTGTTCACATCAAGATTTCGAGCGGTGATCATGAACGTACGGCGCGGAGGACCGGAGACCGCCCCTCTCATTAACCTATTTACCCCCCTTACTCTCTTTTTACGTCGATGCACGCACATGCCTACTAAGCTATGGTGGTATTCTGACTCTAGACGTTATGTTACTCCGTGATATGGGCCGACAAGGTATGATGTATATGTGCATGTATTTGTATAATGGTAATTGGTCGGTTTTCACGTCGTACATACATATATCTCTCGCGAGGCGACAGCGCCGCTGTGGCTCAAAGCAAACGCGAATGTGTAACCGAAATGACTGTCCTCCTTCAGCCTTGAGAGTGGAGTGCGCCAAGGCAGCCTGACTGCGCACGCGAAGCTTTGCTGCCCGCTGCGTGTACTTATGGCACCATGACCTTCACTAAGGCTTTCCAGCGGCGAGGTCTGCACGCGACTCGCAGAGCGGCGGGCACTGGCTACGGACACGGTCGTTATGCACTGGTCGCAGGAACGTCTGTCGCCATCGCTGCAGGTATCGTTGTCTCGATATCTGGCAAGGATAGGGCCCTGCAGCTGGACTCTGATAACAATCCGAATGTTCGCTCTCTGGCTTATGAGCGTCGTCCTTCCAAAGGAGAACATCTGCGAAAACTCGATCGCACGACAATTGATCAAAGACTCAACGCAGGCGCAGAGTCGCATGTGGTCGACACCCGCAGTGGAATATATCGCTATGACGTGGCTCAACTAGCGAGGTGAATCTGCGAAATTGCGTTCGGATAGGAGAAACGCTCATATTGTTCCATTCTCAATAGCAACCAGCCGTGCGAGGATGAGCATACAGAAGTTCAGCTACCTGTCCCCTCTGGTATCTGGTCCTTCTTCGCCGTCATGGACGGCCATAGTGGAGGAGAGACCAGTAAATGGTTACGAGAGAACCTCATACCTGCTGTTGCCGGCGCCCTCGCTGACCTCTATGGTGCGGTATCGCGACAGTGTTCATACGTATCCCTACCTGAGGCAGATATCGAAAAGAATATCAAAGCGACTTTTCTACGATTGGACGACGACATTGTCAATGACGCGGTTGAACGAGCTCTTGCCTCCGAATCCAAGGAGGCAGCTGTGCAGCTTCTGGCTCCGGCTTACGCGGGATCATGTGCATTGCTGGCTTTCTACGAGTCCGACAGCCGAATACTCCGCGTCGCCATCACAGGGGACTCCCGTGCAATTTTGGGACGTCGCGTGCAGGATGCAAACGGACGAACTCGCTACGAAGTCCGATTGCTGTCGACGGAACAAGACGGGCACAACGTGGCCGAGGAATATCGTCTGAACGCCGAACATCTTGGCGAAGTTGTGGTCAAGAACGGTCGTGTACTGAGCATGGGACCCTCCCGGGCGTTCGGAGACGCACGCTACAAGTGGGGCAGGGACGTCCAGGCAAGGCTCAAGAGGACATATCTCGGACGATCCATCTTCCCCGACGTCAAGACGCCGCCCTACCTGACGGCTGAGCCAGAGTTAACCATGACGAAGATTAAGCCAGGGGACTTCATGATTATGGCGTCCGATGGGCTTTGGGAGAGCCTCAGTAGCGAGGATGCGGTGGGTCTTGTAGGGTGGTGGCTAGAAGGCAAGCACGATACATCAACGAAGGAACCGAAGCATCTTCCCGTGGTTGCCGATGAGGAAAGCCTCGAGGGACCGTCAGTACGCTATCGACAGTGGAACACGAAGCAGCGCTTTGTCAACGTCGACAGCAACGCAGCGACGCATCTCATCAGGAACGCACTGGGGGGATCTGATCAGGACTTGTTAGCGGCATTATTGAGCATGGGGTCTGCTCGGTCTCGAGTTTACAGGCGAGCTTCTGACCCTCTGTTCATTTCCGTTGACTGACAAGATCTTGACCAGGGACGATATCACAGCTACCGTAGTGTTCTTCAACGATGAATCAGATTCATCTAATGGCTCCACCGCCGTTCCAACACAGTCCTCTTGACGTCTACGCTCCCCGCCGGTGAGTGACCGAGCAAACACGGGCGCACTATCCGGCCAGATTTTGGAGGAGTATTCGTCTGCAAACCAAACCGCCCGCGATATCGAATGTCACATGTCGTTCATCAAGCCGGGCCAGAAACAGTCACTCCCAGGTTTTCCTTGGTTCAGCTGTGATGGTGTAGAGCCCGCATAACTTATGATATATCATGGTGACCCGACCGGGATATACCGATCCGGGACCGGATCACGTGCGCGTTCGTTGGTACTTAAGTTTGCGATATGGTTGTCTTTCCCCTTCACCTAGACCACGACAGCCCGAAAGCCGCGATGCTCACCCCCTACAGACGTTTCGCACGTCTCTCAGCTCGTGAGCGGGATAAGGTCTGAGCATTCTAGTCCTCCTCGACCGACTCTAGCAGGGTCCGGCTGTAACACGCCGAGTGGTGCACCAGACAAACAGTCGTGCTCCTTCTGACCCGGAGACCCTGGCCACCAGGAGAGGGCGGGGACGCTGGCTTTGGGAAACACCACGAGGACTGGGCGAGCAACACAACACCTCCGTCTGCACATGTCGTGGCGCCAGAAGGGTTTCGGCCTTTTGGGTTCCTCGACACCATCTACCATCGGCGCCATCCGTCTTCGGGCGGCGTTTGGGCCTTTGAAACCGAACGAACCTTACGGGGAGCAAGTCGATTCGTCGACAGTCGCGTGCCGGTCATTGTACCGGTTTGGCAATTGCCAATCTCCTATGCACTCTGATCAGACGATGTTACACTCCCGACACATCGAGCGCTCAGCTCCGTGTTGGTCTCTTTGGGTAGCGTTCCAGCACCCAGACCCGGCATCCCTAGCCGCGGACTTGGCATCCCAGCCAAGAGCACGCCCGACGTGGCGTTGCATCGGGTTGCATTCAGCACCCAGACCCCGCCCTCCCCGGCGGTGACCCTCCCCTATAGCGAGGAGTCCTGTGTAGCAAATTCAACGTCTTGTGCATACGGTCGCGCGGCCCTCAAGCCTGCGCGTTTGTGACCACCGCCTTAGGTGGCACGTCCCTCTCGCCGTTTGGCGAGAGGCGCTTTGCTGCTGACCAAGCGCGAAGGACGGCCTCTCCATTGGAGTAGTCGGTGGAGTGGATCGCGACCCGCTTATTTGGTTTCCCGCTCTTGCAGGGTGTCCTGTGGGAGGGCGCACGAGGTAGACGGGTGTATGATGGTGGTCCATGTATGTGTTCTTGTCCTTTGGTGCACTTCGCGGCTCGCATCTTTGCGAAACTCGATTCAGACTACTCTTGGGCTGTCGCGCCAAATTTTTTCCATCCCCATGCTCTTTTCGAGCAGTTCCTGCGATATTTGAATATATCCTATGCTTAGTACATCAACGCAATGATTATGGGACTGAGCGGAGTGATGATGATGGTCAATCGCCCCATGTGCTGGATCTTTTCCTGAAAAACGTAACATTAACATGGCAATCATTGTCGATACAGGTTCGACAAATAACATGAGAAATGCGATGAAGTGTCGTAACGAACGCGCAAACGTTTCCAATTCATCGATCATGACCGCCAGACCATTCTTCGTCTGGAGGATTTCGGGTGACCTGCAGGTGTATATCGTCAGTACCATGCCACACCCTTCTGCATGTACCTACCTCTACGGTTCCCTTGGCATCCATCGACGACCCCAGATCGCTGGCATCCACGCCGGCTTTCTTAAACTCCTCCACCAGCAACTCGCTGAATCCAAAAGTATCCTTGGGCAGCCATACCCACATCTGATCCTCATACGTGGACGGATGATCAAATGCATGATCTTCAAACTCTTCGTCCTCCGATTCTTCGCCTTCACCCCTTAACGCCTCCGCGGGGGGATCGAACGCGGGGAAAGGCGTGGGTTTCTTCTCCGACTCGCCCGATCTGCGGCTCCGACTCGAAGACTTCGTCTGACCTGAGCGCCGAGAGGCACCGGATGTAGGTCGATCGAGCTCCTTCGCATCTTCTAACACCTGCTTGGACGTTCCCGCCGGGGCCGACGTGCCATGGGCAGCTTCCTGCGTGATGCCTTGCCCATCTGTCTCGTGCGTCGTCGGCCCATCTGCTAAGCCTCGACCCTTCTCGGGTTTGGCGTCGACTTGGCTGTCTTTACTGTTGCCTGTACGCTGGCCTTCGCCTACCTGTTCAGCTATATGCGTCTTGAAGGCTGTAGTAGGAGGAGCAACAATCTTCTTGAGCGGGCGCATCCGCCGGCGGACAACAGACTTTATGCCTATGCCCCGTAAGTTGAGGGTATGGCAAACATTGGATAAATTCAACATACGATCGCGGTTGAACAGGTCAATGACCTCTTCTTCCGCCTGGTTAAGCGGACCAGGCAGTGGGATAGGCACGCCGTCGTGAGGTTGCGTGGTGCTGTGCTTCCTGTATCGTTGTGCCATCTTCTTTGTCGCCAGGGACATCGGTAAATACTCCGTGATAGCTACATGCGTCGATTATGAGAGAACGCCATGGCTGTATGCGTGGACCGTTGCACGTACGCTTGAAACTCCTCGTTACGAGCAACTGATAGGCAAAGGTTATGGCCAGGAGAATCAACATCAAGACACCTTCGACGATGGGCCCTGCGGCCGAAACCGTCGGCGCGGTGATAGCGCCGGGAACCTTCAGGAAGAACAAGCATGCGAGGCAAATCTGTTCGATATACAGTCCGACAACTGTGATGACAGCATCGGCAAAGCTGATTGGAGAATACGACAGAATGGACTCACAAAAGTTCGAGACTGCAATAGGGAAGTATAAGCCGCCTTGTGCGATGTCAGCATGATGTCTTTACCAACTTCTACAAACGTACCAGTTTCAGCTTCCTCCGGCTGATCGAAAACCTGCGTAAGCACTGAGAACAGGCTCGTCAGATTTGGGCTACGCGGCTATGAGAGTGAGCTTACAAAACTTCCAGGCTACATATAAGAGCGAAAAGCCGAGTAGCGCAAGCCCGTTAATGAGCGGTGAGATCACAGAATAGGCGAACCCTATCGTTGCGAGCAGTGAAAGACGGGGAAGAGTAGTACCGAAGTCCGCCTAGTAAACCGAGTTATCGATATGGGACGGATTCAATTAAGGGAAGTTCGGCAATACACACGGATGGCATGAGGAAGGTTACCTGATAACGCAATCTGATGGTGAGCATCGGTCTATGCGAGTATTTCAAAGACCTACGCCGTAGGCCTGCCTCGGTGTCCTCCCGAGGAACCATTTCTTGACGTAATGCATTATGAGCGGTCCAAGTTGAATCAACGCGCTCGCAGCTCCACTTAGACCTTGCGTGGCTATTGCGTGGAAGAAGCCGCCTTAGTTACGCTCCATGCCTCACCTGAGATATGTCAAGACTTACCCATGTATGTCAAGAAGAATATAGCTGCATTTGGTAAGTTCCTCGCGAGGTTCTCGACGGCTTGTGCGGGCGTAGCGAGTATCTATGGACGAAAGCGGGTTCAGATCATAGATCACAGAAAGATGCCGAGTGCGTTCTCACCTGAGCAATCGCGGATGTGATGCCGGAGGTAAGTGTGACGATGAGGAAGCCGTGTATCACAAGGAGCGCAAAGTAACGCTTGTAGACGCTGACGTCGACCAGAGAATGCAGCGGGATGCATTCATAAACCGCCAAAACTAGCATCCATACGTTAAGCAAAGGGAGGTAACGTATGCCCTCGAATGACGCACATCGTAGGATCATGGGAAGAAGTAGCATGAGTATAGCAAGTAGTATCGGAGGTAAAACGCCCGTAATAATTCCGGGTACGGGCGTCGGCGCTGTTGGGACCACGATCATCAGTTAGGATCATCGAGCAACTCTCAAAGTCCGGAACCTACCCTTGCAAACCCAGCGTAACCATCTAAAAACCATGCGATGTGAGTATAGGATCATGCAACGATATCGCGTGTGAAAGACAGACCTGGCCTCTGAGCAAAGGCCCTCCAGATTGCTGACTGTCCCCACGAAGGCGACGGGGAACGCCCATAGGATGATGAGGGCAATGGTCGCGGCCCAGGATATGACATATCGTGTCCGGACCTCGTAAGCACCATCCTGGCAGAGTGTCGTTCAGTGTTGGTGATAGCCAGAACCCACATGGACACCTACATCTAAGTTCTTCCAGATCACGTCTCTGGGAGTCACTTCGAGCCATTTGTCGGCCATCATCAAGGGCTAGAAATACTTGGGTAAGCTAGTGTGGTCCCGTGAAAGGTTTTGCATACTGACCTCATGGTAGCTGACACATTGTGCCAAGACGTGCGCGCCGAGTTGCAGATTACATTCGATGAAGGCGGAGCCCAGGGGCTTCTCGTTGCCTAGCCGGTGACGCAGCTGATCGATTTCCTCGTTCAAGCGCCCGATCTCGTCCTGGGCGCAACGTATTAGACGATAAGGTATAGCAGATGTTTATATCCTACCTTGCAGTACTCGATCGTGTCCACTTTACGTCCTATTCCCAGAGCATGCAATGGACCGATCCTATGCCTCGGCCATTGGCTTTCCGGTACGAGATCCTTCAAGGAGTCTAACGATGCGGCCTGCGGCTTGAGAGGATCGGGATCAAAGACGGATTGCGGGAGGTTGAGCTTCTCCGCGTCCGTCTCCAGTTTTCCCTTTCTCCGCATCTTATCGACCTTCTTGACCTCCTTTGTATGGGCGGACTGGCGACGGTTCCAATTCTTCGTCGCGGTGCGGAGGAGCTTGGAGCACGCCTTTTCCAGTTGGGCACAGGCCTTCTGTCTTTCTTCAAATTTCTTGTTGAGCTCCTTGGTATCGCGATAGATCCATATGTGTTCCACGCCTCCAGGCACGAAACTGGCGAACTCCCGTAGTTGATGTTCTTCGCCCAGCTCCTCCGGGAGCGAAGTGACAAGGACCGTTCGAGCGCGGGCTTGGTGCGAGTGCGACTTGCTGATCAGATATTGGTGCCGAATATGCACGAAGTGGAGCATCTCGCGACGGATCATATAAAAAACGAAGAAGGTGAGCAGGTATATGACGACGATGTGTGCGGCGAGCCGATTGTCCAGGGAAGACGTGATATTGCTCCAGGAAAGCTTGGTGAGGCCTTGTTGGGACGAGCCTCTGACATCCGCAGCGTCGACCGGGAGCAAGATAGGCCAGGTGACGAGCGTGAAAACGAAGAATATGATGATAACCATCTTCCAGAGGAACCGGTCAGCGACTGAGAAAGGCGAGAAACTGATGCATGTCGTACTTTCATCCATCGTAAAAACATGTACGCGTCCAATCCATTCTTATGAATCTGTCGTGCTACGATCAGTATTGAGGATTGTCGCGGAAGGTATCAACTGACAATATCCTTGGGGTTGGACAGCAGTACGGCAGGCACCCATCGCCATATGCCTGTGGGCAGCTCTTGCGCACGTTTGTCGGGCGGAGGGAGCTACGGCAAGACTGTCATGGTGCGGATCTTATGCCATTCGATCCCACTTTGCACGTACGAATGTCCGAGGGGTATATATGCGCCCTAATCGCGACTTGAGGATCGTGAAAGCACCAACTTCCACCGCCAAGAGCGCAACATTCGTCACCAGCGAAGTGACGAAAGTCTGGGATGTTGTGCTACTGGCCTTCGCTGCCGTCGCCGACATCAAGCTGGTCGTTGTCGGAGAGCCTGATCACCAGTGTAGTATAGCACGAGTTGGAGCCGCGCTCGAGGGCGCCGGTTGATTTCCTTGATCCCATGGCGGAGGATATATGGCACACACGAGTGAAGCAGGCGTCATAGGCACGGGTGCCCCACGCGATCATGTGGTCAGAAAGGTCCCGACTAGGGTAACGTCAAAAAGTCACCGTCGATTGTTCACATATGTTAATAACTTTTGAGTTATTAACACGGTTTTTTACTCGAGTAAGTTACAGGAGTCGAGATCTGAGGGGCATGAACATGGCTCGAGATCGGGAATGCAATCGCATTTGGCCGATAACGATGGAAGTCTACAAGCGGATCGCATTTCGGTTACCATGGCTCATCCCAGTTGTATTCTTCCGAGTCGGTTTCGCCGGCGTCCTCAACATCTTCGGAAATCGAAACACCTCGACCAAATCTGCCTGCCAAGGCAGGTGCTCCAGGCACCGGTTTACTCGACAGCATATCGCGCAAAGCGCCTGAGCGGAGGTCAACATCCTCGTCGGTCACAATCCCGGCAGGGGATGCACCGGCGGGATCGTCGGTGTCGCGTTGAAGTGTCCTAACGCTTCCGCCCGATGTTCTCAGCGCCGCGCCGCCGTCGTCTTCGTCATCGGTGACATCGTCATCTGACGAGGCAGCTTGATCGGCGCGGGCTTGCTGGTGACCTTTGGCGATGTTCAGCATGTCCGCGCTCAAGTCTCGGAACTTCACTACTGGTCGCTTCCGCTCGGGACGCTTGACCTCCGCCTCATGAATCATATTTAGTGTGTCAGACAATGCCGAAGGAGAACTGAGAATGACATACCAGATGGTCGCCGTACCACTGATTGACCTGAATCATATCAATAAGTGTCTGTACCTTCTGCTTGCCACGAATCGACGAGTTGAGCCAGGTGATCTTGGAGCCTGTCCGTTCGTCGGGCATTGAGTTGGCCAGTATCGAGAATAGCTTGACAGCCAGTACCTAAATCATTGTACTCAGTGAGTGCGAGGACCCAAATAGCAGAACTTGTAAGTGAGCTTACCGCAAGGATGCGTGTGTCATTTCTGTGCTCAAACTCAGTCCACCACGACAGTGAGGTCTGACCGGCGTGCAGAGGCTTGTTAAACGGAGCTCGTCCGTGCCAGAAGTCGTCTAGCTGAGTCTTGCACGAGGTGACAAGGTCCTTGATCTTCATTTTGGGCAAGGTATGGCGCGGATTAGTGCCGGGGACATCGGACCGCCCCTTATGGGCTTCAACTTCGGCTTTGAGCATCGATTTCAGGTATGTCTTGACACGATTGAGTGCTCGGGGATTGGGGTCATTCGTGGAGTGTGAAGGAGGGAGTATGATCGATGATGAGAATGTTGATGGACGGATAAGGATGTCAGAGATCGGATATCCTAGACGTCGAGGACATCGCCACCGACGACCTTCTCGGCACCGCTGACGACGATGGCCACGACCGAAGTATCAAGGTGAGCACGGTAAACTTGATGAAAAGGCACAGCTCTCATGAGCCAAGGACACAGATGGCGTAACCTGCCTCCTCCTCCTGGCTTCTCCTCATCAGCTACGGTGAGTCTAGCTCCCATGACCGTGAACAAACTCCTCTAACTTTGCTTTAGTCCAAGGCACCAACGAAAGCCTCGAATGCGTCCAAGGCATCGTACGAGGAGCTGAAAGAGAAGCGTGCCTGGGATCTCGCCATCTCGCCAGCGAAGTCTTTACCGATGCAGGCTTTCATGCTGTACATGTCCGGCGGCGGCGTCCAGATATTCAGCATGGGCATCGTCTTTATGCTCTTGCTCTCGCCTTTCAAGAATCTTGCCGCCATCAATGACGGTGAGTTGCTGCATGTTCTATGAACTCGGCGCATGTCTGATGTACGACGTTGCAATCGCAGCCTTTGCCTCCTTCGCTCCCTCGAATGCGAACCCGAAGTCGCTCAGCACTCTCACGCTTCAGAAGCTGGCCTACGTTGCTTGCAACATCCTCACGCTGGCTCTTGGACTATGGAAATGCAGAAGTATGGGTTTGTTACCTACCGGAACTGGTGACTGGCTTGCGTTCGAAACACGAGGTTCTGTGAGTGGTCAAATTGACACATCACCGGATGTCCACTGATTCCTACTCGGATTCCTTCCCCGGCAGCCTCCTGAAATTTCCCTGTTCTAGATAGCGCTCTTGTATACCATAGCTACAGTTTCGTATAACGACTCATACGCCTTGTTTCCCACGCCCGATGCCGTCTCGGCGACCGCGTGTCGGCTCTGTCGGGTTTCGAAGAAGTTACTCCTTCCTCGTCCGGTCACAGTGGTTTGCCTCATGGATCAACTCGCGTTGCGCAACTGTCGTGAGAGTCATTCCATATCTCAAGGTCTGACTTGGCGCGTGTATGTTGCACTCCGTCCTGAGAATAACACAGCAGTAGTCGATCAAACCAGTGCTCGTGATAGGGGTACATAAGTACACCCCGGACTGTGGGCTATCAAGTGGGTACCAGGTCCTCCCGGAACAGCAATCCTCCAACGCTCCATCTGAACGATCAGCATGGGCGAGGAACGATACCCGCACCCTTTCACGGAAAAGGAGCAAGGAGAGTACTACGACTCGGATGAAGAAGGCGACTCCGAGAAGGATAACCCTCGGACGCTCATCGAGTTGCGCATGTGCGCGCTCTCTGCGACTATCCGAGAAAAGCCGGAGTGGTACAACAAGTTCCGCGACGCGAAGATCCAGGAGAAATGGAGAAAGGAGATCCAGGAGCAGCAGGCAGACTTACATGACAGTCAGAAGTTGACGTCGAACATGGTGCGTGGACCGGATTCGTATTCATCAAAGCGGAAGGCATTGACCAATCGCTAGGTGAACTATATAATGGAAGAACTTGACGCCTACGCTGCATTGCGGGACGCGGAAACAGGGATAGAGGTACGCTCTCATATGACAACATATACAGTCATGCTTCGCGGGTTGAGTATGATTGCACCAGGCTGGACCGTACGAGAAGATTTGGCGATCCGACCAACTCATCCCTCCTTCACTGAAAGCTAGCCTTGTGCAAGCCGTTCTCCCCCTCGAATCGGTACCTGACGATCAGAAGGATTGGCACCCGGGCTCTGACGGTCAAGTTTTGGATCTCGTTCACCCTTCTCTATACCCCATCGTGTACAGATGGACTGTGCGCACTACGGGCGAAATTGTCGACTCACCTGACGAAGACGATATGTTCACGTCCGTGATGTTTCAGTGGCTGCCGTCCGACTTCGACGTATCCTCCGATGGCTCTGTTCGTCTTGCGTCGCCCTACATCAACAACGTGCACCCCAACGATCATCGCGACCTGATGAACGTAATACCCCAAGTCCTGCAGCAGGCCGTACCAATGTTTGAACGTGTTCTGTCCGACTTGTCTCGGGAGAAGCCTTTACCGACACGGATTGAACTCGGCGATCGCAAGTTCCCGGCCTGTGTGTGGCCAGATGGAGACGTAAGCCGCCCGAACCCACTCCACCGCCCGTTACTGACGTTCGTCTTGCTTTGTCTCCATTCAGGTCCCTAATCCTTCGGATGACGACGACGACGACGAACAGTGGTATGATAACCAGCCAAAGGTTTGGCCGGAAAGTAAGCCACACTACGCTGGAAGCCTCGACGAGGTGCAGAGGACGGTCAGCTTGCACGGCCAACGGCTGCAAGTGATTGTGAAGCTGGCCAACATCGTGCTCACGCCGGACAAACCTGAGTATCCCGGCGGAAAATGGCACGTTGAAGGTGTGCTTCGTCGACGACGCAGTACCACTCTTATGTTCACCTTTGGCGATTAGGCATGAGGAACGAATCAATAGTTTCGTCTTTCATCTACGTACGTCCACAGGGTACCTGATAGCCCCTGATTACTCATTGGCTCTTAGTACTATGATTGCGGAAATACCACCGAATCCAGGTTATCCTTCCGCCATGCCGTTGCCGAACCTCGTTATCACTGCCAAGACGATTCATACTGCATGAAGCACCTTTACGGCATTGACAGGTGAGTGTCCGTGAAGGTACGCCAGACTCACGAACGGCTTCTCACTCTTCGCAACTAGAGATGATCCGTGCGTGCAAGAGGTCGGCAGCGTGATCACGAAGCAGGATCGCTGCATCGCCTTCCCGAACCTGTACCAACACCAAGTGTCCCCCTTCAAGCTAGCCGATCCCACGAAACCCGGACACCGCAAAATCCTCGTCTTCTTCCTCGTTGATCCGCACGTGAAGGTGCCCTCTGCGACCGACGTCGCTCCTCAGCAGCGTTCATGGGTGCGCAGGGCGATGGGTGAAGCGCCTGCGGGATCGTTGTGGAATAAGCTTCCGGTGGAGATCCTGGATTATATCGCCAATTACTCCTTCACCATGAGCGAGGACGAGGCGAAGCAGTATCGGCTGGAACTCATGAAGGAGCGCACCGTTTTCGTTGACACGGTTAACGAGGAGCGTTTCGGGCAAGAATTCAACATGTGGTATGTCAACTGCCCTACATTGACTGACTCCTGTGTATCGTCTAACGGTATGCACTCAGCGAACATTAAGGCCATCCGAGTCCTCACCGGTACGGTCAAGGACACGTCGACAGGCCGCGTAGCGCTCGAATACCTGATATGAATGTACTGCACAGAGCAATATATGATTTTCACCATTCAGGCGTTGTTGACTTCATAGCGTATCAAGAATCACCAATCAGTACACCCAAAACGATGCTATTACTTGCTCAACGTAACCCTTCGTCACCATTGATTTGTCACGTGATGCTCCTTGAGTCTTTCCTGAACCCCGACGACCTCAGCCTGCTTGTGCCAAGTGACCAAGTATCATGTCTCGCCCCCAGGATGACAGGAACCAGGAGGCCACCGTATATCTGGTAATGCTCTAACATTATCTTGTGCGAGTGTGGGTCTGAAACTGACTACGAAATCCTCCAGGGCAACCTTGACGAACGCTGCACGGACGCGCTCATCTGGGAACTCATGATCCAGGCCGGGCCAGTTGGTGAGCAGCGGCGCATTGCCAGCAGTGCGGACGACGCTGACTTGACCATCCGTCATCAATAGTCAATGTTCATCTACCCAAGGACCGCATTTCCATGGCACACCAAGGATATGGTTTTTGCGAGTTCTTGACGGAGGAGGATGCTGAGTACGCATGCAAAATCATGAACCAGATCAAGCTATGGGGAAAGCCCATACGTGTCAACAAGGTGCGCGCCTCTGCCATTTGGAGTAGCCGGAGACCAATATTCCCGTTAGACTGCACCCCTGCCACATATTTCACCTTTCCTCAACTTGTTTACTCATTTTGCTGACCGGACTATTCTTAGGCATCTTCTGATAAAAAACAACTTGACGTTGGCGCGAACCTTTTTATCGGCAATCTCGACGAGAATGTGGACGAGCGGGTGCTCTACGACACGTTCAGTGCGTTTGGCGTCATATCAACAACGGCAAAGGTACACGCAAACACCGCCGAAGTATCGCGCATTGGTCTGATTTTGCTTTCTGTGACAGATTGCTCGCGACCCGAGCACTGGGCAGTCCAAGGGCTATGGCTTTGTCTCGTACACTGACTTCGAATCCTCCGATGCCGCCATAGAGTCTATGAATGGCCAGTTCCTCATGAACAAACCCATCACCGTGCAGTATGCATTCAAAAAGGATGGCAAGGGTGAGCGGCATGGCACACCGGCCGAACGTCTGTTAGCTGCCCAAGCACGGAAGAACAACGCGTTACCGGTCGCAGCACGCACCGCCGCGCCTGGAATGTTCGCCGCGGGCCGCCCGGGCTTCCCCGGACCCTACCAGCCCGGTCAATTCGCAGGAGCCCTTGCGCAGCCCCCGCCACCACCCGGCTTTACCCCGCAACAGACCGTCGTTCCCGGCGTGCCGCCCGTAGGATTTGCACCTCAGCAGGCTATTGTCCCCGGCGCGCCGCCTGCGTACCCGCCTATGCCGCCTATGGGCATGGGCATGATGCCCCCGGGGATGCCAGCAGGGATGCCCATGGGGATGCCCCCGCCACCACCTGGCAATATACCCGTGTTCAACCCTCAGGCGGGCTTCCCGCCCCCACCGCCTGGCTTCGCTCCGAATATGCAGGGTATGCCCGGTATGATGCCTCCGCCTCCCCCTGCACCCCATTATGCCCAGTAACGCTCTGATTATCCTGTACTCGTGTAGCTTGTCATATATGTCACACTTTTTCTGATGCATGCCATGCCCTCCTTCAAACTTAATTTGTGGTCAGGTAGGTCTCGCAAAGCACAACGTTCCTTTCGTACATGCAATCGGCATATAGGCATACAAGTGTTCGTCGGGACGTATAGGGTGAAGCAATCTGTATGATCTAACTCTATGTGCTGTCGCGGTGGACCTGCGTCAACGTTCAGAGCCTAATGCTTGGTCTCCTATTCGGGCGACGGGCAGAGAATCGGAACATCGCATCTCTGCCAGTAATTGTTCGATGAGCTAAGGCACGGGGAGAGATAGTTGACACCTACAGATCGCGTAATACTTGGACGGCTTGGGCTCGTAGTCACGTTTGGCGGCCGCCGCCGCGTAGGGCCCGTCGAGGGAACTGTTGGAGGGGTCGCTGTAAGTGATAGAGGAACGTAGTGCAGATCATGAAGCTTCTTACCGGGCAACAGGAGTGGCACGCTTCTGGACCTGAGCCTGCTTCAACCCCTTGACGGGGGTGGCGGACGCAAGAACGGCCATGAAGGCCAATGCGAACAGGAAGAGGGCAATGCGCTTTGAGAGCATGTCGAGATGGTTGATCCTCAACGAGTGCTGAACAGAACTGCGAAGGAGACCAAGACGATCGCCTGGTTGATTCTCTTCCCGCTCATCGCCTTATATTCTCGGACGCCACCAAAAGCATCACCTGGAAGACCCCCAGATCTTGGGCAGTATGCGGCGCCGGCTATCGAAAGGTTGCCAGGGAGGTTAGGCGGGACCGGCGAACAATCTGTTTTCGACTGACATAGATGGGAGAACCACCGCGATGCGATGCGGAGCCACCCGGTCGAGCACACCAACCTCTCCCCAGCATGGCGCGACTGAATAGTCGGAGGGGCTTGTCGGAGAACGCGAACCAAGACAAAGGATGTGTTAACTCGAGTCTACCAGAGTAGTGGCCGCCGCCTACGACGTGCAATCGAGCCCATGCCCCGTTTCGGCCGCTAAGAACATTGTAGGCGCGCGTTGCAGGCACGTTCAAATCGGCGGTATCTTAACACAGCTACCAAGCATCCGGTGCCCTGCCCAAACCGGGGCAATCACATCGCAACGCTCTTGTTTCATCACGCACATCAGGCTGTATGATTGATTCTGTCCAGACGATAACGCGCGGACAATGGCGGGACGCCCTACATCGCGGGGTATAGTCGGCCTGGAGATGGCTGTTTGGGCGTCGCGATAGGCAAGATGCTCTGTTAAAGCGGGAGGCTCTCAGGGTCAACCACGTTGAAACATGGATGAGAAGAAACATACATTCTCAGATGTCATTGAAAGCTCCCGATCTGCGCGGGTTGCGCGGATGCTGATGCGCCGTCCGATGCTGTAAGCAGCAGCAGAGACCGCCGAAAGAAGATTTCGAAGGTAAGTTTGAGGAGTCGATACGATGATCAAGGAGAGAACAGTACTTACAGTCGGCATGGAAGGCCATGCCGATTTCTCTGCGCATCATGAATGCGTAGGTGCGAGAAAAGGCGCCGGTGATGTAGCTCCGTGCCCCAAACGACGTCGAAGAGCAGAGCCTGTCATAACTACCTGAGCGCATGGTAGATTACGGCGACGGGCGATGTACGTGCGTTGGCCTTGGACGTTTGAAAGCCGGTACCTGGGAATAACAATGAATAGACACAAACCGCAGCAACCAATCGCGGCGTAGTACTTGCGTCATCGATCGCCATTCCAGAGAGCAGCTCGTTCATAGATCGGAAGAAGCCAGCGATCGAATGATACGTATGCCGTTGGCCAGGGTTGTGCTTGGGAGAAGCCAGGTAACATCCATTCAGCCAACAGCGCGGCACCGGTCAGACAAGCAATCCAGAGCGATCTCATTCCAAAGACCCAGTGGTTTCCGCGTAAGCTAACTTGTGTGCAGCATAACGTGCAGCATCATACGGCGTACGTGTACGGCTTTGCTCGATACAGGCTGGCTCCGGACTGAAATGTAAACAACGCGCGTGAGAAGAGCCACAGAGCCCTGGCTTTCCCAGGCTTCTCTTCCGGCGCCGGTTCATAGTAAGTTGCCTCGCCGACCCGCCGACTCGAGGCATCTTCTGAGGTACCGTGTGGTCCTTCGGCCGCTGCAACTTCCTGAGGCACGATTCCGAACCTAGTCTATTGGCCGCAGGGCGCAGAAGTTCGCCCACTCCTTTTGCGTTTATGGCCCTTCAGCTGTGGACAATGCATCGGCTTTCTCTGCCCAACATGCGCCGGAGCTAACCTCGTTGCAAACACGTAACCCATGCTTCTTCCGACGACCATATATACTTACGACTCGACCCATCACGACCACCGAACGAAACCCACAACTCCACTTGTACGGTCCGTGGCGCGCCGTCCGTTTCTTCGATCATGAACGCAGCAACGTTCCTCTTGCACATGTCCCCTTGTTTATTCTGGGGACTCGCCGATGAGTGAGTCTCGTTACATGAACCCAAGCGACCGAAGCGGCGCAATGAATGCAAGGGACATCGTAGACATGCATATGCGGCATAGTCGCTGACTGGCCACTGCGACAGCAAGCTTTCATTTCCAAGTTATCAACGTGACAGGCGGGTGAAGGACTGCCTTATTCAGCAGAAGCAGTTGCTGATTTGTTCTCATCCGCAGGCCGCTTTGTGTTATGGCGGCCATATCGTCGCTGCCTTCCGGTTGCGGAACCTTGTTTGGAATGGGTACACTCTCGCCATTAGCGCGGCGCGGCCGACAGTTTCGAGGAACTCGGCTGTGGCCAGATGCTTCTTCAATAGTGCCGTGTTGGCAACAATCCAGTCTACTAGCAGGTATAAACACTTGCCTTTGATTGCGTTTGGTCGGGTTGGGAGGCACTGATAACGTGAACGCAACAGTAGCCCGCATTACGGGAGCGCCTCGTGCTGACTTATTGAATAATCAATGTGTGTTTTCATCATCGTCGCGTTGCCATTAGAACGGCTTACCTTCTCGACAGGCTTAGTGATGACCCCAAACTATGTACTCCATCGGGATATGCAGCAGTGCGTCCGCATTCACCATCTGGACCCATGGGCACCGAATCGAGCATTGGTGTGGTGGCCATGTTGATGAAGGTAGCGCAACAATGCGCAGACTCTGACCGTAACGTAGCCCTGGCGCCTGAGACAAAGCCATTGTCTCACTTCGGGTGCATATAACACCAGATCACTCGCGACTCGTATTAGCGCACTGAATTATCCTCATACACTCTGACCACAATGTCGTCGGCCAACTCATCCCCACAGCCTGCACTCGAGAAGAGTCTAGTGAACACAGAGGCAAGTGCAACCATCAGTCTCGCATTCGTAATCAACTCACCATAATTCAGGTCAAAACCACCGACGTTCAGGCTACCTCTGTGGCTCAGTCGCAGGTCGGCACTCCTCAGTACGACGTGGATGATCCCGTACAGCCCTCAGCGCCTTATGCACGGCCGGGTGGCTCCAACTTGGTTCGAACGGATTCCATCTTTGAGCTAGTCAACAGCATCATAGAACCTACGGTGTCCGAAGAGTTGATGTGTCTCCCCGCGACGAGAATCGACGTTGGCGACATGTCTGCAAACCAACAAGATACCTGCACAGGCGACATTCCCTCTGGAGCCGTTTCCCCGCGAGTTTCGTGTTCTACGGTGTCTGCGTTGACGGCGCCTTCGACATGGACCTGGTCGTCAGGAGAAGACGACAGCGACGGTGGAGATACCGAAATCGAGGACGAAGACGACGATCCCAATTTCTGGACGTATCGGCAGGTACCGCTAGGGAACCAGAGTGCCTGGAACGTCCTATCAAACATGGCGGCTCGTGTAGGCGAACGTCTATACCCGGAAGAAGATCAGTGCAACGAGTCAAACGATTGAGGTTGTACTCCTTTTGGGTATATGTCTTTGCTGTCACAGTGTCCGTGTAGCTCGGCGATCGACAGGACATGTATACTGCAAACCGATATTAATATTGTAATACACGCGTGGTACTTATGGGATGCATGCCCAAGAAACATAAGCCCCATCACATCATTCAAGTATCCAGATGAAGCACGGCTGAGGCCTGAAGCCTGCAGGGGCGCTCTGAGTCGGGGCGCTTCCCAGCAACTAAGCAAGCATATCCTTACATGCTGTCGTTATGTGGGGTGCGGGTCAAGCGAGGGCGTGGTCGTGGCCCACGCGGAACTTGGTCGACACCTGCAACGTCCACACACTATACCTTCGGAAATTTCCTACTTCGGGCGCTTATACACTGCCGTCAACAGCTTGTTAATGGCACCATGGCGCCTATCCCCTGGCCACGGTGCTATTGTCGCCTCACGTTGGCGCGATTCTGAAGAGCGGGGATGGAGACCAACTCCCTAGATCGACGCTCAATCTCACAAGCACAGATAGATGCACTGGACAGGGTACGCTGTCGTCACGCTGCATTGTTTTGGTCAATTGAGCGTATCAACACCTGGGTCCCTCTAGCATCTTGACACAATCCCACATGAAGATGCCCAGTTTCGGCCACTGCTACGTCAACTCAGTCGGTTGTGCGGGGAGAGCGAGCTTCTGCCCACATCTTATGAGCTCGCTGGTCTCGTGGCATTGGACGAGGACGAGGCGTATTCCGTTGGTGGCTTTTCGGATGTATGGAGAGGGACGCACAACGGGAAGCCCGTCGCTCTAAAGATTCTCCGGCTACATGCGGGAGACCGCGCCAGAGTGAAGAAGGTAAGCTATCCCTCAATACGTGCTCCCCGATTCCTTTAACTCGGCTTGAACTAGATTTTCTGCAGGGAATCCATCTTCTGGAAACGATTGTCTCATGAGAACATCGTCCCCTTCCTTGGTACATCCCCACGATCCCACGTATGCATAGTAGCAGAATGGATGGAGCATGGTGATGTTTTATCCTATCTCGAGCGATTTCCTCTCGCAGATCGCAGACAGCTCGTGAGTGCTATGATATTCACCTCAAAAAATATCGAGATTATATCCTCATGCAAACTGTCCAGATAACCGATGTCGCTCGTGGCCTGAACTACATGCATGCTAGCGGGGTTATACACGGCGACGTGAAAGGAGTAGGTATCATGCCTTTTCGTGTGCTCTTGTCATGCTTACGGCTCAATAAATAGCGGAACATCCTCGTTGACGGAGAACACCATGCCAGGTTGAGCGACTTCGGCCTGTCAACCACTATCCTTGGGACAGAAACCCTTGCGTCGGTCACGGAAACTTCCGCAAACAGAGGTAGTCTGCGATACATGGCCCCAGAGCTACTGGATCACACGGTGGACAGCGTCGCGCTGACCATCAGAGCGGACGTCTACGGTTTCGCAATGGCTATGTGGGAGGTCAGCTTGTTTGATGACAATTTTCTACGTCGATTCCGACAATCTCTCAAACAGATATTCGAGGGAAGGATACCTTTTCACGAGATCAGAGTGGACTACGTCGTCGTGCTGAAGATTAAGGATGGTGTACGCCCTCCGCGTCCTGCGGACACGACGGGGCTCGGTCTCGATGACGAGATGTGGGGTCTGATACAGGATTGCTGGACTGCCGATCCGTCTCAGAGACCTACCATGAGCCGCGTCTTGGCTCGACTTACACCCCATACACGTGATTAGTGCTTCCAGCTTCCTATCTGTGGGTTGTACTGAAACATACAGATAGTGCTTGCCCCGACCCCCATCGTTCTGCCCGTGTCATCGGGAGATCAGACGCCCTCGCCCCCACGCGCTGGCAGAGAGCTGGATTCCATCGAATATGCTTTACCCAATCGCGTCAGCTTTAACGCCCGACCTGCGGTTGCGCGGGACGTCTTTGGTACCCTGCATTTAGGAGGAGAAGATAGCAGTGAGCTCATCTCCGCCTTCAACAAGCGTATTGCTGACGGAATATGCAGGGCAAATGCGTGCTTACACCCCTATACGCCGCAGCGGTGATGGCTATTTCGCAACAGTCCATCTCTGTGATTGGCATTCACCAACGGATATACCCCGCTCGGCATTGGAGAACAATCCGAGGTACGCCGGGCGTCATGTCGTAGCGGTCAAACACTTCAAGCGGCCTTTCACTGCGGGATACAATGGTCTCTTACTTCTGCTCGAGGTGCAGGTGAGCCCGTTGTGCTCTAAGCCTGATTGGTAGGCGCTGATACGCGGCTATTAGGCTCTTTTCGCCCTCGGCAGGCATCATAACATTGTGCAGCTTTATGATATCATGCTACTGGAACCATCAGATGAGCTCATCATGGTCTTTGAGCCGATGGAGGGCAATCTCTACCAGCTGATCAAGGCTCGCAAGGGCAGGTTCTTCGCCCAAGGATTACTTGCTTCCATCACATCCCAGGTGCTCGCCGGTTTGCACTACGTACATCAAACGGGCTTCGTTCATCGAGATATTAAACCTGAAAATATATTGTGAGTATCCGGTCACATTATGCATCGTCCACTGCTGATGAAAGTAAAGAATCACCACCACGGGCATGAAGAGGTACGGTGGAGAGCACAGCGAAAGGCCGGACGTGGCTGCCGTAGCCAAATTATGCGACTTCGGACACGCCAAGAAGGTCCACCCGGACGTCCCTGATTCAGAATACGTATCGGTACGGTGGTACCGCGCGCCTGAGATACTATTACGCAGCCATAAAGTTACAGCAGCGGTTGACATGTGGTCTCTCGGTGCTGTGCTCGCGGAATTAGCCACGTTACAACCACTCTTCCCGGGGACTGACGAGATCGACCAGCTTCACCGGATAGTCGACATTCTCGGCGACCCAGTGGAACGATACGGGCTAGATAATCATGGCAGACCTCACGGTGGCAGACAGTGGCCAAGAGGCGTCGAGATGGCTCGCCAGCTGGGCTTCAGTTTTCCTTTGGTGTGTTCAATTCGATCTTCATCCACGCGGAAAAGGCTGACAAAATGAACGTAGAAACAACCTGATGTCCTTGCTCACCACTTCGATGCATCCATGCCGAGCTCGTTGATCGCTTGCATCGCCGATCTGCTCAAGTGGGACCCGGATGCTAGACTTACCAGCAGACAAATGCAAGATCACCCCTACCTACTGAAGACATTGGAATGATCCTGGGAACTGTCGCCGTTATGCTTTTACCAAGGCGATGCGTGACGTTTCGCGAAACCCCTAGCAAACGCAATTTCCCGTGATTGTTATGTACATTCGAACGATAAAGACTAGTCAGCTGCAGAGGGGCGTTCGCCCGTAAGGAGACGAATCTATCATGTAGCCTCTTCGCCTGGTGAACAACCACCTGGACGGGATAGATGATGCTAGGATTTAATGATGGGGAAGACTAGTGAAGACAAGAAAAGGTGGACCCGAAACCGGATATATGAGGAAATCGTGACAAAATACTCGTAGTCGAAGCATTAAGATGAACGTGGCGAAAGGAACGCGGCTACCCCGTTAGAGGATGAGACATTTGCTTCTCTTCTTGACCACCGGGGGCTCCAGTGCGGCCACGATAGCCTGTTACTCCGATCAGAATACCGCGCTGATCGGCAGGAAGAAGGAGACGAACCTCGTCGAAGACGTTCTTGAGACCCTTCTGAGTCAACGCCGAGCACTCCACGTACTTGACCGCGCCGAGCTCGCGAGCAAGTCGCTCTCCTAGATCCTGGGTGACCGGCTTCTGCTTTTGCCTCTGAAGCTTCTCCATCACCTGGGGATCATCCCGCAAGTCTATTTGAGTGCCTACGATGAGGCAGGGCACGCCGGGACAATGGTGGTGGACCTCCGGGAACCATTTCTCCTTCACGTTCTCAAACGAAGCCGGCGACGTCACGCTGAAGCACACGAGGAAAACGTCCGTCTGAGGGTAGGACAATGGTCGCAAGCGGTCGTAATCCTCCTGACCTGGAGTGGAGCTCAGCGATAAGGCCGGCCGCGGTCAATCCCATGTTAGCAAGTCCTCACCAGCGGTGTCGAACAGCCCCAGGGTATAAGGGTCATCTCCGATCATGACGGTGACAGCGTAATTATCGAATACCTACAGGATTTGAAATCGGTTAGGCCGGACCGTCGACGTGACGAGTCCTTGACAGCGCTCACAGTAGGGACATACTCGCTGGGGAACTTGTTGGTGGTGTACGAAATCAAGAGACAAGTCTGTGGTGCGACAGGGACAGCATTGAGAAGGACGTAGGTCGGTAAGTCGCGATCAACCACGGGTACAGCTCAGAGCACGGACCTTCCCGACCGCACCATCACCGACGACGACACACTTGATGGTTTGCATAGTGGCAGATGAAAGACCAGCTAGCGTTCAAGAGACTGTTATCGAGGCCAAAGGAACGTTAGCTCGAGTTTGCGCTCTGGGGTATAACGTGCGTATGATGCCGCGAGGAGGTCCGCACATGGCAACCACGACCTCTCCACGTGCCGCACTCGACACGTTCCACGGTACGACGCGTATGGATAGGGAGCGAACACTAACTTGACCTGGCAATCGCGGAGAAGGAGTCTGTTTTAGACTTGGCCGAAGCAGGGGGAGCAGCTTGCAGAGGTCGCCTGAGAACGGCACGAGCCAATTCGGGATCTGGAGGAGCGACGAAGCAGCGCGGAAGTGAGCGCGAGCTCGATGTCAGATACGATGAAGACGTACGGACGGCGGGCGCGTAAGAGGCGGTGGTCGTCGACAGAGGCAGCGAGGGGAGCACGCTCACGTCGCAGCAGCGGTGGCAACCACTGTGGCTGTTCTTACGTAAGCTTCCAGGAGGTCTCGACTCTCACGGCATCCGAGGCGGGAGAAGGCACAGAAAGGAAGAAAAATATAACAAAGCAATAACTCTAAGACCATACTGTATGTAATTTAAGGTCGTAGACGACAATGATGGAGCTATACTAACAAGACTGCTCGCGCAGAATGCGAAGATCAGATCACTTTGGCCCGCTTGCGCGGGGCCTCGACCGCTATCAGTGTTCTTCATGAGTCTTCGCGCGGTAGATGTCCAGTGGATGTACTCACGGGGTGGCGAAGGCATGGGCCACCAGCATATCCGGCCATTCAGCGTCCCCGTTAGGAGATGCGGCGTATTGGCCGGGTGATTGTCGCAAGACTTGAAAAACCCCGTGTTAGGACATGATTTAGTAAGATAGTGCAGAGATAGTGCGTACAACAATTGCTCTGACGTCGGCATCTGACGTAGCGCCACCGTCAGCTTCAACCACACACGGACTCCAACCCGACCAAGTAACGTGAGAACGCACCTTCACCGTGATCCATCTCGGAGGTTGGAAAGCGATCTCCCGTATAACGGTCCCATACCTGCAACGACCGATCCACTACTCCATATACCACGCAGCGCCCATTCGTCGCGAAGATGGCCCCAGCAGTGCTCGAGTCCCGACGTTCGATGAACTTGACGTCGGCTTTAGCCTTCTGATCTGTGTTGTGTATGTTGATCAAGAACGCCGTATCACCGGGGCGGGTAACAAGAGCAAAGCCTCTAGGATCGACGTCAAGCGTGCGCCTGGTAAGAGCCTTGTGTTAGCCTAACTCAAATGGGCAGCGCATATACGACTTACAGTGCAGTACCCAGAAGGGAAATAACTCGTAGGGTCCCGTTCGGAACTTGACAGTACCACCTGGGCCACCGGTCTCAGCATCACTTGATGGACGCCCTAAGCACCATGACTCACAATACTCCATCAGTGGTAGCGCCGAGCAATGCCTCACCATCCTCGATGAACCGTATGGTCGTGGTATGCTGTCTCAAGATTGCTCGTTGTTCGTGCCACGAGCCTGCAAATTAGTGACTAAGATCAGGACCTCCGCTAACCTCCCACAATAGATTGGCATACCCTTGTTCCACAACCAGATCCGGATGCCTTTCGGGGTTGCCACGGATATCCGGTCCTGAACGTGGGCGATACAAACCGGCGTTCCGTCCATTGGTCTGCCCTCGTTCAAGTCCAGTTCCTTGGCCCAATGCCAGCGATTAGGACCCTGAGCAGAATATCAGTACACATCCTCGATCAATCGCATGTCAGTGCCAGAAATGTCGATTGACGTACAATCCTGGTCCACTTGCTAACAACGCCACTTTCTCCGAGCGATAGGATACCGTTGTTGTCTGCCAGCCATCGAACGGAGATCACGGGCGCGTTGTGTTGCAACATCGCCAGCTCAGTCCGCGTAAGATTGTTGAAGATCCGCACAGTGCGGTCAACGCCTGAACCAAGTCAGCGCCGCCCCACCCTGGGATGCCACCCGACAAGCGAGACCTACAGCTCACAGCGAAATGCTCGCCTGTGCGGCAAAGGACAATCTCCTTGACGGCCGTATCGCCTTTGACTTTCAGCGAGTACAATGGCTTCGGTCTCATATCCGTCTTCGTCGATGTCGGAGAGTCGGGCGTCGAGAGGACGACGGGTGATATGGGCAGTAACGCAGATGCAGCGCGCTTGACACCTCGAGGTACCGCGCGTTGTAGCTGCTCCGCTGGTACGACCGGCTTAGGAGGAAGCGGGTGGTATTTCGGACCTTCATTGGCTGGCGTGAGCATGCAGATTTGCGACGAATGTCAAGAGAAGAGTTTCACCTGATGATGATTTCGGTGTTTCAGGATGTGCAATAGACGCATGTGTCTGACGAGAAGGATCGGTTTGGATGGTATGAGAAGTAGTGGGGCCGATGCTCTGTGGTGGCGGAGGGATCGGCGCAGCCGGTAAAGTGGTAGGAATTTTGATTGTTGGTCGGTGGGAGGAGCTCGCGGGCGTGGAGACGGAACCATTCCCGTTCGCGTGTAGGACTTCGGAAGGCACAGCAGGCGCCGCTCCCGTAGGTTGTGGAGGTGGATAGAATAACGTGGTTTGCGCCGGAGGATTATAGAAGGAGAAGGGTGGGGGTGGAAACGAAGACGAGACGGAAGTAGGAATGGCGGGAAAATGAGTGGTAACTACGCTGGTCGGGAACGCGACTTGGAGTGGTACGGACTGGCTTGCAGGGAAAGGGAGATCAGGTAGAGAGGACGTAGATATTGTCGACGCTGGTGTTGGCGGCGGCTCGGCAACTGCCGGAGGCTGTGGCGGAGGCGCCGGAGGGGGCGCCTCGGGCGGTTCGGGAGCCTCGGGCGGCTGTTTGGCGGCATTTGCCGCGGCCGCTTTCTTCTTGGTGCCTCCTCTGTTCTTGGCCTTTCCCCCACGTTTCTTTTTGGCAGGTGCCGGAGCGGAAGGGGGAGCAGTTTCCGGTTCCGGTTCGGGGGGTGGGGAAGGATCAGGAGCTGGCTCTTGCGAAGGTGGCGAAGGGTCGGAAGAGGATTGTACGACTGAAAGGGAAGAATGAGTAAACGAACTGCGGTCATCGACTGATGGTGGGGGTACAATGTAGGTTCGCTGACCTGAACGTTGCGACGAGGCTCCAGCGATAGGCATCCATTTCGTAGAAGCCTTTCCTTTCGCATTTCCTGTTGCGTCAGGCTCGGACCTCGCTGGTTCGGTTGGTTCGTGCGTTTGTGCCTCTTTCGCAGATTCGTCCACCTGCGGCGAGGGCACTGGAGGCGAGACTTCCGCGGTAAGTTCCGGGGGAGGAGGGGGTGAGATGAGATGGGGGGGTTTGTCTCTGGAAGAGCGAGTTGTGCGCTGGGGAGAAATTGACTCATGAGTCGACGACCGCGATGCCGCGCCATTCGCAGCGTTGGAATTCGACACCCCTTTAGGTGGCGGCCAATTTGCACCCACGACGAGAGGTTTCCCTTTCTTTGTCGCCGAGCGAGTAGACACGAGAGCGGCAGGCCCTGTCGGTATGCGGGCGCTGGCGTTGATCAAGCCCCGCATCGCTGCTGGCATGGAGGGTCGAATGCTCAACGGATTGGAGGATGGTCCGGTAGGGATGTACACCAGGGACTTCGGGTCCGGTGGAGGGTGAGGAGTTATCGGCTGAGGGGTCGAGTTCGATGAGAACAATGTGTCCCGGGCTCTCGTGTATATCGCCGGTTCTGGTACTGGTGGGAGCGGCAGCTTCGGTGGAGGAGGGGGTAAAGATGGTGGTGAAATCGTATGTGGAGAGGACATATCACGAGCACAGAGTGGCGTCACCTCCTTCGAAGATGAATCGGCCGAGACGGCGGATGGAGGGGCAACAACGGCGTCGACTTTCGCGATCACTTCTTCGCCGGTGGAAAGAGCACGGGACTCCTCGGCGGTGGCTGCATATAGATTAGTTGCAATGACTGTACTCAGAGCAAGCTCATCGAGTGGTAGCGATCGCGACCGGGATGTGTGAGGAGCAGGATCCTCCCCAACTGGAGAAGTCCGCACAGATGAGGGCGCATCCGGTGGGGCGTGGTCAAGGGTCACGTTGCTACCGGACGCAACGGCGTTTTCAGAGAGCTGACGACGAGCTACGGGCATACGTGGGGACAACGACTCCCTCTTCACAGCGACGTCGCGAGGCGGCGCCTGACTGACGCAGTCATCCGCCGCGCTACTCTGGGCGAGCTCAATTTCATTGAAACTCCCTCCATAATGCGACGGCGGTGGGGTAGGGAACGCTCCGACAGGCGTCGGAGACTCCCTCTTCACGCAAACCTCGCGCATCTGGCGCACGTGGGGCTCGTAGTCGTTTTCCGCGTCCGACTCGATCTCCATGGGTGAAAGGCTCCGGACCCGGCGCGACTTGTAAAGAATCAGTCAACGGCGTTCAAGATTCATATAGAATACATTACCTGAGGGGGAGCGAGGAGATTGCCGGCGCTTTTCGTCTCCGTCGAAGTAGCTGTCGAGGAGACCGCTTTCTCGACCGTTCCCACGGTCGATCCGTCGATCTCGACGCGCGGGATCGGTTGGTTGAAGTCCGGTAGGATTATGAGAGGGGTCGTGGAGACCCCTACGCTCTTGCTACGGAGAGGCTTCGGAGACGGTACCGGTGGATCAGCCTGCGTGGAGATCGATATGCGAGCGGGCGGAGGAGGAGATGGCTCGGTCTGGATACTGTGAGATAAGCGCGCAGGAGGAGCAGGAGGAATAGCTTCTACGGAGACGGAGGTCTGGGGAGGCGCGACCTGCACACCCGCGGAGCTTTGCGGGGGAACAACCTGTACGCCTTCAGAGATCTGTGGGGGAGCAACCTGTACGCCTTCGGAGCTTTGCGACGGAGCCACTTGTACGGATGCAACGCTCTGAGATGGGAAGGCTTGGATGGAGATCGAGTTCTGCGGAGGTATTACCTGTATGGAAACGGACTGCTGCGGAGCCATGGCTTGTATGGAAACTGAACTCTGCGGAGGGACAGCTTGTACAGAGATCGAGCTCTGGGTAGCCGTCGCCTGCACGGACGCGGATTGGCGTGGGGGCGGTGGGGGAGGGTCAACCTGTACCGAAGCAGCGAGGCGAGGAGGCTCCGCTTGCACGCCGACGGACGTGTAAATGGGCAATGCCCCAGGATGGAAAGCTGAGACAATTAAATGAGTATTATAACACTTACCGCGGGCCAGATCAACATACGGAGAGCGGTCACATCGTCCGTCCTGAACCAGTCAGACTTCCTCATCTTCGGTGGCATGATGCCCGCTTCCCCGAGTTCGTCTTCCTCCGCCACTTGAGTGGTCTCTGACTCCTCCAAATCAGATTCATCATCTTCTGAAGCTATTTCGCCGGTGATCAAGAGCGCCTGGTCCTTCAAGTGCCCGCTCGTAGAGATAGAGAGCAGGATTTCCTTTCCCGGCTTGACCTCGATACGCTTCGCGGCAAAGAGGCTATAATATACTGCGGAGTGTTTCGAGGCGCTATCTTCCTCATCTTCAGAGTCGTCCGATGAGGGCTCGACGCGTCGCAGCACGACATGCGCCTTTACCGTTGTTCCATGAGGTACAAAACGCAGAGAGCCCTTTTTCAGACCAAGAAGCCGGGCTACATCATCCGTCTGCGCCTTCTCCCGGCCCATATTGCGAGCCTAGCTGTTCGAAAGTGCCTCTGCTATGATGGGCGAGGCGAAGGTGAGGGCAAATAACGGAGAGGATAAAGGCTGAATGACATGCGCGCCGCCCGCTGTGCTGCCACAGCCAGATCCTAATCACGTGCACTACGTAAATGTTCAGTGCTTTCTCGATCCGTACCGCCATCGGGCGCTTGTTAAGCGCTACTTTGAGGATAGACGTTTACCTTTGTTCTGTGTTTCCCCCAGGTGGAATCACCAGAAGACTGCGTGGCCTTTGTCAAGCCCATATCACAACAGATTCCCAGTTTTAGCTTCGGAAGTTACCGGGTGGCAGAAGAAAACCTCGGAGAACGGCAGACCCCGTATTAACTTCAGCCCTGGGCCAGGTTGGCATGCCGATAACATCCCACGCACCCTCTAAGACAAGGTTTGCAGAGGTTTGCAACCGAAGGGGCGATATTCGCATATACTACACACTATCGGCTAAGTAATATGGACTCACTACTACGCGGCTTGATTGGCAACGACTATCGATTCATCCAATCCAAGTACATTCACTGCGGATCGACAACCTTCTTCGTTGTAAGGCGCCCGGAGAGTCAAATTAGACTCCATGTCTACTTTCCAAAGATCGTGGCAAACGTCGTGCCTTGATGTCTACGACAGCGTTCGTGAATGGGCATAGAACAATTCCGAGATGAACGTACCCGATGAAAGCGCGGCCCGGATCGTTGAAAACTCTGTTGGCGTAGAGAATCGTTAGATCAACCCCATTTCGCCACAGAGACCAAAAGTGGTAAACACTGACACGTAACCGCGATTACCAGGGGTACCGAGCGTCTTTTGGAAATGGTCGAAGATAATCTTGCTGTAGTTCTCGTTCACCTCCGGATTGATGTTGTCAAGGCTCGTCTTCCCGTTAGATCAGTATACGCAACGGAACCACGCCGGAAGATTCGGTACTCACGATGGTGAGAAGGAAGGCAGGCTCGAACGTGCCCCCGAAAGAGAGGTTCTCGTCGTAGTTGTAGCTGACCGATATGTACACTTCGGGCTTTCCCAGGAATTCGGCAGAAAGCTGCGGGAATGCGGGGTAAACAAGTTAAGAAGGTCCCCGATCTAAGAATCAAGACAGTCGCGATGCGCACCTTGGAGAACTCCTTGATCCATGCTCGGACATCGGGCACCTATCGTATACGTAGTCAGACCAGGTAACGTCAGCGGCTAAGCTCAAGCCAATGAGATCGTCTCGAGCAAGCCAAACCTGACCATATCGTCTTACTCGCCTTCACATTCGTCTGCAGCACGAGACTAGGCATAGCGGAAAGCCGTGGGCGGGGTGAAGTAGATCAGGATGGTCTGAGGGGCCTCGACCTTGGTTTGGTGACGGTATATATGCGATCGGAAGGCCGACCGGTAGCACACGTGAGGGTGCATGTCATTCACCAGAGCATACGCACAAGAGGTTCCCGTGAACCATGATCATTTCTAATCTGTGTCAGCTCTCCCAGCTATAGACTTCGTGTAGAAGCCGGAACCGGCGACCGGAGAGCACGGTTGTGCGATTAAACCCATTCAGCCTGCGGAATTCATCCTTGCGTCGTAAAGCGCTGTAGCATTAGCAATCGCCCAGAGGCATCGATCGGTAAATCCTGTCAACGTCTCCCGGCGCCGGCCAAAACCGGGACTGCGCAGGCGCGTGGGATACTTCTTCAGCTTGAACTAACGTACGATGCAAAGTGCAAACAACAGTTGCATGCTTCAAAATTTCCGCGTCCAGCATACACCAGGAGTATGTACTTGTACAACAGGACCACGAGACTACAACAAATAATCCTCTGCTTCATCGCGAAATTCTGTTAACAAAGTGAGTCTCATGAAGTGACATCCAACAAAGTCCAGTCAGACCCACCATTTCGGACCGCGCAATCCGCACGACACAGCGGAGACCTGAGTAGCGGTCACGTCAAAGTGTCCCTTCGCCACGGCCTGGCCGTCCGTGAGGTCGTCGAGCGCCTCCTGCGCGATGTTGAACCCGAACGCGGTGTCGATCAGGACGACGTTGATACTCTTGCCCGTGCCGGCGTACGCGAGGTTCCAGCACGTCCCGCAGTTGGTCGAGTTCCAGCCCGCGACGGGCGCGCCGCCACCGATGTAGGGGAAGTGGGGAATCTGGTTGAACGTCTCCCAGCCGAAGCGGGTCTCTAGCCCGTTCGCGCCGTTCGAGCAGGCGACGCTGTCGAGCGAGCCGTTCGGGTTATCGTAGGTGTTGTCATAAGTGACGACGACGGCACGGGCGGAGAAAGCGAGTGCGAGGGTGGCGAAGACGTTGGTGAATTTCATCGTGTGATAGGAGGGTTGGTTGGGAGTGTTAAAGCGAGGCTCGATGAGAGGCTGCTGACCATCCTGAATCAGGTTTCCTCTTATTTTATACCTGAAGGAGCGCGTTCGCTTGGGGTATGAAATGCCGTCCACAGCCACGGTCGCCGCCGCTGAGAGGTCAGATGAGTGCTGGAGCCATGCACGTCCCATAAAGTTGCGTATAATCCGGCATTTGGCTTCTTACCAATAGCTTGCGGATCTGCAGCTAAGCCCGCGATCTTAGCGGGGAATGCAGCTTGTTCCATTGAGTCTGGTTGGGGTCGAGATGCTAGGTTATGCAAAGACATCCGAGAGGGTATTCGAGGGGCTTGGAATGCAGCATTCGGCCTTCAATATCGGAAATGCGCTGTCAAAGCAATGCCGGCGTGCGCGCTTGCCAACGAACGTGAACCGACTAATCGGCGTACCCAGTTCCGTGGGGCAACGTTGGATGGCAGAAGCAGCTGCTTGAACAGTCCACTAGCCGTGACAAGCACATTTTTCGTACACTCCTGAGCAAGAAATTCAGTGCATGTGCAAGAGAAAGATGGAGAAATTAGTTGGACCATACCAGCGCAGCAGCGAAGATCTTGCGGGATCAACGGCACGATCGAAGCGCAGCCAAGCTTCCCTCCGTACATATGATTCATCCTAAGATCCCGACTGCGTGAAGCGGCATACGTTCGCCGAAGAAAACTTGGGGGCGTCCAAGCGCTGGATGACAACCTTCAAGTTTTCGAAAGGCTTGGTGTTGGTGGTCGGGCGCGGAATAATGTACTATGCCCGTAAGTTGCGGCGTATGATTGAGCTTGGGGCATGCATGTTGTACTGCAGAGCCGGTGGTACGCGCAACCGGTTGCCCACGAACGAGTATGGGCAAGTACGAGACAGCATGTAGTGGCTGTGTTCGATCGGAGACGGACAGGAGAGGACCAGTGCGAAAGGACAGGAGCCTCAGCAGCGTATTGGCGTGCTTCGAGCTCGAGCGCCGCCCTGATCAAACTCACACACGACTTGCTTTGCCACAAGGCTTGGAGCATCTATGCTTAGAGCTGACGTAAAATATAGGACACACGCTTGATACTCGCCGTGTACACGTTGCGGCCGGTCGTCCTGACGGACTCTCCTTGGGACGCCCTCTTGCAGCCATCTCTTTCGCTGCGCTCGTGTGCGGCTCGTCTTCTCGTTTCTCTCATAGTTTAACTTGAGGTCAATCACACGCATTACAAGATCTAGTCACTAGTATCAAAGAGGACGTTGTTGCTCTATGGTATTAGATGTTAACTAACGATTGTGCTGTTAAAGCAGAGTTCCGCGAGATGCCGTCGCTCACGGCAACGAACCTAACGCTCAGTGAAGAGGTCTCAGTGAGATTCAATCTTTATTCTGTCCATTGCTTCGCTCATACTCCATACACAGGCGACCGGAAGCTATCATATCGATGGGCTACTTGCCGCATGTCAGGATGCGGGGACCCTCAATTACACCACACCATCTGCAGCATCGGACTCGCTCCATGTAAGCCTACCGATTCCGTTTCTGACATATCACTGACTTCGAGTACGCAAAGCTGAATCTGCGCAAGGATCAAGATGGCACGGTGGTACATTTGTATCTGCTCCAAGATAAGGAAACCAGCACCTTGCACGATGCGGAAATAACTGTTAGTTAGCTCACCATCTTTTTATTCATTGCAATCGTTCATGCATCTTCCTAGCTCAGGGCATGGGATGGTTCCATCATCGCATCAAGATTCTGGACGTCGAAAGCTATCAACCCCAAAGGCCGAGGGTGGGCATCTTTCTGCACGGTCACCCAGCTACGCGATAAACTCGCTACCAATGTACGAACGTTCATATTTGCCAACAACATGATTGGTTTGAAATTTGCATGACAATCACAGGACTCGTGCACGATACAGTATACTGTGACAAGATATAATTACGAGCATAGCCTGCATCCCTCAGGGGGATTCCGCGCAGTGCGGAAACTGCCACGCCTGTTGAAGGCACTCTTCGACGACGTGGGTAGCAGTGATGTGCGATTTGTCATCGCACAACCCCATGCTGCAGTTCAAGCGATCCACGCACACTCAAAGATACTAATGGAAGCGTCGGAATACTTCAATACCAGTTCGTTCAACTGCATGCTTCTCAATTGCTGCTACTCACCGATTCCCACCAGTGTTCGGGTCGGGATTTGCGGAAGGTCATGGCACTGATCCCGTATCCATGTTAGCTCCGCGCCCGTCCACGCTTCGGGTCGACGCGGAACGTTCCTCAGGTGCGGGCTCCTCGCACGAGGATCCTTCTAATTAAACATCCAACGCGGGCAAAGATATGCTCGGCCCAGTTACGCAGACCAGTGAACATGTCAAACCCGTTGCGGAGATAGAGGAGCCGGATCCGCGGTCATCTACATCTCTGCGAGCTACGGCCAATGAGGCGACCCAAGAGCCCATCAGATGTCGACAGAAAAGAACTGTCACCATCACCGATACGCCGTAAGAGCGAATCATCCATTGACACATGGCTCGCGCTGACGACTCTAGCTACGAGACATACCGGGCAGTGCTTCATTTCTTGTACACCCAGTAAGGGCTGCGTAAAGGAAGCTTCTTTCTTCTTGAACCTTGCCAGGTCGATCGCTTTCTCACCGCTGGAATCAACATACGTGACGTCGTTGCATCGAGCAATCGAATCCGACGCTAACGCAACTTTCGTATCACGCGACATTTTCAACAAGGAGCACGCTGCTGCGTACTGGACGTTTGCCGAGCTCGGAACGACCGAAATATGCGACATCCCACAGGGTGACCCCAAGCTCTTATACGAGCTTGCGGATAGTGCGTCCTATTCATCTGACGTTCGCTCGCGTTTACAGGCTTGTGACTCTTACATAGGAATGGACATACCAGATCTCAAGAAAGGAGCCGCCTCCTACATCGAGAGTTCTATCACCCCTGCAAATGTGGTGACAGAATTGTTTTCCGAGTTTACTGCTCGCCACGACGAATTCCAACCAATGCAGTTCGAGCGTGTAATTGCGAATTGGGTGAGCGTAAACGACACCGACGAACGGATAGCACTGACACGAGTCATCTTAGGATGATGTTTCCACGACACCGGTCATGAAGGAGGTGTTAGAGTCGCCAAATCCTCATACAGTGCAGATGCTCCTTCGACTCTTCGGACGCCTCCGGGTTAAGGAGCAACACACTGACAGGAAACAAAGCGAAACTTGAACTCACAGATTGCGAGTACTCAGTAAGTTCTCCCCTCTAGTGCACTTGCCTGGACCACTAGTAACGCATAGAACGAATGCGTAGTTGCATGAGTTGCGCTCATCCTGTCGATACTTTGTCTGCGTCGACGATTGTACTGCTTGAAGTAACGTACAGGTGGAACTTCACGCGTTACCACGTCAACGCGTGGAGATCATGTGACCGCGTAGGCTTCATTGTTACGCGGCTTTTCCCTTGTCGTTCTTTCAACTTCCTGAGGCTGAGTGCAGGCAGCACTCTGGCGTTCACTTCGACTGGTGCATCTTAACTTAAGTCATTAAGTCACTTCGCTACTGTCTCATATCTTTCGTATCGTGTCCTGCGCGGCACCAGTTCCGTCCCTCGTTGCACCCCGAGGTACCGTGCAATTCACTCTACATCCGGATCATCTACCATCCCCCCTTCGTGCAACCCACCAGTACTATCAGCCCACCCGCTCCGAAAGTCAACCGTCAGTGATTGCACGTCGCTTCAAGGACCAAATTTCGTTTTGGCTGATAGTGGTATGCATATATAAGTCCCTCTAGGGGTGTTTATCACATGGCTCCATTCACCATCACACGGTCCACGCTTGACGAAGAGTTCACAGTGAGACGCATACCATCATCTGTTCCACATGTCTCATACAAATTCTCGCGCGTAGTTCACAGGCAGCTTTGACATCACTGGCTTACTCGATGCCTGCCAAAATCCTGCTTCGTTTCAAAAGCGCAGTCCGAAGTTAGACAATATTCCTCTTCATGTACGACTGGATGTCTCGACTGCCATGAAAGCACGAAGTAATGACGTTTCTTCATAGTTTTCATTGAAAAAGGAAGAGGGCGGCGATAGCCTGAAGGTGTTTCTACACGATCCTAGCAGGAGTAGTGAGCTTTACGACTGCGAGGTTACTGTTAGTAATTGCCTTGCTCTTTCTGGTGAAACCTGACCATGCAGTAGCTGAGAGCCTGGGACGGATCTGTCGTCGAATCACTATCCTTCTTCTCGAAATCGATCCGAGAAGGGTCAGGTCGTGGCTGGTCATCCTTCTGCAAAATTTCCGCTCTTCAAGATTTTCTTGCTAGCAATGTATGCATATATAAAACTGCCATCTGTGAATACCTAACCACTTTTCCAAGGATCTCGCGAAGATACAATATAAAATAACGTGCTACGGTCATGGCGATACGACAATCCCGCGTCCATTACATGGAATTCAAGCTACACAGCGACTGACCAATCTAACCGCCTCGATCTTCGACAACAAGGACTCAAGCGATGCGCTTTTTGTCATTAAACCACCCGAGACAGCTGCACAAGTCATTCATGTACATTCAAGCATACTCATTGAAGCGTCACCGTACTTCAAGAAGCGTGCGCCCTCTTACCTCATGCACTCGTGCTGTGAAGGCTTACTCATGCCCTGACTACTTAGTAATCGATTCTGCAAGGAGGTCATCTCTGCAAGCCTGTACTCCGATCCCTGTAGACGCGATGCAACATCCTCGCGCAACCCCTCGAGCGGGTCCTGGCCGAAATTCTGTGATCACGCCAGACGAAGGACAATCAGCGTCGGATGCCGCGTCTAGCGTGACCAACGGGTCTTTCAAAGAGAGCGCCTCAAATAAAATCGTGTTTAAAATCTGTGATCCTGATCCATCGTGAAGACGACTTACTTGTGGAGGGGTTCGCAGGTGCTGACTTGGGCCTTTACAGGTATGAGACCTATGAGACCTTTCGGGCCGTGCTCTTTTACTTGTACACTGGGTTCGTCCAAAGCCTTATTCGTTGCGATCAGTACGCGTCTCATTGTCACCAGATTTATTGCGTTCACATCGCTCGGATCTGCCCATGCGGAGACTGGCGCAGGTTCCGAGGCGACGGTGGATATGGATGATGACAGAGTTGCCATGTACTGGAATTTTGCGGAATACAAGAACGCCCTGCGATACAGCAAATTCTGTGGTGATCCAAGGTCGATTTACGAGCTTGCAGATTGTGCGTATTCTACCTTCCATATGCTGGCGCATACCATCTCACGCAGATTGAGTAGTGTGGGAAATCCCTGGTTTGAAAAGAGCCGCGGCTTCGCATATCGAGAGGAATCTCACTCCCGCTAACATCGTCACCGGACTATTCTCTGATTTCACGGGACGCCACCCGGAACTGCAAGGATTTCATATCGAACGGGCCATCGAGTACTGGGTCAGTCGCCTTTCCTATTCTCGCAGCTTTGGAAACATGGCTGAAGATGTATGCTCAGGACGACATCGCTACCACTCCGGCTATGAAAGAGGTCCTTCAGTCTCCGAATCCTCAAACAGTGGAGATCATGCTGCGGCTGTTTGCGGGTCTGCGGAAAGAGAAGAGGTGAACGTCGTGGATGGGACGGATGCAAAGAGGTTTTGTCATTACGTTCGTAGACCTCAAGTTTTCTAAATCTACTACAACAGCTATAGTATATATAACCAACATGTCGCGCTTTGCATTTACTCTATACAAGATCTTTCGAGAATCGATATTTCCAGTGCATGTATGACTGACAGACCGCATAAATAGACGATGGCGGTGGTGAATGATCGTGCGCGGTAGATGAATGGTGTGGTGTACAGCGAGGACACGCAAGAGCAGCAGCGGCGAGGAATATGGCGCGGTCATTGCAGTTCTTGCAGCGCGACGCTGTCGATCGCCTCGGCGTCCATGAGCACGCCATCCTCCGCCGACACGACATCCTCCCTATCTCCCTCCCCGCTCTCATTCTCCAGCATGTCCGCAATCTCTGCTGATGTTGCATCCCCATCGCCGTTTGGAAGGCCCTCCACCGGGCCGGTACCACGATACCATGAACGCACGCTGCTCGCCCTCGACGCCGCACTCTTCGCGCTCCCCCGCCTGCTCACGCTCCCCCCGGCGAGCCAAGCCGCAGGCGGCGCCGGCGCGCCCTCTCCCCTCATCCACTCCTCATCCCACAGATCCACCATCCTCGCCCGCTTCTCCGGATCGCGCACGAGCAGGCGGTCCACCACGCGCCTTACGCCGCTCGACCGCGCGAGCGCCGTCCCCCGCAACACTTCGTCCTCCGCGTCAAGGACGGTATCGTGCCCGTGTTCCGCCGTCGGCGATTCCGGCTCCGCGTCCTCCTCCTCCTCCTCCTCCTCGGGCCACTCGTACTCCCCCCTCGCGATCCGCATCAAAAACGCGCGCCGTCCCTCCTTCCTCACCCCGCCATCGCCCTCCCTTCCCCGCCCGTGCCCGTCCTCGCCCTCGAACGGCAGACGCCGGCAGGCGAGCGCGTACAACACCACGCCGCACGCCCACGCGTCCGTCCGTCGTCCGTCATACCGTCTGCCGAGCACGAGCTCCGGCGCGGCGTACGACTCGCTGCCGCAGCGCGTGGACAGCGTCGGCTCGGCGGGATCGATAAAGCGCGCGAGGCCAAAGTCGGTGAGCTTGATCAGCGGCGCAGGCAGTTCCGGAGCGCCGGAGTCGAACGGGTTGCAGGTCAGGAGGATGTCTGGGATCGCGATCAGTATCGGTGCTTTAGAGGGAGGGAGGGAAAACATACTCTCGAGCTTGATGTCGCGATGGACGAGGCCGACGCCGTGCATCCAGCCGACGGCTTTGCAGAGCTCGCCCCAGATCCGTCGGAGCAGCCGCTCATCGAGCGCGGCGTGTTTCGCATCCGATTCGACAACGTCAAATAACTCGCCGCCGCCGACATGTTCGAGCCCAAGAACGTAGTGCGTCGGCGTCGAGAAGGAGAGAAGGTACGTCACGATCGACGGGTGCGAGATGTGCTGCGTCAATAAATCGGCGTTAGCCAGAGGCGCCTATATCGACGCAAGATGAGGCTTACGCGGAGCACCTCGACCTCTCGCACGAAGCTTATCCTCGTACGGTCGTTCACGTCCGGCGCCGTCCTGTCCACCAACTTGACCGCGACCAACCTCTCGCCCTTCCCCTCGTCCTCGTCCTCATCCGCCGCCGCTCCCAGCTCTCCAAACTCGCCGACGCTCACGCTCGCGCTCGCGCCTTCCCCGTCCCTCTCACAAAGACACTGCCTCCCCTCCCTCCGCCCCATCCCTTCCTTCTTCCCTTCCAGCCTCTCGCCCAACCTAAGATTCAGGCCCAACAGGGACGGTTTAGTTCCCTCCACCACCCGTCTCCGCTTACTCCTCCTGATGCTTCCCGGCCGGCTGCCAGGCGTCGATCTTCCCGTCCCCGGAGGCGGGTCGTCAGGCCCCGGCACGATCTTCCCGCGCGCAAGCCAGACGGTGCTGAACGCGCCCTGACCGAGCGCGGAGACGAGCGTCAACCGCGTATCGCCCTTCAAGTCGGAGATGACCGTGCCGGGCTCGATCTCGACCCCGTCGGCGTCCGGGTCGTGCTCTTCGTGGTGGATGTAGTGCTCGCTTTCGTGTGGTTCGTGGCTATGGCCGGAGGCGGAGGTAGACGCGACGAATTCGGCGGAGGTGGGAGAGGTGGTGAACGGCGCTGGGGGCAGCTGCGCGTGATCCTGGGTCGCGGGGGACGCTATCGACGTGGACTCCCGCGGCAGTGGCGTCGGCTGCCTCGCCAGCGGCGCGCTGACGATCCTTCGCGTGCTCAACCTTTCCAAGTCTTCGCCGTTCGCGGACGCGGGCGAGCGGAAGTCGAAGTAGAGGCCGTTGGCGCTCGTCGGCGTCACTGCGGCCCGAGGGTGGCTTGCATGGTCGCGGTCGCCCTCGCGGTCGGCGAAGCCTCGGAGGACGGGAGAAGAGGTGTCGAGCGCGGGGGCTTGGCGGGTGTAGCGCGACGGGAAGAGCCGGTGGAGGGGTGGGTATGCGCTGCGCGGGGGAGGGGCGGGATCGAGCGCGAAGCGAGGTGGAGAGCTTTCCCTCGAGGGCGGGACGGATCTCGTTGGCGAGGCGAAGAAGGCGGCGGTGAGCGAGCGTGGTTTGTCCTTATCTCTGTCCGTGGGCGTCGGCGTCGCGTCGGCGGGGTTGGGATGGTGCGCTCCAGGTGTCGTATCGGACGCAGAGGAGGATGGAGGGGGTGGGAGATCGATGCGGGTGGGAGGGAGGTGGGGCGAGGACGCGGTCGAGCCGAAGGGGCTGCCGAAGAACGCGGCCGTCTTCTTCGCGGACGGCGAGGGCAGCGGCGAGAGCGGGAGCGGGCCGTCGCTCAATGTCGAGCTGGAGGAGAAGCTGGAGATGCTGAGCGTCGAGCTCGACGACGGCGAGAGGAAGTCGGATCCTGAGGCGGGGCAGAGCTGGTGTGCGCCGCTCCGGTCGGCGCGCTCGAGGCCGGCAGTCGAGATGGAAATCGGCATTGGGGGCGCTGGCGAGGTGATTTGTTCGTGTCGTTGTTGGTAGCAAGTGGAGATATTAGGCATGGATGTACAAGAAATTACAGGGAGGACGAGGAGGGGAGGGGGGCTATAAGGCGTCGTGCATGGCGGGAGGAGCGGAGGGCGGATATGGGGCGGAACGTCACCGTCAGCGGAAGAGCTACGGCAGCAACGTGACCAACGACACCGACCTCGATCCTTCCGGAGGGACTCAGCTCAGGCTGCGCAACGCAGTGCGCAGAGAAACGAGTCAACAGTAGCCAGAGTCATCCCCCGTATTATTATGGATGGGACGTGTTCGGACCGCGTACGCGTTTCTTGATAGACAGACATGATATGGACTTGATATCGTCCCTCTCTCAGGCCCTGGAACGCGCTCCCATACTCTCCCATGCGTATCGCTGATGGGGATAACCAGGCTCGGCCCAGGGCACTTGCCGGGCCACACATACGAGCGTTTCATTCAACGTGCAATCTCAGGAATGCCAGTTGCACCCATGACCTGTCAGGATCCGAAGCTTGTTGCTTGGACTTCTCTATCACAATCAAACCCTGAAGTTATCGAACGTGCAACGTGAAGGAACAGCGATGACTTCGTTCATCGTTGGATGACGTTGCGGACGTCGATCTTGATTCGGGAGGCGACGCGTGGACGACCACCGTAGTGGACGAATAAACCCGAAGGTCGAGGCGCCGGTGCTTCACGGCACACCGTCCTAGGTACCGACGCTGTTCGGGCGAACTGACCGTAAGCAATGCTCACTCAACATCACGACTCATAGTGCAGGGCATCGTTGTTCAGCGCATCCATGACTGTGAACGACCAACGAGAAATGGAAGACGCAGAACTCTCCGTCCAATATAGATCACGATTACATATCGGACTTCGCGACAAGGCCAGATGACTGTCATCCACTCGCATCGGAATCCAACGCTGACTGTCTGCCAAAACTGTCTTCGAGTCGGCGCTCGTAAATCGGCCCGAAATACATTGGGTTTCGTTCGTAAAGTGTCATGTGTATCACATCGTGTTGATCCGTAGTACAAAGTCCATGCATCGATGCAAGTGTCCGTAAAGCGCACAAGTCCGTAGGAATGTAAAGGTGTGACCAATCATGGATATCTAACAAATCATATACTCTTGCGTCAGCGTCGGGACAGAACTCGATGGATTTCCCGGCTTACCGTTGCCTTCAGTGCGACAATCCGCACTGCGTCACCGCGACCTGCGTCGCCGTCGCGTCGATCCTTCCAAACGCGACCGCGTTCCCGTTCGTCAGCTCGTCGAGCGCCTCCTGCGCGACGTTGAAGCCCGTGTCGGTATGGTCCACCACCAGCACGTTGATGCTCTTGCCCGTGCCGGCGTACGTCAGCTGCCAGCACGTCCCGCACTCGGCCGAGTTCCACCCGGGCACGACGGCCGCGCCGCCGATATGGGGGAAGACCGGGATGTCGCCGAAGGTCTGGAAGCCGTAGCGGGTGATGAGGCCGTTCGCGCCGTCGGAGCAGGCGACGGTCGTGAGCGAGCCAGAGGCATTGTCGTAGGCGTTGTCGTAGGAGACCGTGATGGCGGACGCGGCGGCGGAGAGCGCGGCGACGACGACAGTGGACGAGAACCGCATCGTTGGCGTGGATTTGGTAGGTGTAGTTGAAAGTGCGGGTGTTGTGGTACCTTGAACTCCGGAGGAGATCTGGGGAACATTCAGCAGCAAGACCAGTCCGTGTCTTATACGCGTTCGAGCGCGGTCAGAAGCTCCCGTCGACGTCCCGAGGGCGAGTCGTGCCGAGGAGGAGCAAGCTGCCCCGACGTACGATGGGAGATCACAGTTTCCCCAGTCGGCGAGCGAAGCTTCGTCAGGGTGATCACTGGGTCAGACACATGCGGCGGCGTCATCCCGATGGCGCTGCGTCCAGGCTCGGCGTACCCATCGACTGCTCGTCGGCGGTGCAGGAATAGGAGGCGAGACCCCCATGCGGGCGACGTTCCCCGGCGGCGGTGGCGAACGAGCGAAGACATCGCGCGGCCAGAGCAGGGCTGGGACGAGAGCGCGGAGATTGGCGTCATACGACGTGCGCGGGAAATGGGGGTTGCTGTGATGGAGTTTCTTTCGTGTGGCCATAGCAAGTGACCATGATGGTCCAAGTGTAATTGTACTCTCAAGCAAGTTCTTGGATGCACTTCAGCCAGGTATTCGCGGTCAGTAACTTACGTAGGGTGAATGTGGCCAGGCTCCTATCCTTAGGCGACATGGATCCCGCGTCCTGCTTTGAAACCTTTGCTGGTCTGATAATTCCCGGAATTCCGTTTTGGATGCAGCCCGCCTGCCAACACAATACCGGATAAACGGGTCGATCTGCATGAAGGCTCCTGATAATCTCAAGCGTCATGCAACTATGAGTCGTAGCATGGGCCTCCGCGCGGAGGGAGCGTAAAACGCTTCGATCGCTCTGTTGATCCTGTGCGAGCGCCGATTTCCCAATGGTTCGACGGCCACTCTGGTACAGTCCCACTCTACCCTTTGTACATTTATTGATTTCGTTGTTCAGGAGTACAGTACCGTGCTCGTCGCAGCTCCCAAACTAGTTCAGCGAGCAATCTTGAACTATCAGCGCCGCGGAAACTCTTGAAGACCAAATGCGGGTCGCCTGTCGTGGGGCGGAACTCGACCAGCTGTGGAATGTGTTGGACCCCTCGCGTGCGCCGGGCACGGGTAAGAGCGTCATTGTGCTCTTGATCGACACCGCTGCATCCGGGTTCAATATCGCGCAGGAGCCGCTCGCTGCACTCAACAACAAACAAGCCATGGCAAAGGGGCACTTTGACGTGCTACCCAGGTTCTCGTTACGTCGTGCGGCCTGCCCGATCCGAAATGATGGGTTGAACTTGTCCTTAGTCATGAAAGTTGTTGTCGGGGCTGGTGCATACCGGTGGAATGCCGCACTATAGTAGAACGTGGTAGTCCTTGGAGTTCAAATGCAATCGTAGCGTGTTCACTGGTATGATATCCAACTACTACGGACATTCTATTCACGGTCCGCGTTCTTCACCATGAACATTCATCACATTGGCGGCAAAGCGAATGACACAAATCACTTCTTCCCCAAACCTGCGAACAACCGAAGCATGATCTGCGCAGTTCGCGGGTTGGGTGACTCGAGTACTTCCTGCATCGCTGAAGTGGTCGCGATCTCGTCCTGAACCTGTTTCAGCTCAAAACGGTTTTGGACATCGAATCCCTTACCCAGTGATCGATGACGTGCTTGATTTGTAGTTCCTGGAATTCAGGGTGACGGCCGGTGAAGTCCGAGAATAATTCAGCGACGACGTTCTCTGGAGTAAGGGAATTCTGGATGCACAAGGCTGCTGCTTCCTTCAGTTCTGGAATGCCCATTTCTGTGCACAACTCCGTATAAGAACATCGTGGGCCGCCAGATGAACGGTTTACGCACTATCCGCAAGCTCGTACACAGACTTTGGTTCACCTCGGGACATGTCGTATTCCCGCGCTTCATAGTAGTTCGCAAAATTCCAATACAAAGCGCCCTGTTCATCGTCCGTATCCGCCATTTCATCGGAACCAGAGTTCTCCGTCGCATGTGCAACCTTTGGTGCCGCGAACTCTATAGACCTATCAATGATGAGCGAAGGCTTCTGGTTTCGTCCGTCTGTGCTTACCCAGTGTACAAGTAGAACAATACGGCACGGTAGGTCTCGTATCTGTAGGTAAAGGTTAGCGATTGACATGCCCCGGGTGTGAATGGCCTTCACGGTGTATCAATGATAAAGAACGTCCGTTTTCGCGGGCCGGGGTTATCTACGTTGACGTGACTAGCGTGGCGTATTGCAACGTAACCAGAGGAGATAATTGACGATTGCTGAGATATGGATGCCACAGATTCATCTTCCGCTAAATATAAGCTTGGAGGATCATTGCCCGTCTCTTGCTTGACAACAGCGTCGTTTTCTGACGTTTCCTCATTATTGGCACTGAGTACTGACCAAAGGAATCGAGTGAGCGTCCGAAAGAGTATCGACGAAAAGAACGCGGCACTGATGCCGGTGACGCACGTCTCGCAAAATAACTGGACGCTTTTGCCAGTATTTGTGAATGTGCGTTTATTGATCGTGGATTTGTGCCACATTCTTCAAAAACAAAACATATATCGCTCGTAGTCACGTCGTCGAAGAGAGAGGCAGTGAGCCGAGGCATGCGTTGTATTGCTCTAGTGCTCTGCAACGTATGTGGCAACGCGAAGCCCTCAAGCTGACCATATCGTGTCAGGCTGTACTGTATTATGGCAAGATCCTACGGAAAGCTCAGTAAATACGATAAGATCCGCGATGCAAAGACTCTCACATTATCCGCAAGGAAGTCTTCAATATCAGAGATTTGACAAAACTCCTTCCAGCCATGCGTGGACCCATTTCGGAGAGGATGTGAGGCCCAATGCTGCGACGCGACAACAGTGCCATCCCATGCCCTCAGCTACTGAAATAGTCAACTTTCAACCTCAATGCAAGAAGAAGGAGCAAGAAATTGGCCAACATTTATTTCAACATCATAGAAACTGGCAGGGCCCTTTGCAGACTGGACATGGACTCCTAATACATCGCTATTCTCGCCTTTGCTGAGTTTAAACTATGATGATCTGTCAACATTGAGGGCAATCACAGCTAGAAGATCCGCATTTGCTTACGAAGAGAGAGCGGCCGGACAATTTCGGGCTGAACATGTGGAATGGAACTGGATTTCTGCAGGCAGCGAGCAAGCCGTGCAGTTTGAAGCAACCTGTGATCTGCGCACATGCATCACATTCTTATATATCATGCAGCATGTACAAGCAAATGACTCGCTGTGAACTCCTCACCGAGTGAGGACCATTCTACGCCAGTAAGCTCCGCCATGGGCAGAACAAGGGGAGCGAGGTGATACCAGGATCAGTGACCTAAGTGAATATTGTTCTACTCTCAAGCTCAAGTAGACAGCAGAAGACAGCAATCAGGATACGACGTAGTAAACTTTCGATGGCAAAAATGACACCGTGGGCCAGTGACGCACAGGTGCAGCCTCAGAAAGCCTCAGGTCAGAAACGCAACACGCGTACGGTAACGTGACAAACAGGTACCACGTGCATTCTAAGCGTACGACGACCGCAGACGCTCCCCGACGTCCAGCGCTTGTGCAACCTTGTCTTTAAGCGCTTCGATCGATGCTGAGTGTCGAGAAGGTTGAGCTATGTGACACGAAGATTGCCGCACGCATAGCGGCATGTAGGGGGTAGGGGAGGGAGAGAAGACTCTTAAGGTGAGGTCCAAGCAGAACTCTGCAACCTCCCGCTTCCTCACTCGATCAAGAATGCTTCTGTAGGAGCCTCAACGACCATCTTCACACTTTACGGGATGCATGGGGAGACAAACCAGAGCGCAGCGTGCTACCGCATGCGAGACGAACCCGTACGTATTCGTGTATCGTCTTGAATGAAGATAAGGTAGCTGTCATGCAAATCTTGACCGATGTCACATGATATGATCGACTGCTTGAAGGCCCTTCTCCTCCTGCAGATCAAGCACGATCACCAATGCGCGACCTATATTGTCTAGATACAGTTCATTACTAGGGATCATAGGTTACGACTCCGGAGAAAGAGTAAAACTGCAAGAGCAGATGAAATTTGAAGCCATTTTTGACAGCCACGTGATATCGGTCAGGATTTGCATGGCAGCTACCTTAGCTGTTTCCCCCTTGCGACTGTTCGAAGCGGCGCTGGGATGAGGCGGAGAAATTGACGTATTCTCATCACATAGACGTGTCGCTTGCTATGTACTTCCTGCCGAGAAATCGTACGGTTCTCCGAGGAAGGCGATGTCAGGCGATGCAGCATCGCGCCGCGGGACGCGGTCAGAAGGCCGTTATGTCGCAGCCTCGACGGATGTTCTGCCCGTGCTCGGTGTGAACGATGTGCTATAAAGCCTGGCGCTTGTCCTCAGTCGAAGTGAAAGGCGACGAAGTGTTATCACGTTTATCACGATCAATCCTCGCAATGAAGACCGCAACCCTCCTATCTGCCTTCGCCCTCATTCCCCCCGCCTTCGCGGTCACCGTGTCCTTTGACAACACCTACGACAACGGTAGCAACCCGCTCGCCAACGTCGCCTGCTCTGACGGTGCCAATGGCCTCATCACGCGCTACGGCTTCCAAACGTTCAGCGACATTCCCGACTTTCCGCACATCGGCGGTGCCTCCGTCATCCCGGGCTGGAATTCGCCCAACTGCGGGACGTGCTGGCAGCTGACGTACTCCGGTACCAGGAATACCATCAATGTCCTGGCCGTGGACCATGCGGATGATGGGTTTAACCTATCTCAAGAGGCCTTGGACGAGTTGACGAACGAACAGGCCACCCAGCTCGGGAGGATCGATGCCACCGCGGTCCAGGTGGACGTTGGGCAGTGCGGGCTGTCTCACTGACCATGACTCGTGAGTCGTTATGCTCAAGGAATGCAACGCCTGACGCGGCTTTCTTTCAGGACCGCTTTGCTCGATCGCGAGCGTATCCATGGACTTTCACCCTTGTTAAACTGTCACGTATGGATTTTACTGGTGCTATCCCGTATCTCCGATGTGGCTTCTGTACTGGTCGTAAATGATAAGCATCGATTTCAATCATGGGCAGACAGCTTAGACGAGCTGGCTTTGCTGACTTTTTATTGTGCTGCTGCCATGGCAACTACCGTCGGGTGGTCGTTTCCTCTCCGCGAAGCTTCCGCAGCGGAGTGGCCCGGGTTGAAGTTGTGGCGTTTAGTGGCGGTGTGCGGGGAACAATTGCCGGAGTCTCTCCCGCTCTTGATCTCAGACACGACATGGGTGGACTGGACGCGTTTCGTGGCCCGCAACCTGGTGGCATGGACCCAGCAATGTGTGGCAAACGCTCCTGCGTGTCTTTATATACGGCGTCGTCATGTCCCACTTATGACACCCGTTTGTTCTCGCCGGATTCCCCATTCTCCTCGCGCTTTTACACCGTTCTATTGAGCCCTACACACCCACCTCTGGCTATTATCTACTGCGATGCCCGGCAAGAGGACGCGAAAGGACTCCCCCAAGAGCAGACGGCCTCGGAACTACGCGTACGAAAGCAACACGCCAGGTAACGACGCCTCGCTCGATCCGGATCCTGTATGTTCCGATCGCCAGGGGAGCGGCGAGAGCCCACTCCATATTCCTCGCCCTCCGAATCCGTGGATCCTTTTTCGCTCGGACTTCAACCGGCGGCAGATAAGGGAGTCAAAAACAAGGCAGGCTTTTGTATCGCAGGATGCTTCAAAGGAGTGGAGGAAAGCATCGAAGGAAGATTTAGCATACTGGAGGCAAAAGGCGGACGAGGCTCTTGATGCTCACAGAAAGCTATATCCGAACTACGTGTACAAGCCGCAGCGAGGCAAGGGAAAGAAGAAGGACAAAAGGAAGAAAGTAGCCCCCGCCAACGGGCTATCGCCCGACGACTCCTCCGGGACCAACTCGGACGCGTTCACCACCCCATATCACTCCTCAGGCAGCTTCACCCCGGGATCCGTTTCGACAAGCCTGTCCTGGGACGCGTCACCCTGTCCTCCTTCGATGTCTCTGGCCCCTCGACCCATACACGCCTCGGGTCATCGACGCACCAGCTCCGCGCCAAACCTGCGAGGCGTCGGTCTGCAACGAACGACTCGACGGACCAGGAGCGAACGCCCCACTCCGTACGATCGAAACCGGGGACTGGTAGGAGCCACGTCTTCGCCCCAGGTAACCGCGTACGATGATAACCCAGACTGGGCGGAAGGTTTTGCATCTACGTCTCAAATGCACGCCTACGATCAAAGCCATTACTTGACGGCCTTCTCGTCGTCTCAAATGGGTCCGTACTATGGAAGTCAGAACTTTGCGGGAGCCGCTTCATCGTCCCAGATGAACCTGTACGCTCCAAGTCAGTTTCCTGCAGGAGTCGGATCGTCGTCTATGTCTCAGGCGGTCCCTGTGTACTACGATTCGTTCGGCCTCGCAGACGCCTGCCCGGGGCAGGCGTCAAGCTCGTATCTGCAGCCTCTTGATCCTCGTATGGGCGATTTTGCAACGTTCTCATCCCCGGATGGCACATACAATACCGTGAGTCGTTCTTGAAGACGTCTTTATCGGCCGCTCGCTAACGTCCTTGATGACCAGTGCATCCCTGCAAATGAGAATGCTATGCTGCGCAATCCGATATATTCCCAATGGCCCAAAGAGCAGGGTCCGTCTCTGCTTGCGCCGCCTCCAGCGCCGCTTCATTCTGCCATGCCCATGGGACCGCCCTCCAACGCGATCGCAGCGTCCCTCCAGACCCCGTCGACGTTGGCCCCGTTCAACGAGGATTTCGTCCACGCGATCCGAAATCCAACCAACCCGCAGGATCTGATCTTATACGGCTCTGGACTCGCCCATTACGGTATTCAACCCAGCAGCTCTTTTGAGCCATCGCAGCCGCAGAGGTCCTCCGGCGACGCTCGCGTCCGGAGCGACACGCACCCAGCTGCGTTAACTTCGCAGGCCGACGAAGCTTCGGAGTTTGAGCTCAGCGAATTCTTGCAAGGGTTTAATGATTAGCTCGATCACAGTCAAGGCCAGCGTCCAGTACGCCGGCATGTTATCTCCTTCCTCATTTTTATCCAATTCGTTTTCTGTGTTTGATCCATTGCTGGTTGTATCCATAATCTTTTGGGACTTTTTCTCTGTCTTCCCGCTGTATTGGTAGATGTATGATGTAGAGCATCCGCGTCACGGTAGATAGTAGAAAGGACATTTGTGTAGTTCGTTGGCCAATCAAAATCGTCGGATTTCTTCTGCATGTCGTCACCGGAGGCGGTGCCGCGAGTTGTCTTCTCCGCCCTTCGCGTTCGGCGACATGGCACGGCGACGCGTCTCATCCTCTTCGCCATCCGTCGACCACCAGCACGATGAGCCCTACGGATCCTCTCCTGTCCCACTCTGGTCGCAATGAAGCCTCGTTCCGGGGACAGCTGAGCCCTTGGGCGAAGACGGTATCGCACGGGAGCGCACCGTTCATAGCGACCTTCCTCCTCATACACCTGACGCCTCCGGTTCTTGCCAACTTAGGCGGCTCCTCACTAGCATCGCAAATTATGGTAAATGCGATAGAATATCTCATGCGAAGATGCAGCATCATGACACGTTTTCAGCTCCTCGGCCGCGAATACTACCAGACCCCGTTCGGCGAGAAGTTTCTCGTGCTAGCACCCATAGCTCTCCACGTCACAGCAAGCATTGCGAGGCGTCTACTATATGTTCCTCCTCCACAGGCCGACCCAGCTCCTCTGACCGAGAATCCGACGTTCGAACCCGCCCCGAAGCCCGCTCGCCGGATCCGGCCCCTGACGTCCCTCCTCTCGCTCACCGGGCACGCCCTGGTCCCTCTGGCCCTCATTCATTTCCTCACTCACCGGATCTACCCCGCCGACCCGTCTCCGCCCATATTCGCTGTCGGCCCTGCGCAGCTGGATTACGAGTACGTCAAGACGGCCCTGCATGGGTGGCCAGTGCGTACTTGGGCGCTCTATACCGGTCTTGTGGGCGCCGTAGCACTGCACTGGGTCGAGGGAATCAATATCATCACCCGTACGTGGATGCGCAAGCCGCTTATACGCCAGAGGCTGAAGAGGCTCGTGTCGGCGTTGATCGCGGCGCCTGTGCTGTCCGGGGTGTGGTTCATGAGCCGGGAGGTGTCGATGACTTTTGCGGACGTGGGCGAGAGATACGTGGCGGCGTTGACGAGGAACTGGGTATACAGGTTCTGAAGGCGAGCGAAACTGATGGTTCAAGACAGCGAATCCCCATGATGTATGAGGAGGACTTGACTCATTTTGCAATGCAGACTACGGTCAATGGATAAACAACCCGACGCGGACGGCGTTTGCCGTGGAGCTTGTATCGACCCCGCCGAACAAAGTCCGGTCTGGGTTAATCGCCGGTTCTCGAGTGTACACCCGCTCGCAGCGATGGTGCCCTGGTGTACTGCCAAACATAACTTGCGATGAACCCGCGATGCGTGCTGAAGCACCGAACTTCGCACTTCTGGAAGATGGCTGTAAACCGACGACGCGTGCCGTTGTTGGTTTCGCCTGCGGGGTAGATTTGGGACAATCACTCGATGTCTCCACCTCGTACGCGCAGCTAAACATATAAAATCAGCGATCATATTGCACGATGCGGGTCCTCTCTGTCTTATCAAGTTCTCGTGGAAGTATCTTTGGCTGCTCTGCGTCCCTTCGGAGAAAGAACGAACCGGCTTCTTTCTGCGTTCCCATCAACGCCCCCTTGCCCATTCATCTCAGCTCCCGCGCTGTCCCCACCCAAACGAGCAATCCTCTCCTCCGGTCCAAGCGAGAGGCGCAGGTGGCGAGCACGAGAATAGCGCTCCACGTGCCGCGTGGCGAATATCGCGCGCCTTCTCAGTCCGTCGTGGACGCCCAGCGGCTCCTTGCACGGTTTGCGCCATTCGTCCGTTCGCCAGCGGGCTTTTGGCCGTTCGCAGCTGCGGGCTTTGTGCCAATAGCAAGACGAACATGCGTCCCGTCGTTTGATGTTCTTTCTCGGGCCATGGCCCGGGGATAACGCGTTGGTCCAGGGTTATGGTCCAAGGTTGTGATTTCTTTTTCTATATCATAACGAGACTGGGAGCGGCTGCAAAGCACCGCCGTTTGCCTCGTACTGATTTTTTTTTCTCGCTCCGCAATGGCTGATCTGGGCGAAAAACACAATCCCGAGGTGGAGGAGCTCAGCCCTGGACGAGTCGCCTACGCAGACGCCCCCGAGCTCGAGCGCGACGCCCCTCCCCGTCCACGAGGCGTCGACATGAAGCGCGAGCTCACGATCGAGGAGCCGCACGGCATCGCGACCAAGCCGCGCGCGACGGGTGTCGAGATGAAGCGCGAGATGACGCAGGAGGACAAAGAGCTCGCCGCCGCGGGCTACGAGCACCTCGAACGGAAGCGGTCCAAGGGCGCCAACGACAAGGACGAAGAGCACGAGAAGGTCGACATTACCGAGCACCATTTGCCATTCGCGGAGCTGGCGGCGGCGCTCCAGACGAGTATCGATACCAAGGACCCTGGGGCTTCTGACGGGCTGACAGAAGCGGAGGCCAAGGCTCGTCTGGCAAGAGACGGGCCCAACGTGCTCACCCCGCCGAAGAAGAAATCCGCGCTCCGGAAGGTTTGGGCTCTCTATTTGTACGCATATATCCGGGAACCTGACGGCTGCCCGTTGACAGTACTGGGACTGTCTGGTGACCATGTTCAACATCCTGCTCATCATCGCAGGTATTCTGGAATATATCCTCCTCGGTATCGACTTCAAGGCATGCATGTTTTCACGCATATATGCACTCCGTATTTTTCTGATGATATCATAGGATAACTTCCAAAATACCTACCTTGGCGGCATCCTGATCGCAGTCGCCTTCATCAACGCGTTCATCGAGTTTTACCAGCTGCAAAAGAGCGAAGCGATCCTGGCTAGCTTCTTGGCTATGATCCCGCCTTCATGCCGCGTCGTCCGCGACGGTACCATCGCCTCCATCCCGGCCAGCGACCTCGTCAAAGGCGACGTCGTCCTTGTCGTGCGTACACGTAGCCTCGTTTCTGCTTGCGCCAATGCTGAACGATATGGAATAGCGCTCCGGAGACAAAACGCCGGCCGACCTGCTGATGTTCGCCGCGACGGACCTCAAGATCGACAACAGCTCGCTCACGGGCGAGTCGGAGCCTCAAGAGCGTCGCGGTATGCCGGACGGGTCGCCGTCTCGCCCGGCCGAAGCCGAGAACCTGCTGTTCAACTCGACCCTGGTCGTCAACGGCGAAGGATGGGGCGTCGTTGTCCGCACCGGCGACCACACGTTTATCGGGCAGATCGCCAAGCTGACTGGCGGCGAATCTGGTAACAAGAGTCCCCTCGGTGTCGAAATGTGCGTCGGTGTTTTTTCCATGGTCCTTACGCATGGAGTTGCTAATGGTGGTACAGTGGTCAATTCGTGGTCGCAGTGTCGTGCATCGCGATCGTCTTCGCGATCGTGTTTTTCGCTGTTGGTATCACCACCGCATACAAGGGCGATGCGGCTCTCACCGTGACATTGTACGTTCGTTCAGTCTTGCTGAGGGATAGTGCTCATCATCCTGCAGCGCCGTGTCCATCTTGGTAGCATTCGTCCCGGAGGGTCTTCCTTCCGTCGTAACGCTGCTGTTATCCATCGCCGCGAAACGGATGGCGTCCCAGAACGTGCTCGTCAAGGACCTCCAGGGAGTTGAGACACTTGGCTCGGTACGCATACAGTCTGTAGTCACAAATCATGGACTGACGTGCCATTGTAGCTCACGTTGTTAGCGACCGACAAAACCGGAACTTTGACCAGAAACCAGATGACGGTTACCAACCTATGGAGCGGAGGCCGGATGTTCACCGCCTTTCAGGTAGCTATTCTCTCTTCCGGTATGATCGTTGATAACAACGAAACCGAATACAGTCGAACAACGATGGCGATGATGTCATCTCCTTTCACCCTGAGTCGCCGGGCATGAAGGAGCTTGTTGACATTGCGGCCCTCAATTCGCGTATCAAGTTTGATAAGACGGACGTTCCCTTTGACCAGCGGCAGATCTTGGGCGATGCCACCGAGACCGGTCTCACACGTTTCGCTGGACGCCATATTGCAGACTACGATGCTCACCAAAAGCAGTATCCGAAATTTTTCGAAGTGCCCTTCAACTCGACCAACAAGTGGGCTCTGGTTATCGTAAGTCCCATGCGATTACAGCGTGATTATTCACTCAAGCTTGAATCGTGCAGCTTAAGAAACCACACTCCACCGGTGACCTAACCTTGTATATCAAAGGCGCTCCCGAACGCGTCCTCGCTAAATGTTCGGCCTACCTCAAGGACGGAGATATCTATCCTATGACCGATGAATTCCGCAAATCTTACGACGATGCCTACAACGTGAGCTTCGAGAAACTAGGCTTGGAGGTGTCATGCTCATACTGACGATGATATCTCCAGTACATGGCAAGTCGTGGTCACCGTGTGATTGCTTGCGCGCAGAGCCTCCTGTCAGGGGAACACTATTCACTCGATTACGCGTTCTCCAAGAACGACGGAAACTACCCCAGCACCGACTACTGCTTTGTAGGCTTGGTCTCGCTCGAAGATCCGCCTAAACATGGTGTTCGTGAAGCCATTGGTACACTTCGTCTTGCCGGCATCAAGGTCATGATGGTTACCGGTAATCTACTATCGTTGATTACTCCCGAGCTCCGCTCACGCGCTCTTCAGGCGACCATCCTCTCACGGCGGAGGCGATAGCCAGGAAGATCAATCTGATCCTCGGTGACACCAAAGAAAGCCTCGCAAAGAAGACAAACCGACCTGTGGAAGAGATATACGAGGACGAAGTGACGGCCGTAGTCGTTCACGGCGACGACATCGATGGGTTGCAGGGGTGGCAATGGGATCAGATCTTCAGCAAACAGGAAATCGTGTTCGCCCGCACGTCTCCACAACACAAGCTTGAAATCGGTACGCTTTGCTCGGACGCACCTGTTTCCGACGTATACATGCTCACTCGACTGCTAGTCAAACGCGCTCAGGCGCTGGGCCACATCGTTGGAGTGTAAGGCAATCGAGATCCGGTTCTGGAACAGTCCAACTGATCTCTTCGCTGAACAGAACCGGAGATGGCGTTAACGACAGTCCCGCGCTTAAGAAGGCCGATCTCGGTATTGCCATGAATATCTCCGGATCCGATGTCTCGAAAGAGGCGGCGAACATGATCCTTCTAGGTACAGTCCATAAGCTGCCCTGCATATCTGCGCTGTCAAACCAAATTGAATTGTTCAGATGACAACTTCGCATCCACTGTCAAAGGCGTAGCAGAAGGTCGTCAGATATTCGTGAATCTCAAGCGCTCGATTCAGTACGTATCTCGCGGCGAATGATATGCGGATCCCGGTGCTCATCCACTCGTTACCAGATACACCATCTCGCACAGCACGCCTGAGGTCATCCCGCAACTGCTCTGTGAGGCCGGTGTCGCTATTCCTCGTTGCTGTGCTCACCGTAGTATAGATGTCGTCGTCCCGATACCTCTGCCCTTGTCTGCGATTTTGATCCTCGTTATTGGTGAGGATGGCACATGCTAGCTTCCTCGGTCCTTGACATAGTTTCTGCCTCCAGATCTCGGATTTGAACTTTTCGTTGCAGTGAGTAGCACAGCGTCCGATGGTACACTCAGAGCTCAGGGAGTGCTCCCAGCTTTCGTTCGCATGGGATCAGCCAGAGACTGTGGATGGACTGATGCGGCTAGGCCCACGTAAGCCTGTGAACGAACGCTCCATCAACGCCCTCAAGTCGCGCGCCCTTCGTCGAACGAAGACCCTCCGCCGCGACCCCGAAACAAACGACATTATACCGCCCTCCCGGGGGAGCGTCGTCCTCGGAAAACTCAGAGCACCATTCACGCGTGAATTCTGGGAGGACAAGTTCGAGAAGACGGAAAACGAGACGCTTGTGGACAAGAAGTTACTCAGTTATGCCTATCTGGAAGCGGGTATGATCGAGACCGTTGGATGGTAAGCCGAATTTCTGCTCAATACGCCCACATCGTTGATGTTTGTATTCCCGTGAAGCTTGGTCGCCTACTTCGTGGTGTTTTTCGCATCTGGCTTCTCTCCTTCTGATCTGGTTCGCGCTCAGAAGGCATCCGTCAATCATGGTGTGTTCGGCTCGGCACGTCAGATGTGGTGCTGGTGCTTACCTTCAACTGGTACAGGCACGGCGTTCTTCACAAAACACAGTCCAGACTTCATTAACTATCAAGGAAAATCGATTAATGCTCATCAACAAATCAACGCGCTGGCCAAGGCACAATCAATAGGTGGGTGTATACTCGGTCCGGTGCATGACTTTACATTGACGAATGTGGCCATAGTGTACCTATCCGTTTTCATCCAGCAATGTTTCAATGTAAGCGCCTTTCCACGCCTTCCGAAGGTTCCTCGCGCACCTGACATCTCATTCGCAGGTGTTTGCGGTCAAAGCCAACTTCCGCTTCCCCTTCGGTCGCCGTGTCATCGGCAACAAGTGGAACTTCGCTGGTATCTTTGCAGGCGCGTGCTTGGGCATGTTCATCATCTATACGCCTCCGCTTCATGTCGTCTTCGGCGGCACGGACAAACTCAGCCCGCTTTACTGGCTGATACCTGTCGGATTTGGCTGTGTGATGCTGGCCTGGGCATGTATCCGGGTTCTATTGATGAAGAAGGCAATCGAGGACAAACGCGTCAAGGATATCAAAGGACTGATGATGTGTAAGCAGAAGTGTTTTCGATCTCCTTGCTCGATCCTAATATATTGGTAGTCCCAACCATGCGCACGATGAGTATGCGTTCAAAGCATTAGTTCGACGATCAAAGCGAAGCATACAGTGCCCAGAGCATGACTTCAAAATGATTATGAGGGCCTTCGACAGTTCATGCACGATCATATCACACGCCTGTACTCATAGCTATCAAGATAGATGTACTATCATCGTAGCTGACACGATTGATAATGTTCTATTCCTAGTGACGTTTGCCCGCAATGTTCCAAACACATATTACGCAAGCAGTACAGCACCACGAGGATACGTACCATGCATGTACTATCGCGTCATGTACCGCGCTGTATCTGTCATCTGTCCTCTGTGAGGCAGTTTATGCACATCCATGAGACGCGGTGGGCGGTGACGGCAGAGGTTTATCGAGGTCGGTCTTTCCAGGGTGCCTCCAGAACATGCACGCCCGCATGATATCCTATCGCGATGTCAGTAAGTGAGCAAAGCATTGCCAGCTCCGATCACTGACAGGAGACATGCCAAGCAGAATGAGAGATGCTACGGGGACTGATATCCGATCAGCGTCGTAGTATCCTCAACGAAACGAAAACGCACGTAATGCGAGTAAAACTTGTCCATACGTAGCTGTCCCTTTGTCCTGAACCGCGAAATTGACCGTCACCCTACAGTGGAGGGTCAGTCCTGTATCGCAAGTTGTCACTCTGAGCTTGAATTGTACCCGATAGCAGCTAGGGCGATCAACGACAGCAGTAGCACCCGCGCAAGCAGGGTAAAGGCCGGCCGGGTTGATCGAAGGCAGCCGTATGCTCTCCAAACCAGATAATGCTCCCTGAAACAAAGGGCTTGCAGGCAGAGGACACAGATCATGGCTATTGCTACGAATATGCTGGATATCCTTCCTCTGTAGAGATCATTAGCGACACGAGACATAAGCCAACGTATATCACGAACGGGACTCCTGTTGTATCCACGCAATAGACACCTGTCCCGAGTACTTTGATTGAATCGAGATGGACAAGACCATACTATTCAGCACACGCAATTGATCACGCCATTGATTAGGCTTCCGAAATAGAAAGAATCGCCGAACCTGGAAGTCCGCCACAAGGACAATCACGTAGAAGACGTAGGGAAAAACTAATAGCTGGATCGTATCGGGAACAGTTCAATCTATCGTGATAGACTGACTGATGACCTACTGCAAGCGTCTGCCCTGATGAAAGTTGATCCGCGAGTTTTTCAGCCCCCCGGACAAAGGAAGTAGTAATGAGCCACAGCTGTATCATGAAAGCGAGCCCAGCATATGCAGTCCTATCAAGAAACTCCGTGAGCATGACCATAGCATCATCCAAGTCATCGCGGACAGTACTGGAGCAGCGTAGATCAGGCTGCTCTGCGTGAGGCAGATGTTGAGAGGCGGTTGACGGCCCGAATCTTGACCGACCAGTGCCCTGATGGCGACATAAGCAAGGTCCCTGCGTGGACAACATACAAAATCTTACAAGAGGCTGTATGAGATGGCTGAGATGACCCAGCTGATTGAAGTATGAGCCAGATTTGACTACAATAGATCATCCGATAGTTCACCTCAAACATAAGCCGTACCAAGTAGCCATGCGATGGACCCGCTTTGATGTCAGGGCGATACCCAGGACGACCAAGAGACCACAAGCAGCTGTCAACTGGCATATGAACCAGAAAGCCCGAAAGGAAGGCGAGGGCGTCTCGTCAACGACATAGCCTAAGGACGTTCATGTTTAGTGTCTCGTGAGTGTCGGTTTGCGCGAAGCCACGTACGAGCATACATGGTTTACAAAAACGAGGTCGACAGCCCTCGATCACTCCGCTCCACCGGTGAGCGTTACGACAGAAAGGCGTAATCCCACTGGCATGGCCCTTTTCTATAACTGCGCGTCAATGCATAGACCCACGCAACCGCCATAGGCGGTGAACGGGCGGTGATATGAGAAGTTAGACCTGTGACAGCATCCGGTACGCAGCTTCAGCCTCTGCGAGTCCATGGTTATCTCAGCTGGTTGCAATTGACTGACTCCAAGATCCTGATGTAAGGGTCACTGTGAATGAGGAATCCTGGCCTGCCTCACAGATCTATGCGCATACACATGGTTATCACTCGAGCAAGATAAGCAAGCTCAGTCAAGATGATCATGGTGGTCCACGATTCACGAAGAGCCTGAGCGCTTGCTCCGGTGCTCTCCGACTTGAGAAAGTTCTGAATCTGAATCTGAGCGCCGCGGGCACAAGGTCTATCTGACGGTAGTTAAAACGTTAACCTCTACACGATGAGCAACGTCCTTCACGTCTCCATTCCTCACATTGGCGAGTATCGACTTACTCCCGACCCCCGGAATCTGCATCCAACACATCCGGCGACTTACGGTTCGCTCGCCTGTCTCGACATAATCAAGAGTTACGAAGATGACATGGTCTGTCGCGCCACATGGACCGGGCAGACACCGTCCGCCGAATACGACAAATTGCTGCCCACTTCCGTTGTCTTCAAACTTCACTTCTGCAGGAGCAAGCCATGGGACTTGGAGCGCGAAACAAAGATGTACGCGCACGCTTCGGCAGTTCAAGGGTACATTATTCCGCGCTGCTTTGGACTTTTCGCTGGGTCCGCCATCAACGACGACGGGGACAAGGTGATGATGCTCCTGCTCCATGACTGTGGCGATCCTATGAAGCATCCGGATGGTAGACTCTATCGCGCCAATGAATTCAGCTATGAACAATCGTGGGTTCGTCTGCGTTAATGTGCGACTCCTGTCTCAATCGACTTTTAGGAAGAATATAGTCACGCGTTTGGGTCTGCTGCACCATCATGGTCACCTCGAGCATAACGATTTCCATCCAAGAAACATTGTCTGGTGGAAGAATACCGAGCCTATCATCGTGGATCTTGCCCACGCAATAGAACACGAATGTGCTCAGCAATACCCCATCGTTCCACTGATACTCTACCCTGACGTCGATGAATTCGGTTGTGACGAACTGCACGATGTTTGCGTACAGTTCGGGATCTGGTTCAACGGTCTGTTCCGTCGTTCCGTCGTGCTGCCGCCCGTCTCATGTTTTTCCAGAACTCGTCAAATTCCGCAACGTCTGGATCCCGGCCGATTCCATCCATAGCGTGCAAGATGTTGTCACACCTGTTACATCTCGGGGCGCGCGTTTAAACGAGGATGACATAGAGGAGGCTAAACGAGTCTTCGCGCACGTCGACTGGCGTCGCCAGTGCTACCCAGAAAGTTTGAAGCGTGAGCCCAATAATACGGGTAGTAGTTGACCATAGTTCCTACAGCTATTTCATGCTCGACTTTGATGTGCTTGTTCGACTTTCTTGTCGTACAATGTTATTGATTGTCTGGAAACGCGTTTTGGCCACATTTGCGACATTTGGACCCATAGGCCCTAGACTGTCAGACGATCCATGACAAACATATCATACAGGCGCGGATCGCAAGCGGCCCACCCGCACGTTCGAATCCATTTTGGCGCACTGAGAAATCTCTCGAGCATGGTCGGAGTGTTGAAATCGTTTATCTTCAATCATGAGTTAGCACCGAGGAGGACGACGAGGGCTGCAACATGAATCGGAGTCACCAATGCATGCAGTGATGGAATTGTACTTTTTTGGGTGAGCGTTGCCTGCGCCGATGATTGACAGAGATGAATGTCCTGCCGCCCTGCACTTGTTCACTGTGATCGGATCCCCAGCGAGTGTTGCATGTATGCTCGCAAAAAACAACTTCGCATCTCTGACACGCGTTCTTCAGCTGTGATTAGTAGCTGTTCGCGCGGCGAATTCCTCAAGGTCTGGGACGTGCGTGCGCGGACCATCGTGCATGAGCTGTTTCATGCCAGCTCCGTCGCCAGCTCGGCCACGCCAACGCGAGAGTAGCGTGGGAAGTATCCCATTGCAAAAAGGGCAGCAGTCGCATCTTTCTCCTCTTTCACCTGCTTCACCATGTCGTCCAGGGAAATGGAAGGAATTTCAATGTTACAACAGCGACTTGACGCTTATATCGGCGATGAGGCTGCTCAAGAAAGAGATGAGGCACGACAGACCGCGCCAGGCGAATCAAGACCGCTCTTCATGGGGATCTTGCAAGGCGCGTGCAAGCTCATCCGAGAGCTCGAGCGCAAGGGAGAGACTCCATCGGAGGAGCTGATCCTCCAAGCCGATGAGCTCTTCAACACGGCCATGAATTGGGCCTATGGCGACGGCGATGCCTTCGATTTCGTGCCCAGTTTTGCGCACGATGAAGAGGCGCCTCTTGTGAAAGGCGGAGGCGGACTTGGTGGCATGTGTGCGCGCAGATTTTATCTTATGAGGTGCACTGTCTTACGCAATTTTCCAGCCCAACACACTAGAGGTGGACTCGAGATGTTCATGGCCAAGTTCCTAGGTGAGAAGGGTGATCGCCGACCTATCCTCAACTGACCTTCGCCATGAAGGCAGCATGGGGATGGCAGAACTACCTGGTCAAGCAGCAGCGATCTTTGGAAAATTGGCAGGCCCTTACAATCCTGAGTCAAAACCGCATCCCAGCACTACGCCGCTGGCCCGTTTCCGCGAGGATCTGCCCCCTCTGTCTGCAACTCCGGCGACCCCTTCGGCGCTTTCCGTGTACCAGGCGCGCTGCGAGATCGCCAGCGAGGATCTATTTAGTCCCGTTAGACTGGGTATAACCAAATCCGGCTCCTTCCTCGCGTACTTGGGCTCCGGCGGCTGGAAAAACCGCGACCCCGCCTTGGCCATCTTCAAGCGCGACGACCCTCCTAGTCCCTACTCCTCGTTTCCCCGGAGCATTTGCCCTGACGTTGGCTTGTCGAGTGTCGCTTACCAGATAGCCATGCACGACGCGCGCAAACTCGTCTTCGTCGGAGATGACTGCCGCATTAAGTCGTACAACATGGCGGAAGACGGACTCCCGACGCACACATTCGATTCTAATACCTTCAGCGGGGCGATGTCCTGGCTTGCAGAGGATAGGCTCATCCGTGCAGGCAGAGGACAGGTGGCCATATGGGACGTCGCGAATCCCGAGCTCCCAACGCATGGCAAGGACGGGCGCAGGCGCATCGGGAAGAAGATCGACACGTCCGACTCCTGGCGGGAAAACGACGGCGACGAAATCGAACTTTCCCGAGGGGCCCCACCTCACGAGACTGTGAAACTGGCAGACCCCACCCTGAATGATATTAAGGCTGTCGTATTTGAGCCGCATCCTGTGCGCTCGGGCACGGTGCTCGCCGGATTCGCGGCGCGCGAGGGGCGCACGGCCAGGTATAGCTGTGTGGCATTGGACGTCGAGCACGGTGGCCAGACGGCCTCGCGATACCTTGGTCATGGAGGAGACGTCACCGACTTTTCGACGAGCGCGGCGGATCCAAATGCGTTCATCACGTCGTGCAGCGATGGCTTCGTGCGCTTATTCGATGCGCGTCACCCGCTTCCTGTGTTGACGCTGGACAACGGTGAACTACACGAGATGTGCCCTGCAGCACTGCTTGTCCACCCTGATGGTATCCCCAGTAGGTGTCATTGAAAGGTAGTCGCATGTATGGGATCCTGACCATCGAGTGTTCACCAGCTGTGATCAGTGGTTGTTCGCGCGGCGAGGCTATCAAGGTTTGGGATGTGCGTGCGCGGACACTCGTGTACGAGCTTTCAACGGGCAACAACGCCGTCGTCGACCTCGCCTGGGATGCACAATGCTCGACTCTGTACGCGGCGACCGAATGTGAGAACATGGATCGGCTGGGATACACCCATGACTACCGGCCCGCAAAGGCTCCGAAGCCACCGCGGGAGCCAAGGAGCCGGAGCCATGATGACGAAGACGAAGACGAAGATGAAGACGAGGACGAGGACTTTTCTGATGATTACGATGAACGTTACTGGCCTGCAAATGCGCAACATTCAGAGAGTTTCTTCGGCTACATGCTCGACTCCGGAACCCACCGTCTCTGTGAGGATCACCGACCTTGTCGTGTCTTTCTTCATCCGTACTGACATGAGCGCAGACCGCTACGCGTTCAAGGAGAATGCAGACCCTAAGGTTCTCCCAGAATATGGTGATGCACGGCCAGATCAAGATCAAGACATGTGGTGATTCCTCGTCGGCATTTGGCAGCCTATGACACTCTATCATCGACCGCGTTCTTCCTGGCATGTACTCTACAGTAGAACTGATTTCGTCTTGAACTCTGTTCCTTGAAAGTTGAGCCTGATGGTTTCTTACTTTAGTAGGGTCCACATTGTCCCTAGATCCTTCCTGCCTTGATGGAGCCAGGGAGACCCTGGTCGTAGTCTACGCTCGTAAGCTCCACCCACGTGGTAGATGCGATTTGTTTTTTTTTTTTTTTTTTTTTTTTTTTTTTTTGGTGTAAGCTACTCTCGGACGAACGAGCAAAGCTCGCCTCCGAGAGATCCTTGCTTGAAGGGTGTGTATGAAGTGAGACATAACCGGGTAGAGCATATTCATAGAAGACATAGACACCATGCGGAAATGCTATTACGCACTTGGAAGTGTGAGACTCCAACCGCCGGGGGGATTATCCCCCTCGATCGCGAATTGGTTGTATACTCACTAAAACCGCATCCTTTCTAATCCAGTTCTCGGGGAGGCTCTCTTCTTCGAGGAGTGTGCCCGACCACGTGGCCAGGACTGTCTTCCTCGATACGGCTTTACTCTCGTACCTCCTTTTGTTGGCCATCGCTTGGTCGAGATGTAGCCTGTGGTTCACCTTTGCAACCCATCTATTGTGAATCTCATTCGCGGTGTGCCGTTTCTCAGGGTGCTCGCCGCGTTGGATTCTTCTTTCACACCGTATAACCCATATCAGATGGCTAGATGTCGCGATTATGATCTTCAGGAATCTACTTGCACTCCCGTCTCGGTCCCCCTTGAGGGACGCCATTTCGCCCGCTAGTATTGTCCCGAAACTCGTACCTGGCCAGCGCCTGTTGGTCTTCTCTTTCCAGAGTTTCTCGGCTAGCTTCCATATGATCTTACACCCACTGCCTTCGCATTCGGTGAGTATATGTTCCATTGTTTCCATGCAGTCGCATACCCCGCATACAGCTCGGTTTTCGTAGTTTGTGATCTTCTCCCAGTATTCGCCGACCCGGTGAGCATCATGTATTGTTTTGAAGAGGAAGGCACGTTCGTTTCTTAACAGGACGGGGTCCCTCGTCGCTTTCCAGATGTGTCCATCTGTGGGGGGGGTGCCGTTCAGATCTTTCGCTGCCCATCTGATGATGTCAAGGTTTATCGCGGTGCGTCTCCTTTGGCTTGGTTTTCGTGTTTTTACTAGTCGTCGGTATAGTTCGCTCTGTGTCGCGGTGCTTAGCTTTGCGCCCCGGAGTTCGAAGCCATCGGGGATCTCGGGCCAGGGTCTGACTACTTCGTGTGAGATTGCATCTCTTGCCAGGTCGCGTGCTTTGCTTGTTCCCTCGTGTTTCGCTTTCAGGGGGCTTAGTAGGAACGCCGTCCAGCCCTCTCGAGCTCGGATGTTTGCGATCGCCGATTTCATCGCTCCCGCTTCCTCTCCTAACCAGTCTTGGTCTTCTCGGCATTTTCTGTTCTTCGTCAGCTCTCGGATAATGCTTTCATTCGGTACTCTGAAGATGATGGGCTTCGAGGCTGGGATCGTACTGGCGGCCTGGGCTATCGCCGTAAGGATCCCTAAGCAGTAGGTGTCCTCCTCCCGGCCTGGAACTCGGAACCCTTCATTGTATGGGCTGTCTTCCCCCGCCCATATGGCTCCCCCGAACTTTGTCTCTGTGTCCGGTTGGGAGAAGCGGGTCCCTGCCACGGCGATTACTATCGCCGACCTGTCGTTTGGGCTTGTCCTCGGTATCGGACGTTCGCCTTTTTGTTTTGACTTTCCTGTGAATACGCGGAAGCAGTTTGCAGTTTCGTGTTCGACATATTCGTCCTGGAAAGGGATCATTTGTTCTCGTTCTGTGTCCTCCACGTCGTCCGTGTGTGTGTTGCTGTCAAAGGTTGTCTTTGCGTGTGTTCCACCTTGTATTTTCCACCTCGGGAGCAGTTCGTTTGTTAGCTTGGTGCAGGCTTGTCGGCATGTCTCGGGGTTTTTGCATCCTCTCGCCTTGGACCGCATGCATGCCCCGCACAGGCAATCTCTGGATTTGCGGTGCGTCGATGGCCAGAATTCCTCGAGGTCCATCGCGTTGCCCACGGTTTCGACGTCGTGGTTTTTCCGTAAGCATTTCGCTTTTGGGGTGTTTTGGAGTTTTCTCGCCGCTTCTGTTGCTCCGATGTGGAGCCACAGGGGGAGTTTGGCTTTCACATTGGTGCCGAGTTCAATTGCTTCGAGTCGTACTTCGTGTTTGATCGCTATTGCGATCATAGCTTGGAGTTCGTCCGGGAGGTTGCCTCCCCTCATCTTTGGCTTCCATTCTTGTGTGAGACAGTTCAGTAGCATTCGTGGGCCGCTTTTTTGTAGCGTTTTGATCAAGTTGTTTCTTATCAGCTCGTCTGCCATGAACGTCCACTTCGGGCGCCGGGGGCTTAGGTCTAGATACGTTTTGAGCCAGGTGAGTTGGATCGCTTCGTTTCTCTCTTTTAGACAGAGTATCTTTTTGCCTCCTTCTAGGATGGGGCGCGCCATCGTGTCTCCGTTTACTGGGGGCGTCCTCTGCCCGTTCCACACGAAGCTCTGTATTTTTTTGGACAGGTGCGTTTCAACGTCCTTGGGCATGCCTTGGACCTTTGTAAGGTACTGTGTCATGCCGCCTACGACCATTTGGACTATCAGACGTCTTCCTTCCAGCGTTGGGTGGCCCCGTTCCCAGCGTGTTAGGGCCGCGTCTATTTTCTCAATCACTGGCCCCCAGGGGGTCGCGTCGTCGATCTCATTGCCTATCCATGCGCCTAGGAAGCGTATCGCCGTTCCGTCTTTGGATATGCTGATCCCGGCGGAGATGCTCTCGTGCGTATCATCAAGTTTTCGCGTCTCGATGAGTTGGTCTCTATACTCCTTCGGGCCCAGGGGGATGATTGCCGTCTTGGCAACATTGAATTTTGTGCCGGAGGCCACGCACCACGTATCCAGTATCTGGGTCAGGTCTTCGAATTTGTCTTCGTGGCTGAGAACTACTGAAGTGTCGTCCGCAAATAGGGATACGATTGTTCGTTCTGCCATTCCAGGTATTAGCATGCCTTTCAGTCCGGACCCTCGGATCATACATGCTAGGGGTTCGATGGCGAAATTAAAGAGTAGGCATGACAGGGGGTCGCCTTGGCGTACTCCCCTCGTTACTTCGAAACGGGAGCTGATTACTCCGTTTATGATTACCACTGTTTCCGCGCCTTGGTATAGGTGTTTCACGGTGTTGATGAACTCCTCTGGGAAGTTCATGTGTCTCAGCATGTCCCATAGGTATTCGTGTTCTATCTTGTCATATGCTTTTTCCTGATCCAGTGATACTAGAGCGCCTCGGAAGTCGGATTGCGCGGCGTAGTGTGTCGTCATCTTTGCAAGTTTCACTTGGTCGAAGATTGAGCGTCCGGGAATAAAGCCTGCTTGGTCGGGGTGTATGGCGGTCTGGGCAACTTCTGCCAGCCTGTTCGTGATTGCTTTGGTGAATGTTTTGTAGTCCGAGTTGAGTACTGTGATGGGGCGGTAGTTACTGATGTCCAGTCTGTCGTTCTTCTTGTATATAGGGCACAACCATCCGACGGCAAAGTCTGTTCCCCCGCATATGCCGTGTTTCTCGACATCCTGATACACTCGGGTCATCGTTTCTACAATGTCACACGTCGGTGAGTCGCCGTCTTTAGAGGATTCATATTTTTCATCCAGGAGCTTCCATAGCTCTGCGGGTATGCCGTCCATGCCTGGGGCCTTCCCGTTTGGAGCGTCTTTCAGGGCGCGGAGCACGTTCGCTCTTGTGACTCCGTTCCTCATGTCGGTGCGTTGTTCGTCGCTTAGGCGTGTGGTGGTTTGGGATTTTACCGTAGCACGGGCCGTGCTGACTTCCTCTTCAGTGCGCTTGTCTAGGGATTGTAGCTCCTCGTGGTATGTTCGCGCCGCTTCGGACATCTTTTTGGAGTTGGTTATAAATTCCGGCTCCCGTGGCGCACCATATTTCGGGTTGCACAGTTTATTCATGGTATCGCGTGGTCTCTTATCGCTGTTGATCGCGGACCAGTATCTAGAGACTACTTCGCCCTCGATCTGATCATGCGCTGCGGAGTTCATACGTTTTTGGGCATGTCTCTCTTTTCGCTTGTGCTCTATTCTCTCGCTCACCATGGCTCCTTGGATGGCTCTCTCCTCCTCCTGTACGTCCGTGTCGTTCAGGAGGTCGTCGAGTCGTTCTTCGAGTCGTTCTATCTCGCTGTCGAGTCTCGGCATTGTCCCTCGTTGTATCTCCCGTGCCGCGCTCTGTACGTCCCGCTTGAACTTCGCCCACAGGGTCTGCGGGTTCCAAGTGGGCGATCTATTCCTGAGCGCGCAGGCGCGCTCTACGTCTTTCTGTGTGGTGTTGGCCAGCTGGAGTATGTCCTTTACTAGCTTTGCGTTCCGTATCATGTTCGTCGGCATTGACCATCTGCCTTTGCCTATGTAGGGTTTGCTCGTGTCTGTGAACATGACGGAAACGAGTTTGTGGTCCGTTTTGATCGCGCCTGGGTGCTCGATCTCCCATCGATCGCAGCCCCGTAGGGTCTCGTCTGTGGCGTATATGCGGTCAATGCGCGAGTGTGCCCCTGTCGCTATTTGGGTATAGCTATATGCGAGTACGTCTTCGTAGTCTGTTCGCCATCCGTCCAGCATGTTGAATTTTGCTTTGAGGGTCCGGAGGGCCTCCGTCGCTTCCCCGTTATCTCTGTGCATTGGGAGCCTGTCGATCTTGTCCTCCACGATGTTGAAGTCCCCCATCATCATATCTGGTTTCGGGAGGCGGCTCGTGCGCCATGTGCGTTGTAGGGTGCGCCAGAATTCTGCGTTTTCCTTTTCGTCATTAGGTGCGTATATCCCGAGAATTCTCAGTTCGCTGTCTTGATGCCACGGTATTGTCAGCAGGCTGGCTCTGCCCGGTATCACGTCTGACACCGTGGCTCCCTCTGCGTTCGTCAGTTCCTTGTTCAGGACGAAGGCTAGTCCGCGGGCCGCTGTGGGTGCCTCCTCGTCCGCGGAGTTTAATATTCTTATCCGTTTTTGGAAGACGCTCTCTACTTGGTTTCGTAGTTCGTCCGTGAGGTGTGTCTCTTGCAGTAGCAGGATACCAATCCTGTCCTCGCGCATGAGTTGGTTGACGTGGAACCACTTGTTCTTCGGTTTGTTTTGTTCCAGGTTCGTCATGTCTCCTCGTCCTCTCATGTTGAGGCTGGCTATCTTTATGGTGGCCCTCGTGTTCTTTTTGCACTTTGGATTGCCTGGTGTTGAGCCTGGTTCCGGTTCTATTCTCGGTTCCCACAACATGTCCTCGTCTGGCTTGAAGTCCCAGCTGTCCCAGGGCTGGTCGTCGTCTTCATGGACTTCCTCGCCGTTTGGTTCATCTCGCAACTCATGTTGGGGGTGGTCCGGGTTGGGATCGTCTGTCAATTCTCTCTCCTCGATGTCCTCGCGTGTCGGGCTCGCGCTCACCCTCCTTGTCTGTTCCGATGGGCTCGCGGTTGCCCTTGGTTCTCGCTCACTTATCTGCGGTGTTCGAACCTTTGAAGTTCCACCGCAGGGCGGGGGATTCACTGTGTTTAAACTATGCGCCTCCGTCCCACGCATAGCAGACCGCGCTCTCGTCCCGGGGCCGTCTCCCATGTCTGGGTAACGGTCAACGCTAATTCCGTGTTCATTATGTGTACTGCTCATGTTGTTTCTTATTTTGTGTTCTCGCAGGCTTCACGCCTTGCTATGTGTGTGTGTCGGGTGTGACGTGGGTGTTGTTCGTCCCGTGTTCTCTGGCTCCGCGCTCATGATGGCTTCCTAGGTTTCCCTTTTCTCCTCCTTCACGCCCGCTTCGTTCGGGAGGCTATTTGGTCATTACCTTCGTCGATTAACGGTTCCCGCGCGTGGGGTTGCGGTACGCTCATTGATGCTTATGGGTTCCTGGCCTTTCCCGTTCTTCCTCGTGCATCGGCTCATCGTCGTTTCTTTAGCGCCTAGTGTTTTATGGTTTCCGCGGCCGGCGCTTCATCGTTTATCTGGCACGCATGCGTTTAGCGTGTACGGAGGGGTGCATGGTACGTCAATTGGTATCCGGTCAGTGTGTACAGGGGTTGACATCTACACGACATGTCCTTCCACGGCCCATCCCTCGTAGAGTCCCGCGGGGACTTCGGGGTTGAGGAGTCCTTTGACGCGGGCCAGGATCCAGCTCCACCACGGTATGCCCAGCAGGGGTTCTTCTACTCGGGGTATTGTTAGGAGGGTGGTTTCGCTGATTGCTGTTGCGCCTTCGATTATGATAGGTGGGTTGTGGTTTCTGGCGTTCACGTCGGTGATGTTCCAGGTTTGTCCGCTTATTTTGAAGGTGATGTAGTAGTCGTCTATCTGGTCCACTGATAGTGTCCCCCAGGTTATTGCCGCGTCGTCGTATACCCTGACCTTCGTTCCTTGCCACGGCATGGGTAGGGGGTGCTGGGGTGACCTCTCGAGCGCCTGCCAGTGCGCGTCGCATTGACCGGCAAGTGTCCGTACCCCGCGTATGGGCCAGTACTCGGATCGGAAGGAACGTTGTCCCGCCCCTAAAGTGATTAGGTGCGAGACGCGTAGAATGCATGCGGGAAACACGAATGTGGTCTATAGATAGCCACTCACAATTACTATAGAGTACAACTTGCGTGACTACAATCATAGTAGCCGATCCTTAGATATGCTAGTTTCTTTCCCAGTACTCAGAACTGACCCATATTAGTATTTAAATATTTTGGTAGTGTAATAGTTTTGTTTATGTACACATTTGACTGTCTACTACCCTATCATGATCACATAGCATGGATTAGACGGTCAGAGTAGTCTAAATACGCCTCAGAAAAGGGGAAATATGTGGGCACTCAGACATGTTGCTATGGTATCACAGGGCTGTGTTGCAAGGCTGTGCTGATTAGTAAGCTTGCTGTGGATATTAGTAAGCATGCTGCGGCGCAGCAGGCGCTTAGTAAGCCTGTGATCTGATTGGATGGAGTGGTATTGGCC